TTTTTTTGTTCTCAACCTATTCATCATTATGTTATGTATGATGTACTAAATAAAGGTGAATTAGTTGATCAACTTCTTGTCTTAAAAAAAAAGAATTAATTAACCATGAGAGATTGGACAAACAGATAGCGAACAACAGAACGGAAGGAATTTATCTGCGACGACAGAACGGAAAGAATTTATCTGCGACGACAGAACGAAAAAAAATATGCGACGAACAGAACGCGACAAATTGTTCTGCGACGAATTGATCATGCGACGAATTGATTGCGACGAATTGATCGCGACGAATTGTCGTGCGACGAATTGAGCGGTCACCATGATTTTGATGTCTCTTTCTTTTGCGTGATGAGTGTGAGTTTTCCCCACTTTTCACATTTATGATGAGATATTGACTTAAAAATAAATACAAACAAGGTGATTGCAAAATAGATAAATAGAATATTGTTCATGTGAATTTTATAATTAGCAAAATAGGCTAAACATCTGAATGAGAAATACTATAGTTAATTGCCGAGTTATTCGACTACATCTGTTTGTAAATTCTCTGAGCCAATGGAGAACAGATTTTATTAGATATTTCGATGATTATTGGGATGTTTTTCATTAGCAGTAAAAGTGATTATATAAATAAAAAGTCTATAAAGATTTAATTCCCTGTTATTTTTTTCTGAAAAACGAATATAACAAATAATAAAGGAAACAAGAGATTGAAAAAGGGGCGTGGGCGTGGGCGCGGGCGTGGATGTCTAATGACGATCTTAACACCCACACCCTCCTACACCAACATCCACACATCATCGCGTGCGTCGCAATGTGTTTGACTTTTTGCGCACTTGCATTGCAAAAGAATGTCTGTCTGATTGTGCAATGACACATTTGCGCAAGTAAACAGCGTCCTCTGCCATTCTGTTCTGTGCAGATGAAGGTCGTTACTATTGCAACCGTCATTATTAATGAATTTTACACCATGAGTGTATTAAAAGATGTAGCTGTCATTTTTTTCGTTCTGACATTTCACACCCATTTTTGTCAAAACGATGGATACTTTTCTATAGGCCATCAACCATTCTCTATCCGACGGTATCACTCCCGCTCCAGTTCTTCTCAGTTAAGGACAAACGGAGAATCCCCACCAAATCTGTTAGAGACAAAAATCACACAATTGTCTAACTCGTCAATTTTGCCTGCCAATGAGTGTATCACTCGAATTTCGGTAGCAATGCAAAAGCATTCAAGGTAAAAGAACATCAATTCAAAGAGTAATTAAAGAATTCAAGTTAAAACCGTTTAAAAGAAGAAAGTCTCAAAACTTAAAAGCAACAAACAAACAACTGCGTGTTGCACTATTTTCTTTTTACGTTCTGAAATGTTAATGATTAAATTGTTGTTACAAGTCACGGATGTTTCTAAGCTTATAACTTTCTTACTAGATAAACCAGTGGGGTCAATATAAAAAACTCATTAATCAAATACTGAGGAACAAAATGACTTGTTCGATATCCATTGTAAACTGTAGAAAATAATTGCCTAGTTCAAGTTCAACTGAAAGATAGAACAGGAGCTGTAGGTACAACGACTATCAATCGTATACAATAATATTGGATCTCTCTTTGCTTGGCATCCCATTGCATACAATACACGAAGCGAAAACAAGCAGTTTACTCATTCTATCATCGTACTGTTCTTTTTTCAGACTAAAAATTTAGATTGATTTGCTGTACTTTCGAGATAATAGAATCTATATAACGGGTGTTCGTTCTTTCTGAAACGAGAGCGCCCGTTGTCCGATGCTTCTTGAATAGGGCATTCATCGGCCAACGGGTCATAGCTAGTGGTGGTGCCACAGTCGGGCAGTGGCGGATTGAGCCCGGCCGAAAACATTTTGAAGATTTTTGAATGAAATGATTATTTTCGTACGATACATCTTATAATTCAATTCTTTTTGAGACAAAGAGGTTTCTTTCTATTTTTTTATTGGCTGTTCAATGAAAATCACGGTATGGTGGCAAATCAGCGAAAGGGTTTTTAACTGACGGTAAGGGTGTAAAAGTGAGGATGGAGGCGAAATATACTTTCGCTGTTGTGCGCTTCGCGCATTTTTTTTCGCTGAAAAGGTCGTTCGTTTAAATTTTTTTTTGGTGCAATTGAAAACGTGTATCTGTGACAGAACGAAAAAAGTGACCAGTGTGAATGAGTGAGTGAGTGACTGCTATTTCCTCCATTCCTATTGTAGCTTTATTACATCACATTGCATCATATTATAAAACTTGTGAAACAAAAAAATGCAGAAAAAAAGAAATGTAGCAGCGGATAGTTTTGATCTACCGCCCTTCGGATTATGAGACCGACGCGCTACCTCTGCGCCACGCTGCTGATTATCTTTTTCACCATATGCAGTATAAAAACAAAGCCCCGCGAACAGTGCTTGATGATAATTGTGATGAATACAGTCGATTACCATAATAACGAAGCGAAAAAATGCGCTAGTCTTGATTGACTTCGTGCTCGACCAATTTACACTCCACTGAAGATATTTTTATATATGCATAATCCTTGGAGATTTCTCTTTCGAATGGTGTGACCTCAGTCTTTTTCTGTGTTACAGTGGCGGAGAAATTAGCGATCTACGATAGAGGACTGCATCCGTTGTTATCAGGAGCTGCGTCCCTAATAACGACACACCTACCAAAACTGGTATATAACTCTACATTAAAAAAAAACCTATTTCAATTCTAATAGCCTGATGGGTTCTGATTGTTTTCCACAGCTTTATTTTATGGTTCATGATAATTAAAATTTTCGGTGCCTGGGTCACCCCAGGTATTCGGCTAAAACTTTTTGTCTTCATTCCATTTGTGGACTTTATAAATCGATAGAATAAAATGTGCTGATTACGAATATCACATTTTCTTCAATATTATTCGAATAATAAGGAAGATGTCGGGCGTTTTTGTAAGACCGAAAAATCAGTTTTTGCCCTAAAAGAGTATTAACATCCGCCTCCAATCCATTGAAAGTAGTCAGTCGACGTCGAATTGTTTTCTCTATCACAATCTATAAAAAACGATTTTGGAAACGACAATCTTTTTCATTGAAAAACGGCGAACACCGTCCCGCTTGGATTCTATAGTACTAAGTAGTGTTTCTGTGTGTCTCAAGAAAATGCATTTTCCATGAATAAATCAATAAGATTTTTACACACGATGGATAACTCAATGAGTTCTTTCTAATGGGACTATTTCTAACATTTTAAGAGAGGTTCCATGAGACCATTGAGTATCATGCTATGAGCCGAGGCACTGGACAAATTTTAGGGTGTGGGTGTGGATGAGGATTAGAAAGAGCCACACCCCACCCACACCCACACCCACACCCTGTATAATATGGATAACGTTCATTTATATCATATGATTACTCGTACATTTCAACATCATTGTTACCTGATTGTTCTCTCATACCTATCCTTTTATGGACCTATTCTCCTTTTCTTGTTCTCCTTCTCTCCAAATTACCTATATAAGTGCATTTCGTATGTACACGGCGTGATTGTATGATATGAAGGATTAGAATAAAGTGTATCAACATCAACACAACACTCCTTCTATCAACAATCGGCGCACACATCACTCCAGAGGATAATCTGGTAACATGGTCAAAATCATTGATCATAATGAAGAAACGTTTTTATTCATTTGTCTAGTGTCTTTACTGAAATAAAAAAGTCAATTAGTCTTGAAGTTGTCTCATTTCTGAATGAAATACGGTACATTGGTTTCGCACTTGTTACAGTTACATAAATAGACTTCTTTTTGATCAATTAGTTATTGGAAACTGAAATCATCAGTCCTGGCAAACTAAAAAACAAAGAAGAGAAGCGAAGAGGTGGAAGTCGTACTGTGCACAAAACGATCATTACATTCGATTGTTCAAAATCGTAAATAGTGAAAAAGAAAATACGACAATAAGGATGATAGTGAAGCGCACTCTCATCTTCACCCTTATTTTGAGTCATGATCATTGAATATCGATCTAACAAAGTGGGACTTCATTTGGCAAAACGTAAGATAAATACGATGTGATGGAACGGCTTGTTCGTTCCTCTCTTTTATTCCGAATGAATGCTTTTTTGAGTAACAAAGCTGATACGAATAATATAAACAGTGAAGAAGAAGAGAAGAGAGAAGCAAATGTAAACTAATGATTAAATGATAAGAGTGATTAATGAGTACATGCATTCTTGATGGAGTCGTGATGGATGGAATCCGTCACATACGACTCATGTAACTTCGTTTGCTCTAAAGTTAGACTGTTTCAATGTTAGCTAGCTTAATTATTAGCATATTTTAAACAACATCGTTTTTATGTGCCTTCAATACTGTAGGTTGCACATTTGAGTATTCAACCTCGAATGATAATCACCTAAGAACTTTTAAAACAGGTCTCATTCCTGCATTATTTAATGAATATTGATTTGTGTTGTTATTCTCAATGATAAAACACACGAAGAGAGAATTACTAGCGTGCACAGCAAAGTTATTTGATTCATTAAAACTCTGCAGATATCTAGAAAAAGATGTCTTTTTTAATAAAAAAAAACACTTAACTTTTAAAAAGCATGAAACCTCTCTATGGTGGACGCCTCCATATAGCGGACACTTTTGAAAAGTCCGAAGAGTGCCCACTATAGAGACGTTTCACTGTATCTGGCATATTCAACATGAATCAATCTAATCTTCTTGATTTACCTACTGAAATATTACTTATTATTTTAAAAAAGCTGGATAATATGGATATACTTTATTCATTATCAGGTGTTGATAATCAACAACTTGATAGTATATTACAAGAAAATACTTTTACTAACAATCTTAAGTTTGTAATAATAACATTAACTGATGATATTTTATCAAGTGCTGATCCAGTATTAAATCGATTTTGCATAGATATCTTGCCAAAAATTCATTACAGTGTTAAATCTCTTATTCTTGATTCAATATCTATGGAAAAAATTCTTCTTGCTGGTGATTATCCTAATTTAACTCAACTTAAACTTTTCAATTTTAATGAAAACATTGTTTCACGATATTTTACAGGTAAATAATTCAATATACTGATCAGAGTAAAAATTTCGATGAAAAATTCTTATATAAATATAGATTAAATAATATGTATTTTTTTAAAATTTAGGTGAATCACCTTTTCGACATATTTTTCAAGAACAAATTACAGATCTTATTCTTGTATGCGAAAAGAATATTAATGCAATATCACGCAAACTTTATGCAACCAATTTAGATGAATATGTTTTCAATTTCTTCGAAAATCTCAAACATTTATCTATTATTGGATTATTTCCATATCGTTTTCCATGTTTGAAATTTCGTGAACTACCTTTAACTTCTTAAACAATTAACCAGATTAATTGTTCATATTATTCAACCAGAATATTATTCATATTATCCATCAAATAATATGGTACATTTTATCTTAAAATAAAACCTATTGCGCATATTTGCAATTGATATATCTATTAGACATAGATTGTTCACTAATGAATAAGGAGGAAACAGCGGACTTCAAATTTTCCAAAAGACTTCAGAACTCTTCGATGTTTCTCCCGTTGCTAATGAATTACCTTTTATTTTAATTAACTATAATAAACCAGTTTTAAATTGAATGTTCATCTAGTGAGACAAACGGCTTAATTTTTACTATTTTTTACATTTATTGATCCCATCATTTTTCTAATCAAGAGTGATATGTTTCAAAAATAGCATTGAAAATAATTATCATTAGATAATTTAAAGATAGATTTCAAAAATATTGACATGAGATGAAAGTTAGGATTAAAAGCAATAAAACTAAGTAAAAGACTTCTAAATAATAGATGAGACTAGAGAAAGATTGTTAAATATAGAAACGATAAATGAAGATAACTTTCATCAGTGCAGACGGAGATGTGTATATATTTTAGAATAGAAGAAATATTCATAGAGATAGAACTTTTCAATCAATCATTCATCTGAGTTTTTTTCTTTTGATTGATAACAGTTTATTTATAAGTATTATTTCTTATTTCCTAGGATGATTTACCCAAATTGAAATGTTTCTCATTTACACCATTATCTTATTGCTCAAGTGAGACATATGATGCTATGATTTTACCTCTTTTTCGTCGTATGATAAATCTTGAAGAATTAACTTTGTCTATTTTTGTTCAAGAACGAACACTTATCGATGGTACTTCTCTTTATAATGAAATTTTTGTTTATATGCCGCGACTTAATATGTTTAACTTTTGGATTTGTACTGATAACATGATAAATAATTCAATTCATCATCATTTATCTGAAGATGATATTCAACAAACTTTTACTAATATTATATTTCAACAAGTGGAATGTATTATCAATCACTTCGCTCATATTAGTCAATATCATGTTTTCTCATTACCATTTATGTTTAGTTGTTTCGATTATATTGGTAATACATTTCCAACTGTTATTTTTAATTATGTTCGAATTTTACGAGTGCAAGATAATGTTCCATTCGAACATGAATTTTTCATTCGAATTGCTTGCTCGTTTCCATTACTTCAACAATTAACTATTAAGAATGTTAGACCACAATCATCATTACCAGATGAATTAAACTCTAATGATAATCAATTATATTCAATTGTTAATTATTCTTATCTTATTTCACTTTGCTTTGAAATAGTTCATCATGATTATGTTGAACAATTTCTTGATGATACAAAACACATTTACCTCGTCTAACAAAATTAATGATTAATTATGATCAATTACAACTCGCGGCAAAACATTTTACAAAAGAAAGAGCACGGCTCAATTGTATCAATGCCAATGAATTAAATCTTATGATGGAAACAATAGTACATTCAAAAGATTTCTATGTTTATTTTCCTTTGTTGTGAACTTTTTTTTCTCTGAATAAATTAATAAAATGAATAATGAGAACTCGACACAAGCATACCTTATAAATACTTCGGTGTATTACCCATAGGCTATCGGCTTCGATATCTTTCGAGAAATACCCCATAACAGCTCAAATTCTCCGTAGATGTTGAAGTCGTATTGGAATATAAATGAAGCTTAGACTGCATAATATCGCTTCGGAAATAATTCAGGCACTGATGTAGCTACAGCAAGAAGGATAACAAATAATTTTGTCTCAATGGTATTGTATACAATTCTATTTTGGACACGCACATAAGTAACGCAAAAATAGATAGTATACATTATGATTGTTAGAAGCATTTCGCGGATTACTGACAAAGCGTAACAATGGTACACATATACATTCAGTGGCTAGAAGCTAATCTGTAGCTACTAGCCCAATGCCTGAGGATGCAAGATGCTTTATAGAGATATCTGGAACAGCGCGCCGTGTTCTTGCAAGCAACCTAAGATCTACCTGTAGCAACCAGGGGTATGGATGTGAAGAAAGGAGTGCAGAGATCTGAAGCGGACTTATAGCGACGTGATAATCCAAATCCTATAAAATATAATTAGAATAATAGTTTGATTTTCTTCTTCTACTTTATTTTCTTTATGTAACCAGTAATAATCAAATATCACCCACACCCACACCCTTAAGTTGATGAGTTTTCATATGAAACAATGAAGTCTTCGTTTTATTACAAAGTTAAACGGCAAAAGAAAAAAAATATTATTTTCAAAAACTCGTACAAAAAGCTACTAAAGACAATTAAGCTTCAATTCATTTTTACAATTAAAACTAAATCATTTCGAAAAATAGACGTGTTTAAAATAAAATCCAACGATTAACGTTCGTACTATGAACTTCGTAGTTTAATAGCGAAAACAGTTTTCTTTATTATTTCCGGTGGATATGAAACTTTGCCGATTTGTATCTTTCAATGATAGAAGTCATTTATTTACATAGTGCATTGCTTTCTATGAGTTAATATCTATCTTGAAACGAATAGAGAACAAATTATCGCCGACTATATAAAGTCGAACTTGTCATTTCATTTCATCAACAAAACACGAAGATAATGTTGACTACTGTTTCTCTATTTAAGCTAATCTCTCCTCTCTCTCATATTAGATATTTGATTCATTAATAAACATGAATCAGAAAGATTCATTTTTTTGTCTTCTTTATGAATATAAATTTTCAAATGACTTTTTTATAACGATGAAGAAAGTAGAAAAACGAGAGCCACGAAAAAAATCGAAAAAAAAACAGAAAATTTGTGGAAAACAATTTATCATTGGCCAAGCTGGTTCGATACACATGGAGATATTATCTACTATTGCCGAGATATTTTTAAAAAGAACGAATAAGACTCACATATATAAATATAACATGTTTCACAGGTCACTTCACACTTGGCATTACATTATTCATTATCGCTACAAATCATAGTTTACTTACAAAAGAAAAGTTTAAGACATCAAATACATAGTAAACAACAAGTGAGAAATGACAGAAAATAATGACATTTATCTCGAAGACATTTTTCTACATGTCACTTTCGTGTCATTTCATTGTGAAAAAGTAAAGAAGATAGATACAATAAACGACAGAACCATATTCCAACTATAAATCGATGTATCTTCTAATCAATCATATTAGTGAAAATTGCATTGTAATGCGTATTACAACAGGAGCGTTATTTGGCGTAAAAGCGTAGCGGATCATAACGCCACTTTCTGCTGTTGTCGTTATTTTATCGTATGGAACGCTATTTAAAACTGCGGTATATAGCGTCATCACGCTGCTTAATAACGTGCTTTTATAGCGTTTTGACACTATAGCGACGTTTTTTTTATAAAATAGGACGGCATGGATTCCTCTCAAAGTGGTTCTAATGTAACAACTGAAACAGCTTGTAGTCTGACAACGGCTTTTGCTATCATCGTCCTTATTATAAAATAATTTACAAGTTAACAGATATTATACGATTGAAATTTAATTGACTCTCATATAATTACAAAAACAAATATGTTCTTTCTTTTTCTTAATGTCATTCTTCAATTTCCGTTCCAATGAACACCAAGAAGTCGCTTTTTGTGCATACAAGATTGACGGAAAGAAAAAACGGCAGCCAATGGCTGACCATCGAATTGAGCTGTACATTTTTTTTCACTTTTTATGAATGAGTTTACTTATTCAATTTTATCACGAGAGAACTGATTAGATAAAGGTTTTTCTTTGGCGAAAGCGTCGTAGATTTAACAAAAGATGAGTCAATCTAATGTTCATCTTTTGGATCTGCCTACTGAAATATTATTGAACATTTTGAGAAAATAAAATAATATTGATGTTCTTTATTCATTATTGGATATTAATAATGGACGACTTGACATTCTTGCGCAAGAGAAGACGTTCACCAATATTCTCAATTTCGTACGTACTGATAATATTTCTTTAATTGATCGATTCTGCATCTACATATTACCAAGAGTTAATCATAATATCAAATATTTCATTCTTGAACCAGTTGTCATGGAACGTATTCTTCTTGTCACCGTCTATCCAAATCTAGCTGAACTTAAACTCTTCAATTTCGAACAACAAATCGCTTCAAAATATTTTACACGTAAACATTTAACATATACTTCATGATTCCGGAAAAAAATGTTAGATAGAATGGTTTATTGTAAATTTCGTTGTTTTTTCTTTAGATGAATCATCGCTGCATGATCTGTTTTTCAACAACAAATTACCAGCCTTATTCTTGTTAATAATGATAAGAGCGCAAGGGTCGGCTCATTGAAAGAGTATACAAGAAATGTATATGAGCACATCTTGAATTTCTTCAAAAATTTAACATATCTGAATATTATTGGACCATATGTTATGTTATGTCCAGGTTTATCACTTTGTGATTTACTGTCGACTACTTTTTACTCTTCAATTCTGACTCATTTATGTATCATGGTAGAAACTTTTGATGATTGTCTTTATTTACTTGATGGTCGGCTCAAGCAATTGACGACATTTAATGTTACTGTTTATTCCATAGACAGCTCTTCAACAATTGTTCATAACACGGTAAATTTTCATAGATGATGATGTCACTGATGAGACAAATAATTACTACTTCACCGAATTTTTGATTCATTGTTAAGGATTAAATGCTTTCATGTTATATTAATAACGAAAAGTATCTGATAAGTGCTGATGTATAAGTGTTTGTCATGAAATTTGTACCTATCAAGAATTTGGATTTGGTCAAAAGATTGAGATTTTTCTGGTAGAAATAATCATCATAAAATGATTTGTCAGAGGAGTCACGAATTGAATCGTTCTTTTATCATTGATTGCATATAATTATATATGAATGATTATAAACATTGAATAGAATGAATTCTTTTCTATAGTACCAATCTTTCTCCAAAATTTCATAATCGAACTGATCAATTTGTTATTTACCATTTATAATAATTGCACAGAACTGGTAGCGTCAACGAAGAGTTTCATTACTAGACATGTGAAGTCAGACATATCCAGTTATGATATCAGCATTGTTGACGATGCGGAAAGACAATTTTCCACATATGTTGGTGTTACTTTGGAAACGGAACCTACACATAATGTATTTTTCGAAAAAAAACAAAGTTGAGTAGTAAATATGATTATCCATGACAAGCCATGACGCTTATGATTTAGTCTTTTAGATTAATGAAGAAACTTTTCTTTTTTCTAGGACATGTTACCTAATCTGAACTGTTTCTCACTAAAATCTTACTTTCAATTTCAACAATATGAACAAATACCATTGCTTCTTCGTCGTATGCCTTACCTGAAACATTTAACTTTATATCTTTGTATAAAAGATCGAAATAGAATCATCGACGGTACTTGTGTTCAAAATGATATTCTTGTTCATATTCCACAGCTTCATTCACTCACTTTCTATGTTAGTAGTTATATTGACATTCGTGATTTATCTCATGATTTATCTCGTGAACATATCCAGCAAACGTTGATAAATATCGGACAACAAAATGCGGCTACTACCGTCAATTATCTTAGCATGTACACAGCTGAATGTTCAATTTTTTCACTGCCTTTTGCATTTGATTATCTTCCATGTCTTGGCAATATATTTCCAAATATTGTATTCAATTATGTTACATATTTACTGGTGGAAGATAATGATGGATTTAAACATGAATTCTTCGTTCGAATTGCCCGATCGTTTCCATTACTGAAGTATTTACGTATTTTCAATATCGAACCGCAGGTATTAGCTGATATGAAATTATCATCTGACCATAGTCAATCATATTCAATGATTGAATATCCGCATCTTACTTCACTTGATGTGAGCCATGGTCATCAAGATTATCTTGAACAATTTCTAAATGAAACAAAGGCATATGTACCTTGCCTAACCGAATTGAAAGCACTTTATCTTCGCTTGAAAATTGTGACAAATAACTTTACAAGAGAAGAAACACGACGCAATTGTGCTAAGGTGAAACAATTAATTTTTTTTGAACAATTGGATAATGTGCAAGATTACTATCATTATCTTCCTTTGTTATAAATCTATTATTATTTTGATTGATTCAATAAAGTGAAAAACGTGATAACCGTTGCCATTAGGCTAATAACATTTCTAAAATAGCTACAAGAAAATATCAACTTTCGACGATGATTTCTCATTTTGTTTATGAAAAGTCATTACGTTTCATTCTTACACTTACACATCTGAGATAACGCATTTAATATTATTTTCCTGTGATCATATTTTACAAGATTTAAAGTATAAAAGTCATTTTTAGATGCACACCTAACCGCAGCCCTATTCTTTTTTGGATACTTAATCTATTGGTTTATATTTCATGTAAACACGAAAATTGCATTGATTGTTTATAAAAAAAACAATGATATTCAAAATGTAAGATCATCTACCATTGATTAATTGATTGAGAATCTCTTACAATAAAATAATTATCTTTCAATATCATACATCTTTTTATCGTTCGATTATTGCATTATAGTTAAATTTTATAATACAAAAAAAGACACGCCCCTATCGTTAACCAATTTTTGCTTAGGGAATAAAACTCGAATTGCCTAAATATTGAAGATGTTTTTTTTTAATTTTAAATTTTTATTTCATTAGAAGAAAAATAAAGTATGAAATTTACTTAAATGATTTATTGACCATCAGTGATTGAACCGTGAAGATGTTCCCAGTGTGGTTTTGAAGCATCAAGGATGTTTGAACCAAGACTAACTAAACTATCGAGAGCACCTGTGAGGACACCTTGAGCAACTGTAACAGCATTACCAATTTGTTGCGAGAGAGCTAGTAGAGAATCAACGTGTTTTTTTTTTAATCAAATATTTTTATGTTTTCACTTACTGGCAAAGAGGTCACTAATGGCACGTGCTCTATCAAGGCTACCAAGACCACCAAGAACAGCAGCTAAACGTTGGTTAAGGAAGTGCTGACCAATTCCAAGAAGGGGTTTGGTGACTTCTTCGAGAAATCCATTCAAGGCAGCAGCAATATCGATTGAAGCACGACCTAATTATCAAAAATAAAAATGAAATTTTATGAAATAGAAAAATGAGACTCATACATACCACCAAGCATTGTAGCAAGAGCTTGATTGATAAGTTCACTTAAAATAGGTTTGAATTGATTAATGATTGCGTCGAAGTCAATTCGGCTAATTGAACCAATTAAAGATGATAGTTGACCAATAGCATGTTGAATAAGAGTAAGAACTTGCTGATGAGTGTTGACTCAAAACAGTTTGAGCGATAACTTGTCCTTGATGAACAAGTTGATCAACTACAATTCTTATACTTTGATGCTTGCTGTATGTTTGCCCTTGTATACGATTCATGCATCATGAGAATATTGTCATATGATTGTGCTTGCCAGTTAAAACAACCACGCAATTTTGTTTCTGCGTCGGCGAATGCAGACTTCATATTTCAGAGTTATTTTTCTTACTATAAACACTTTAAGATCAATTAAACTTCTGAGAGCAAGCACATGTGTTAACATATTAATCATTTGATTTTAGATTGCTTCTGTCTGATATCATAGGAGTCAGTTTTAAATGTCTTATGAAATATCCACTACGAGTATTTTGTGAAGTAAAATGAAAAAGGAATGATGAAGTATATGATTTAAAAGTTTGATCTCCTAAGCAGCTCCTATATTAATAACGGCTCTTCATAATGTGCTAATTACTTTCCCATTGCATTTTTGAAGGATTAAGCAACAGAACAGTGAAGAGAGCAAGTTTCTTGTGATTAGCAACAATAGAGAGAATTCAAATGTAAGAAGCAAACCATTCCCATGCATTTCATATCGACGTTTGCAGAAAAGTTTCATGTAAATTACCAAGACAGGATCAGTTTTTCTATATACCTTTAAACTTCACTTTGGAACGTCCTCAGCATTTCTCAACACTTTATGTGGGTGTCGCAGAAGCAAACGGATACCTGCGTACGTCAACTCACACATCTCATATAAAATGGCAGTGTTTGCCACTATAGTTTTTGAACAATTTCAGAACAAGAAAAGATAGAGACTTTGAGCTACAGATTTTTCCAAATTCACATGTTCAGCGAGTTTCTGGGGAACTATACTATAAAATGAAAATTTTCAAAAATTTTGATCGTTTTGATTTACTTTAGTTGGTAGCCTAAAGTGTTTTCCAGGTAGCGAAACCGAAATGAATCTTGGATTTTTATTTTTGTTTTGATAGAAGAGTACTTTTGTTCAGTTTTGAAAATTTTTTACGGTTCAAAAATATTTTATTCACTATTTGAACGTGTCTACCCTAAGTTTTGTCGAGGGTATCGATGTGGGGTCAGAATCAAGTTTTCTTTTCGGAAATAGCTACACTAACACTCACAAACCCTCACATCCTCATATGAAATCAAAATTGGTTTACGATGAACATTTGAATTAAGATATATCTCTGCATAAACTTCAAGATGCGGAGATGCACTCAAGTTGCGATCTCGGATAATGCTTCCTTTAGAGTAACTTTGTGAGTAATGGGCCAACAGTCATTCGTCGATATCATATCAGAATTCATTACTCGTGATATAAAATAGCCTTATGAAGTTAGCTAGGAATCACAGTTTATATTGAGGCGCCGTGGAAAGTACTGACCAAGCGACTTATTGTATAATTATTAAATGTTCAATTAACATGAGCTGGTTAGTACTGAATAATAATGACCAAATCATTGGTAATAATTGTGTGCAACAAGATAAACTTTCTTTTTTATATACAATATCAAATACGCTGAACTTTTCAGTTGATTTACTATAAACTTAGCACTAAAAAAAGAAATTAAGTTTTAGGATGTGCGTGAAGAGATGACTAATACCCACATTTCTCGCTCCTATATTATACTAGATACGTTATTCTAGTTTCATGTCTCTGTTTTTCTACTTTTAACTCATTCATGAACTTTTCGTGACAATGTAAGACAATCTGTTTTTTTTCTGATGTCAAAGCAGCATGATAACATAATGCAGTTTTTCATTTGCCACTCTTCATTATCTTGCATGTATAATGTGACACTCAATAATACTTATTAGATATTATTAGTTAACAGATTTCTCCGACAACTTCTTGTCTTCATTTTCAACAACTAAGAAAATATTTTACAAAGATAATTAAAACATTATGTGTTATCAAGACATAACTAGAGCAGGACTGACGTTTGCTCTTGCGTACAACATCTAGTAAAATATAAAAACGCGCAAATTATGTCATTTTATTATGTTAACGTAGTAAGGTTTTGCGAGTTCTTAAACTGTAAGTTCACTGGTTTCAGGATCATTTTTAGAGAACAAATAGGGCTACCTATATGAAAAAATAGTTTCAAAGTTTGTTGTATGGCTTAGAAGTTATAGTAGAAGTAGTATTGTAACGCACTCATTTTTCTTTTCGATATTTTTCTTCCATCTGCAGCACTCGTTCAGAAACCGACAAGTTTCACAATGAAATACAAAATCCACAATAATATCAAATAATCTATTACTAATGTGTTTCGCTATAAGAAATTTAAAACAAAACTGTCCATTTATCACTAGAGTAATCAAATAATCCACATTCTATAATATCCTTTTGTAAAACAATAACATTATGTAATTGCTGGATGTTTTTTTTTATAGATATAACATTTTGAAAAAAACTGTTGCTATTGTGTTATCGATCTATCAGAGTCGTGTTTTGTTATTTCATCGATCGTTATGATTTTGGTATTTTGTTTTAAAATGTTAACACAATGTTTATCGCACACTTTTTATTTTAGTCGTGTGAATTTCGAATGATTATGGAATGGGGAAGTATTATTTCAGAGTGACTGATGAATAGCTGAGCTCTTTTTCTTTCGAAAGCATATGACTCTCGACATTCCCTTAATGTTTTGAAATAATACTTGACTAAGCAAACCTTTCATTTTACTTTGTGTAAAGAAGAAACGACTCAAAAGCAATTATCCTGCTCTTGAAGTAAATAATATGATTTCTTTGTTGAAGTTGCCTTTCGATGCTATAGAATCAAACTTCTGGATGACTGCTGGGGTGATGTTCTTATGCTAAATGTATTATTGTTGAAGAAAAGGCTCACCTTTTTATGAAAAGAAGAGAATAAAAAACAACAACAACAACGTATTATTTTCAACAAAAAGTGACACTGCATTATTAGCACCCTAACAGTTTGAATTCTTATCAACTTACTTTCAAAACATTATCACTATTTATCACATGCCAACTGCCAGTATTATAGCCAGTGGTCCATATCTGCCGAAGACTGGATTGAGAAGAGTAGGACAGTATTAATTTTAGTAGCCATAGTTTGGCCTGCCCGTATATTTTAGATTTATCCAGCAACAACAAATGTTAACATATTTTCAAGTGTGACTGAGATTCCTGAGATCCACTCGGCTGAGTCATCATCCACTGAGCAGGGGACCAATTCTTCAACGTAAGCATGTTCAGAAGACACTATCAAACACAGTTCAATAAATGCTCAATTACTGGAGAGAAAATAATCTGCTTCAATAAGTCTTTATTTTCATCTTCAAACATGTGCCACCACTAAAAGGATTATTTTCTAAAAATGATGCTTCCATTTGTATTGCACCATTATTTCTTAGTACCATTACTATTCTGGAGATCGACCATCATAAAAGAAAAAGAAATTTAGTTCTTTTCTAGGCATTTCATTCGTTTATTCTTTCAGAGAAAAGAAGGATGCTCAGTTCGATCAGAAAATTCATCATTCTATTAAAGTAAAATCTCTCTTAACAAACATCCCTCTAATATAATCATTTTTTTATATTGCACACTTTCTGCTCCATTCTCTCTTCCAGACAGAATTTTGCTAGTTTTGACCGTTTCTAATATGAAAATTGTTTTCACCTAAGAAAATGACAATTTGTTTTGATTATTTCAGTTGTAATCCGATTTTTAATGATTGTGATAGTTTAAATCTGATTTGATCCAATTGCGAGTTCGTTTAAAACATGGATCATGTTTGACAAATTTCCAAAAATTATTGATGAAATAAAATTGGTTATTTTCATCAATCGAAGGCAAACATGAGATGACTACACCGTGCGAGCATACCAATCATACAAGTCCTTTATGTTTACAGAAGTGCTATAGAGTAAAACGTGAAAATATTTATTCAGTTCATTAAAAATCGATTAGCCCATTTTAATCGCTGTAAACTTATCATTGCAGAGGGATGCGAATTGCCGGTTAATAATAAAAGATATTAGAAATAACCCGCGTCTTCCAGCTTCCTTTTTCTTTGTCGCCGTTGATATGGTTATGCTGAAAGAGATGCAGTACTTTTTCTGGCAATCCACATGACATTGATATAAACACGTTGAGAGTTGCGTGAGTAAATAATTACTGCTCAATGCAGATCGATATTGAATTTTTCGCATTTCTTGATTTTCAAAATTATGTAAGTCCTAGTCACCCTCTTTAACTGAAAATTGGAAAACTGAAACACATATTTCGATGGAATTGTGTTCCATCTGCTTGTTAAGCAGTAGTATTGTGCCAAAAAGTGCTGCTTCGCTTTGATACATCGCTTCAAATGATAGAAAATATATTCGGAGAGAATCAGCACTTGGGCTTACGCACATTAAATCTCATTACTGAATACATACGTATATATTTTGAAATGTTTTGAAACAAGCATCGAAATGCATTAGTGTGTTCTGATCGAGTTCAAGTTACTGATTAAAAATAAAGTAAAGCCTTAATGAATATGATCATCCTTTGGATTATGGGTATTTTTTGTGGCGTTTTTCATTCTTAATCTCTTTGAAACCAGTTAGAGTAAAACCGAAAGAATCGAGCATTGCTTTCATTTATAACGCAACTTGCCATCTGAATATTAACAGGAAAAATCAAACAGTCAACGGCAACAATGACAATTGTGATAATGAATCGTGTTGGAAAAAATCTCAACAAAGGAAAGTATCATTCGTTTGATTATGTAATTATTATGTTGGATCGAATTTCTCATCGATTTTCAGATGTAAGCGTTGTTTTGGTTTGAAACTGTGCTGCTCTCTCTTGCTCTTATTATTACTATTAACGGGTGGTGGCCTGGCAGCTGGAATTTTAACTTCGAATATGGGAGGTAGGATTTAAATAGCAGTGACATAGGCAATGCTAAAGATAATTTACAGAACAGTAGATTTCATTCTTTTTGTTTTCTTTTAAATAGCATCTTCAACATCAAGTAACTCTTCCTCTACAGCAGTATCATCGGCAACGAGTAAGATCCATCCTCGCAACATTTTATACTATTGAGGAATATATTTTCATAATATACATAGGCGCTACGACGGTAGGCACCACTACAACAGGAGTCACTACGACAACAGTCAATGTACCATCTTGTAAGTACAAACTATCGGATGACTCAGTGAAACTGGATCACTTTTTATTAATCCATTTTTATTGCCAAAAATTGAACACATAATTTGAGCTTCAGAAAAAGTCGTTCTTTCATATTCCGGTGGAGGATGAGCGCTGAAGTTCTCATGTGTTTCAGAAATCAAAATTTTACAGTTGTGGTGTGAGACTTTGTTCAATCGATAATTGTACTAGAACTCTCAAGATCCGTTGACTAAAAGATCGCCCGTGACGTATTTGAAATGAGAAAAACGTCGACAAGGGCAGAACCATTCAAAAATTGAGCAAGCCAACCTTGAAAGGAGGATCATTTTTAGTATGATTTTGCAGAAAATCTGTATGATCTCGAGATTCAATTTTTGATAGGCAACATGCTACACATCGCTAGAAATCAGCGACTTCAGTTCATCGTATATACCTGACAGAACTGTCTGAAATAGAGCAGCATAGTTAGAACTGTGGAAGGAAAAATAGAAAACACAAAGTAACTCTTGATCACTACATCACCCAATATAATTCAAAGAAAAGGTATTTTGATTTCGAACAAAATGTTTTCCTAAAGTATGTGGAAATATAATTAGAATTATGGGACACAATGGCATGAAAATCTATACAAGAACAGGGATTTTCTTTAAGTGTGACATAATTTTAGTAATATTTATCGAAAAAATAATGTTGATTCTTTCAAATTAGAAAGTTTAATGCTTGTTTGACTTTTATATGTGAACGTTCTTTCATTTTGATTTAGCCGTGCTGAACAACACATGCACGGCAATAATAAGCGGTACGATCACTACTCTACTGTACCTTTCAAATGTAGCGGCATTTTCTTATACATACTATCAATATTCATATGTTGCCATATCGACCAGCACAATAATGATGCTGGCTCTACGCCAAGATCCTAACTATTGGTGTCTGGATGACATTTCAGTCACAGAAAACGGTGTACAGCTGTGGCAGAATGGCGGTTTTGAACAGAGTCCATTGACTCAATATTATACTTACTGTAACCCAAACGGGGCTAGTTCCAGTGGTATCATATCGACAGCATGCCCTCACTCAGGCAGCTACAATTTCTACGATGGTTCAGTAACATATTCGGATTATCTCAGCCAATCGTTCTCGACAGTAGTCGGTTCCACTTATAACATCAGTTTTTGGCTGGCGAATCAAGGTGGCGGTCCTGATAGCTTTCTCGTTCTCATAGGTGGATAGGCAATATTTCTAAAACTTAATATCTGTAACATTTTCTCGTCTACATGATCATTTCGCAATTACATTCGCTCTTTTCTGCATAGCTTTTTAAAGTCTTGATGCTTGTACCGTGGCAAAAACACTCTAGCATGTATAAATATGAATCCAATGTTTGGGTGTGGGACTGAAATTGTTGTATGTTTGTAGTTGTGAGTGATTCTTCTTCACACTCATATTATAAATAATAAATAAATGTTGGCATGCACATCTTATAGCAAAATTTATTCGATAAGAATCAGATAGAAACGCAAAATCATCTTTCAAATTTTTGTTTTATTATAAATTGATTTTTGCCTACTATGTTGTTTGATTTAACCATTTCAATAATAATAATTTGTTTTTTCTGTTCATTGAATATCATCAACAGATTTGATTTCTAATGTTGGATAGTTGTTGAAAATTTTCTCACGTATTAATTCTACTTAATTACATACTGCATGATGTTAGAACATTAATTTGATCAATAGCTACACCAGAATTTTCAATGAATTCGTTTACATGAATACTAACCATATGCAAATTCAACATTCATTACATTCGCAATTTCATATTGATTATCATATTTTGAAATATTTTACATAAATCTTTGTAAGGATGAGATTTAACTGACTTATCAGTAATTAATTTTCCTTGATAGATTTTCATTTTAACTTCATTCATTTGATCTTTTATTGTTAACATGCGAGTTGTCACAATAACATAAAAACTTTTTTCTTTAGAAATTATTTTTGCATTCTAGCAGAAATGACGGCAAATGATAGTAAATGTTAAATTTTTCTTTTATAGGAACTGTACCATCAAATGGTACAATTAATCATTGTATTAATGTCATTATTGAACTATCTTTTGCAACTTTTATCCTTAATATTGTTGGCGATAGTCGTCAATAATCATCACCCGCCAAAAGATATTTTATTTCAAGAAGTAAAAGCAAGCTAATGCATTACTTCAAGAGTCTATAGAAATAAAATTTTGTTCGTATGTTCTATACTTGAGAAAATTGATCAAGAACAATTAAATCAACATCATTCAGTGATAATCATTATAATGGATTATCGGCAGTTGCTAATGTTACTATACAAAGACTAACATGAACTGATTCCATGGGTTCTCAACTGACTTGTTCTTCATATTACGATCATTAGATGATTTTCATTATTTATTCTTTTATAAAAACCAACAAATAAAAAAAATTTTAACTTTACAAAAAATTGATTTCAATCTTGAAATATAACATTGTTAATATCTTGGTAATTTTTCATAAAAAATCATTCTAATGAAAAATATTCTATTGATTCAAGTAAAATCAAATTAAATATTTACCAGTGCGTGGCAGATCATCAATAATCAATATATCATGCTAAGATAATGCCAGACCAACAATGAGAAAAGTTTCATGGAATTCGATCAATGTCGTCGAAAGAAATAGCAAACAAATGAAGTAAATAAAACATTTGCATAGAACAATTCTGAACTAATGGTTAACTGTGGAAGCTCAATCTAATTAAGTTACTTATATATGAATAATTTAAATTTACACAATCTTTTTACCTTTTCAGGATGGGAAAGAGTGTGCCTGTGACTGTCATTGAAGAGATAAAATACACAGCAACACCCACACCCTTATTCACTTGCTTTATTTTCTAAAGATGAGAAGTGTATCCCGATACTCCATAATTAGCACCTTCATTTTTCAAATTTTTATAATGTACGCTTGTATCTTATGATTAAATTTTTATTAAAATAAAACAGATACAGTATAACAATACTGAACCAAATGTAGGGCTATGAGTATTGTACAGAAAACTACCATAGTACCCATAAGGTGTATCGTGCGTATTCGTGACATTTTCTGCCGAGCGTACTTTTTGAGTACTGTCACATAAGTATGTTCACTAGAGACACATGTACTAACATATTCAGTAATAACCTAAGAAAATCTGTTTATCATGATTTCAAAGCAACAGGATAACATGATGATGTTTTTCATTTGGCACTCTTCAGACTATCGCATTGGTAATGTGAGACTATAGAATATATATGAAATGTTAGTAAACGAATTTTTTCTGAAGTCATTTTTTCTCCATTTCAAAATACTGAAACAACATTTCATAAAGATAATTAAAACATCGTTTATTATCAAGACATACTTAGAGTAGAACTGGTGTTTGATATTGAATAAAACACTACTGATAATACATAAAAAAGTGCCTATGATGTCATCTTCAATATTTTCATTTTTGCAACTTCAAGTTAATCGCTATGTAATACCTATTATTATAACATTGGGTAATATTGGGAATGCTTTTATTATAATTTTATTCAATAAACGTCGTAACAATTCTTGCTCAACCTATATATTATGGGCAGCAGTAATGAATAGTGCTTCTATAACATTGTACAGTGTTAATCATGGAGATCCAGCACTTTACTCTCTTATATTTTGTAAATTTCATCCTTATATACCTCAAGTAATTAGTCAAACAGCAAGATATCTTACTATACTTGCCTGCATCGATCGATTTTTTTCTTACAATTCATACTAGTTACTTTCGTGTTATAAGTCGACCATTCGTCGTACGATGTTCGATGGGTATTATCTTTGTCTTTTGGTTAATCTTTCTTATTCATATCATCATTTGGACCACTATTAAGAATGAGTAGTGTAGCCAATTTGGTGTTTATTCTTTTCTATATTTTCCCCATGTTACCCTATTTGTTTGGTTAGTTCCATTAATATTGCAGACCATTTTTGGTTTTCTGGCTTATTATAATATGAAACCGTTGCATGGACGCGTACAACCAATCAGTACTATTACAATTCATCAACTAGATAGAGAATTGTTCACTCTCATTCATACCGAAGTGATCATATATTTAATAACAACACTTCCATATAGTATGGAACGCATTGAAATGGAAAGTTTCCTACGTATTGTTTCTATTACATTGATTTTCTTGAATTGTTCTACATCTTTCTACGCTTATTTCGTTATATCCAAAAACTTTCGTGAAGATTTCAAAGCACTTTTTCTCAAATTAAACTGGCAAAGTATTTGAAAAATCAATGTGTTGTGTGTGTTTGATTCAAAAAATAAATAATCGCCCATCCCAATATTTATCCTTTGAGTGTGGTTGTGAGTGTTAAAATCGTCATTAGACATCCACGCCCACGCCCACCCCACCCCACACCCTCACACTCAACCATAAACGCGTCGTTTCCTCATCTGCGAAAAATATGTACTATCAAATTTTCTTGACCTACATCGGGTACTTCCACTAGTGGCTATATGGGTCACCGTTCGATGTGTGCTATGGTTTATGGTTAAGAAACATACGCTTTTCACAAAACACTTATTTATTGAGTGACCAATCGAAAGGAAAAGATAATGGTAAAATACGAAAGGGAAGGGAAAAATGGAAAAGGACAAGTCTCGTGGAAACAATAGAACCAAGCACGAGTTGGTATCACGAAAAGATGGGACCAATTTGTTTACTATCAAAAGTCTTGACTTTGCCGCCGCTTGGATCCCACGCGTTGTAACCCTTGTTATCAGCATTACCCGTCAAAATCACATAGTGTTGTCTATTTGACAGTTTCGCAATGCATGGAAACGACGAAGGTATTTTACTCTCTTGCTTTTTGTATCCAGCTTTACTCCATATAACATCCGCATTGTCATTGAGATGGTATGTGATGTTGTCTTTGTTCGGATCCTGTTGTACAGAAATGAGCAAAATATTCATGACATTGTACTTCCAAAAAACAAACTGGAATTAAATTGCATAACTCACCAGTCCCTTCAATGCGAGAACAGATAATGCAGCGCAACCCTTGCTGCATGCCCAACAAACACCACCAGTGTAACTAGAACCCAAAGGAGTACCTTTCCAGTGGCCTTTGCACTTACCTTTGTTCTGAGCGTATTTGGGATCGTAACTCATCCAAATATACGAGAAATTCAACACGAAAACAACTGATCTAAATACAGACAAAGGGAATACTAATCTTTTACCGTCTTTGCCTTTCTTTCGAGAAAGAAAACAGTGCAGAAGGAATGAAAATTGAGAATTCAATTTGAATGGGTGACACAGAAACGCATACGAGCGTAGCTCATTCAACGATACGACACACTTAACGCCACAATAATTGATCCACATATAAGCAAAATCCGGCGTAATAGTGTTCAGTTTTTCCTCTTCTCTCTTGGAAGAAACGAGACAAGAAAAAAATGAAAACTGTCAATTGCATTTGAATGGGTTGTGGAGAAACACGTAGCAGAGTGACTCCTTCATGGATACGAGAAACTAAAAGCGACAACAACTCATCGAAATACAGAGAAAATCGGGAGTAAGAGTGCTCTGTTTTCGCTTTTCAGTTGCCGGGGTGGGTGTGGGTGTGGGTGTGGAGCTGAGATCAGAACTTGTTTGAATCGACACGTGCACATCCACTCCCATGCCCCGCTGATCTTCCTTTCGTCTTCCCCCGTTTCCCTTTATCTAATCTGTCTCGTTCTTTCCTTTGTTCATCTATCTCTATTATTATTCGATGTGTTCATATCTCTCCCTCTCTTTCTCTCTCCTACATAAGCGTGTGTTCAATGTGAAAATAGGGACACTGTGGATATGTGAAGTAGCTAAATAAACATCTATACTGAGGGTGGCGGTAAGCTACTTCAACAAATTCGTCGTTACAGTATCCTCGACATAGGAATCTACATCCACATTCATGCATCCACACCCTACTGAGGCATTATGAGCTTCGTGATTTTCCTAGAGATATTAGCCGTTCTTGAACAAATAAAACAGCGGGTGATGAACAGCAGTTGATTCAGAAAAAAATAATCATTTTCTAGCCTGGTCTACGTAGAAAAGAACAACCATCAATATGGTAAAAGGAGTATTCTGTAAAACAAAGAAAAAGAAAAAGTATAATTAATTCGCTTATCGTATTCTCCTCCATAAAAACTCCAATAGCTATCAGTGAAGCAAATCACCAACAGCAAACACAAGTAAACTTATGTAACATCACTCTTCACAAGAAATGCTGGTCAAATACCTGCCTGATCTAAATCTGAGAAACAATTAAGCTAAATGAATCATTCACTTTCTCTCATGTGATCCAAAAACGTTGTCTTCAAAATTGAGAGAGCAAAACAAAACCAACTTCTTCGGTTTATTTCAATAGGATACTAGGCAACTCTCTGAATAACTAAATGACAAAAATTAAATTAAATTTAGTTGTCTAATTCTAATTATCTGTTAAAACACAACCGAAGTAACAGAATAACTAAATGTAGAAAACAAGCAAGGTTAATTTTCTTATCAAAGTTCCATTCTAACATGCGCAACGATTTTTAGGAGAACTCAACCAAGACAGCGAAAGCAAAACTAACCTATCCGTTTTTCTCCGAAAGAGACGAGCAATACTCGGAACAACCAACTGAAATAAAGGAAAGCAGTTTTTTTCATTATGTTACTTCTGTAAAATCTTCGGTAACTATCGGAATGAGTAACCTTAAAAAAAGAAGAAAACTGAAGTCTCTTTCTAGGTCCTTATGTTAAAAAGCGGTTCAATTATTGATGCAATTAAACGAAGAACAGCAAAGTAAACTAGATTCCATTTTTCCAATAAAGTTTACGATCACTACGATCATATACAAAAGGATGAAAAAGAAAAATCACTTTGAATCAACCAATTTGGATTGTCCGTTTTCTCATTTCTTTGTTGTTGGTAAATCTAGGGAAGCCAGCTTAGAATTTATATTCGAAAATCACTAATATCAAACAATTATGAAAAAGACAAATATGGAATTAGCTTTTGGCTTTTCTATGAGTAAACACATATTTCAAATACATTAGCGGCAGATTATATTGATTGCAACACATGGTCTCAACTAACTCCACTTCACATTTATGAGTTTTTTCATAATGTCATACAATTTGATCGTCCTTGAAGAAATAAAAGAGCGGATGCCCCGAAGCAGATGATTCCGGGAAAAAAATCATACTTTAATATCGTCTGAATGTAAAAGAACTACCGCAGATATATTAAAAGGAATATTTTATCAACCAGAATAATAAAAATGAAGATGTATTTGATTATTCTTTTTTCTTTCATAAAAATGTCAGCAGATATAATTACGAAAGAAACAAAATCAATACTCTATTAGTTAGTTCAACTCAAAAATAAGATGCAGTAGCGTGCGATATTCTCTCATAGATAACTCTCCGGTATTTTTCTACATGACTACGTACGTCAATTATCCTTACAGAAGAAAACAACGGTTTTCGAATTATTTGCCTTCTGTTTATAAATCTAATGAATTTCAAAAGTATGACAACAGATGGACACTTATACGGCAGCCCTTACGAAGAGACTTTTCGCATCTATATCAATAGTGTTAGAATAAAAAACAACTGAGTGTGTACGACCGCCTCGTATTGTAACATACGTTAGCTCAATATAGTTCCAAACGACTATATGTAAATATACTACGTGGATAAATTTGTACTAGAATAAAATTATTCGAAGAAAAGAGAACTGTCGTCATCAATCCAAGCATCTATATAAGTGAATCAACATAAAGAAGGTTAAAGTCAAATAATCTATTTAATTTCTTCTGAACAATGGGTGAGAAAAATGACGATAACTAAATGATGAACGATAAAAGTAAAAATCATTCTTAAATATTCTTCACACGAAAATGAATAAAATCCAAAGTCGGCTATTGATAGTAAGTTATTTACTTGTAGCCTTTCTACGTTTCAAATGAAAAAACGTTTTATTGATTCTGTATTAATAAGTATATGTTAACCCTCAAGTTGAATTCAACTATTCAATCATTGAAAGCCTACATATGTGTACGGCTCAAGGGGGCAGCTGATTCTAGGCCGTCAATGTCAATGGAATCAATAGATTCAGTGGAATCATGGAATTCGATTTTCCATCCTTGATTAATTGACTTCAGGTGAAAATAATATGTTTATAGAGATAAATATTTCCTTTATCCTGGAAATCAAAAATTAATTCAAGAGAACGTTCTGGAGAGTAGTTATGAGTTTTTCTCTAAGAAAGTAAAAGCGTGGAATCACATTCTGGGTAGCCGTTCTATTTTTTTAAATGATAAAGACTTTTTCATTTACACATATTTATTTTTCAATATAAAGATAAAGATTTTATCAGTACTTAGTCTTTATTATAAAGAAAAATAGAAAAAAGTAACACTCCCAGTTCAACTGAGTTGGATACAACGATTTATTTAATTATAATCATAAGTAAACAAATCTGCACAAGGAAAATCGGAGGAGAAGAAAAACAAAAAAACAAAAAAAAAGAGAGAAGGGGAAAGCAACAATGGAAAAAAAAAGGAAGGAAAATACGGAGAATGAAGGAGATTCAGGATCATAGAAAAGTGTAGGACTCTTGACATCAGTCTTATGCCCTAAGAGGAATTGGTTTGGTTTGGTTTGATTTGAATATAATGTTACTTCGTGTCAATTTGTAGTTGAATTCGTAGTAAATTTTCTTCAGATATTTTGTCGTTGTTAATTCTAGCTCGAGTAATTGCTTTTTGCAGTAGAGTTGTCGAGTACGTCTTAATTTCGGGAATATTTCCTATCTTATGTATATATTCTGTCGAAGTATATATCGGTAATCCTAGTGTTGCTTTTAAAGCCTTATTTTGTATTATTTGTAAGCGGGTCCAAATCTTTTGATTTGCTGTAAGTAGAATAGGCGATCCGTATGCAATAATTGATCGAACTAAGGATTTATATAATATTAACATTGTGTTCAGATTAGCGTTTGGGTTCAATTTGGCCAAAAATCGAAGAAGACTAATTCTTGATGCTACTTTGGTTTCTATATGATTCACATAAGATCTCCAGTCAAGTTTATGATCGAAAATAATTCCCAGGTATCTTGATGAAAATACTGGTTTTATAATAACTCCTTCAGTTTCTATTTCTAATTCATTTTTGTATTTTTTTCGTGGATGCGGACTGAAATGCAGTAGTTCAGTTTTGCTAGGTTGAATTGTTAATTTCCACGCATTACACCAATTTTGAAATTCATTTGTTGATGATTGAAGTCGGTTTTTAAGATTAGTAATGGTATTCGATGACGCCCATAATGCTGTGTCATCAGCAAATAGTCCATGTTCAGTATGCTGATGAATGCTATTCATTGAATCGCTCGTATATAGTATATATAGCAAAGGAGATAGTGGTGACCCTTGTGGTGTTCCACTTCTCAATACAAACGGTTTTGATAGTGTATTTTCTATTTCTATTGAAGCAGTCCGATTATCGAGAAATGATACAATATAACGAATTAAATAACTTGGTAAACGCAGATCATATAACTTGTAAATCAATCCGTCAAACCAAACGGTATCAAATGCTGCTTTGACATCGAAAAATATTACTGCTGCATGTTGTCGTTTATCTAGATGTTCATGTGCAAATCTTTCGAGACGGTAAATATTATACATTGTACTTTTGTGTTCTCGAAATCCCGCTTGATGTATGGGAAGAATTTTTCTTTCGTTTAATTCTTTTGTCATCCGTTGTTTGATGATTTTCTCTAGAATTTTTCCTACACAACTTAGTAGGCTGATTGGACGATAGCTTGATGGTTGCTTTTTATCTTTTTTCTTTTTAAGTAAGAGAATGATGTTGGCTTTTTTCCAAATATTTGGAATGTGTCCAATATCGATGATAGAGTTGAATATCTTTGCAAGATGTTGAACTAGTAATGTTGTATAATTTTTAAGACAACGATTGTGGATGGAATCAGGACCGGGTGAACTGTTGGGGAGCTGTTTTAGAATTGTTTTTATTTCTTTGGTAGTTATTGGAGGTGTTAATTTTCTATTGACTGGCATTTTTAATATTCTTTTGATTCGGTCGACCTTCTTTCTAACTTGAGTATGAAATGGTAGATGGTCAGGTTTCTCAACAAAGATTTCATTTTCAAAATATGACGCAAACAAATTGACCTTGTCGTGATCGCTGTTGCTGGTTATATTTTGGTAAATTAGATCGCCTGAGTGAGACTGGTTTGTTCTTTTGTTATGAAATTTGCGGACAGTTCCCCATACTTTATCAGAGCACATCTTGCTTCCGCTTAAAGATGACATGATTTGATTCATTTTTTCAATTCGATTATTTCGGAGAGCATTTGTTAGAAGTTCTTTACTCTTGTAATATTCTTTTTTGTCGTTTTCATTCATTGTTTTTCTCCATCTTCTGTACGCTCGATGCTTACGATCAATAAGGTTTTTTGTTGTTGTAGAAATTGGAAAATTTGTCAACCTATCTTTTGTAGGTGGAATTGATAATTTCGTTGAACTAGAGATACATTCGGTAAGGGTTGTCGCATAAGATTCAATCTCTTCAACCGTTGTGATTGTTTTTGTTCTGTCGATATTACTTAGTAATTCATTTAATGTTTTCCGATACAACTGCCAATTTGCTGATTTGAAATTGAACGATAATCGAGGAGAAGATGGTTTATTATCAGCTGCCATATTCAAATTAAATGTTAACGGTTTATGGTCTTCTTTAAGGCCGAGTGGTGCTTCTGTTTCGACATTGTCAATAAATAGAATGGTAGGTTGACTTGCAAGAATCCAATCGATTTTTTCTTCATAGTTGTTTCTTGCATAGGTAGTGAGATCATTATCAATGCATTGAAGATAACCTTCATCAAGAACTTGTTGTAGTTGACGACCTTTTACATTTGTTCTTCTTGATCCCATAGATTGAAGCGAAGCATTTAGATCTCCAAGTATAAGGCAATTGTTATTTAAGTTGTATATCTGTTGTAAGAGTTCATGATGAATTCTCACATTAGGTGGAATATAAATAGAAGCTATGAGAAGGTGTCCAAGTGGTGTTTCTATTTGAACTGCAATTCCTTCATTGTTTTCAATTGTCCTGTTTAATTTTTCATGACATATTATATTGTTGCGTATAGCAAGCAGTACTCCACCTCCTTGTCTATCCGGTCTATCGTTTCTAAAAATTTTATAACCTGGGAGGGAAAATAGATTATGTGGTTTGAGATTGGTCTCGTTGATTGAAAGTATATCAAATTGGTTAAAGCGCGCACATATTTCTTCTTTATGTTTTTTGATTGACGTAACGTTGCAGTGCATAATTTTAATCAATTCTTTGGTTGATAAAATCATCGATATCACTGTCATATTTATTTCTACAATCTTTTGTTGTATTTGCTTGCTTTTCTGAAAAATTAGTTGGTGAGATGTATTTTCTTTTGATTCCATTAGATGGGGTTGTGGTAGACTCAGCATTTTCATCTTGATTTTCTTTGGTTAATTGCTTTAATTCTTGATATTGGTTGTTTATTTGCTTTTTATTGGTTTTGTTTTCTTGTTGATTATATTCTTCTTCAGTGATAATTTCTTCGATCTCCATATTGAATTTCTTGTTGATTCTATTCGTTAGTATTTCAAATCTTTGATTGAGAGTTTGAAAAATCCTTTGTGTTGCTTGTTCAACAATTGACATAATTTTTTCAGTAAGTAATTCAATAATTCGTGTTTCTTCAATTCTATCGGTAGTTTTCAAAATAGGAAAATCTTCATTACTATTCCAATTATAGCCAGGTTGGGTTTGGTTTGTCGGTTTTGTTGATGATGAATATTGCTCGATTGTTTTCTGTAACTTTTGTTGATGTTCTTTATATTTTGGACAGTCAGGAGACGTTGCTACATGCTGACCTTTGCAGTTACAGCATATAGGATGTTGACTACTGTTATGACAAACATCATATGTATGATTCGCCTCTCCACATTTGGAACATATTTGACTATCAGCTTTGCAGTATTTGGCTATATGACCGTATTTAAAACACTTGTAGCATTGTGAGGGTTTATTATTATGATTTGCTGGTTCAGCAATAAAATGCATGGAATCAATTTGCATTCCAAGTTTGACAAATAAATCTCTATTTGTTGAATCAATGAAGGTGAATGAAATGGTGATTTACATTAACACTAAAGTTATGAATAAATATTTATTTCTTTTCTTTCAATAAAATTGATATTTATTTGTAATAGAGTGTATTGAAGGAATTAGAAAAACAATAGCTAACACTAGAATTATAATAGTGAACAGAAGTGCAAGCTTAATTGCTTGAATTCATTAAAACGTTCTCTATACATGATTTTAGGTTGGAAGACTACCCAGATTGATCAAAACGGACTCGCTTACGGTCTGTTTATCGGTGGTAAACGATGTCAAAACGGTATATTTACGACAGTAAATAGGCCGTATTTGCCCGTAATACCTTGCGCAGTAATACAGCACCGTAAACGGGACTGAATTTTCATGGTTTACGGCTGTTTGTGCTCCGTACTCTCATGATAATACGGTCCGTATTACTGCGCCAGATATTACGGCAAGCTTTCGCCCGTAAAATAGTCGTAAAGTAACCGTCAACGGCCGTATACCGACCGTACTGTTCGACCTGGGTAGCATATCACTTCATACTCTCTCACACGTGAAGAAATCTTAGCATACTTCCCTAATCGACTCTCCCCCAACGACTCCCCGGGGAGTCCCCGTAAAATAACGAAATCCCTGGGGAGTCCCTGTCGTGAGTCCCCGGCGACTTTTTATTTGGGGGACTCCCGGGGGATTTCGCTGGGGAGAATTGATGAAATTTTTTAAAATAAAAAAAAAACTTTTCAATTTTTTTAATTTTAAAAAAATTAAGAAGAATTTATTAGTAATTAGATATTTCATCGATTTTGATCAGATAACTCCCCGGGGAGTCCCCACAAAAGAACGAAATCCCTAGGGACTCCCTGTCGTGAGTCCCCGGGGATTTTTCAGGGGACTCCCTGGGGATTCTTCTAGGGAGAGTTGGCTAGGGTAACGATAATTGTGTCGTTTTTCTTATTACGACCTTCATGTCTTTGTCATTACGAACATCCGGACATTCTGATTCCGGTCTCCAGGCAAATTTTGATGTTCGTAAAGGGAAAAATTTACATGGAGTTCGGAATCAATTTTCAAAATAGCTTTTTCAATGGTTATAATCGTTGAAAAGCTATTTTGAAAATTGATTCCAAACACCATGTATTTTTGTTGTATTACATTTACGAACTACATTTCGAACACCATGTCTTTTTCTTCATGTCAGGATATCATAAGCACACTAATTTACAGGGAGATCGTAAAAAAGCGGTGAGATGAAGTGTCATTTTCCCAGTCATCAATAGGATTCTGCAGCATAAGATAGTCAATTCATTCTGTGCCAGGGTGGCCGAGTGGTTAAGGCGTTGGACTTAAGATCCAATTCACAATAGTGAGCATGGGTTCGATCCCCATCCCTGGCAAATGTTTTTTTTTGTCTTTCTTTGCATACGTACATAGATGAATAATTCGGTCACTATGACATCTCCAGTAGAATAAATAATAATTTATCAATAATAACAGAGCTAACTTCATATTGTACAATAATTCACAGATCCTTTGTTGTTGTTAGAGAAATGGATTCTGCTACATCAATTATAGAGTTATCGGTTAGTGTGTTTAAATGCCACATAGTCTGAGAGGAACAAAGCTTTGTAAGCACTTCAGAACTGATTATTTTCGGTTACAAAAAAAAAGATATTTCCACTCTTGGACACATGTGCAGCACAACAATGGGAGTTCATATTTTGTGAATGAAATATGCTATGGTATACATTTGTGTTTTATTTCTTTTTTTGGGTATCACAGAAAAAAAGCTGCATAAAAGACTAGCAGCATGAGGCCTAATTCTTTTCATATTGATTGAAATATAATTGCAATTAGAAAGTGTTCAGAATGAATGTACAATCCTGAAAGATGTTGAATCATGTTTTGTATGGTGGATTATATATCAGAATACACGCATTTCTAGCAATACGATTCTGTTTGAGAATTCATCATGTTTTTTAACATAGTTGAAGTACAACAGATATAGTTATCTTTATTAAGCTATAAGTACATTGAAATCAAAAGCAGATTATTTGACTGGTTTTTTAATTGGATTTCAAAAGTGTATGTGATGAATATTTAAATTGATTTAAGGAAACGTCTAAGAAGTATATATCTCAATCAAAACATTTTCTATTCAAAAGACAAGAAAAGCATGTCAATTGTGAACAAGAAGAGAAGTAGAATAACTTAGCAAAATTCTAATATAAAAGCTCTGGTTTATTGATTGATCTGTTTTTGCATAATAAAATTTTTAATCAAATAGTAACAATATCATGAAAAGCTAGTTAGTATAAGTTTAAACTATTTATAAAAAACTAAGCTTTTTTTTCTCCATATCACACAATAACGTTTTCAACAAAAGATACAGAATAAAAAAGAAAAATGAAAGTGCATAATGTTTATAGACGAACAGTATAATATCGATGGTTTCTTTATGTCGTTGTACAATCACTATCGCTTTTTTTTACGAATCATATTTTTTCCATTCCATACCCTTAAGGACAACCAAGATGTTTCATTTATGAAACTAATTTAAATTAATATCAACTTACATCGGGTGGTTCGCAGGAAATTTTTCCTTTTTTTACTTCTTCCCAATTCATATTTAAACACGTACCACCAGATTCAGCCTAAAAAACACTTTTTTTTAAATATTGAATTAATAAACACTATGATATTCGTTCATACCATTGATTTATTCATAGCTCGACGAGTATTCTCGTCGCTATCTCGATAAAGCTGTTGAAATATGCTAAAAGAATAAATAAACAGCTAGCATACAACAGCAAGAAAAAGAAATCGTACGTATTCGCATCGCCCATATCTTCTTTATTATCCTTTTCATCTTTCTTAATTTGTGCTTCAATCTGGTCCCAATTTTTAGCTCGCTGGCTTGATGATGGATAAGTTGGAGCTTTAGCTGTAACCGCCTGACACATTGGAACTAAAAACAAAAAATGAACAGGTATGATGCAAGCATAAAACTAAAACTTTTCTAAGAAAGCATTTTACTTGGCGGTTGCGTTTTCCCAGCTGATGATTTTGCATCTAATGAAGTCCATTGAATAGCCTGTCGTTTGTACAACTTAATTTCAATCTAAATATTACGTATAAAAGCTATGAATTTTACATAATTGAAATGTTATAGAAATAATAATCTTACATTTGAACCAGTTACATTATAGTTCGTACGTGATGAATCAATAGAAAAAGCAAGATCAAGTTCTAGTGAATAATCAGTGCCTGTTGCAGGTATTTTTGTTCCAACATTCAACTTCAATGATTAATGGATATTAGACTTATTATCAAATAACAAAAACACATACAGTTGTATCAGTAGTTTGAACTTGAACTTGTTCTTTTTTCAGACCCTTAATTGGTATTTGTATAGTAACAGCACTTTCGTTTTGATAGAATGAATGTCTATATGTTGAAATTTACAATTATTAGTAAAGAAAAAAACAATAGAGAACAGAAACTTTAAATTTACTTAATTTTAGCTGGAATTGGTGTAGCCGGAACAGCAGCAGCTGCGAGTTTTTCTTTCTCAGTATTAACTATAGCTGAGGGCTTTTCCTTGTCAACAGTAGCTGCAATGGATTGTTTTTTTTCTAAATCAAAATAAACCTAGAATTTTTAAGTGAAGAGATATTTTTACCTTCAAATTCTTTTTCACACTTTTCTTTCCATACTTTCAATTGATCATTAGCAGCTAACATAAGAGCAAAGATAAATGAACTAAAATTTAATAGAATGTATTAGACTTACAATCAATTTCAAGACCACGAATGAATGTTTTCAGTGCTTCTTCTTTTAAATTTTGATGATATAATGCTATACCTTTACGAAGATATGCTTTGATATTGTTCTCATCTAATTGGATAGCATTGTTGCTATCATTTAAAGCATCTAATAAGAATATAATGAGTTGTTTTAAATATAAGAAAAATATCTAATTACCAGAAAATGTTTTTAATTTCAATGCACATTGAGCACGTGCTGATAAAACCTTAGAAGTAAAATGGCTATCGGTTTTATCATCATTTGTAAGAGCTTTGGTGTAAAGCTGAAAGAAGATTTTAAATAAAATTATAATATAAAAGGAAATGTTCGTCAATCACAAACTTCATATGCTTCTTCATATCTATCATCAACAAAGACTTCGTTTGCTTCTTCAAATGCTTGTTTCGACATATTTGCCAAATAAATATGTATGTAACAAACGAAGGAAGTAGGTGAAATGTTAAATTACAATGCAATATTATCGAAGAAATAGTATATAAGGGATCGCATACTATTCGTCAATGTGGTTTTTTCCTTTTCTATTCAGAGTATGTAAGATGACGCAAGATGCCGATTGCTTCACATATAGTAATATTTGCTTGCAAATTTGAGGATATGCATCGAGATCTACACACTTTATGATTATACTCTAATCAAATTCTTAAGACATATTTTTTCATGTTCTTAGTTTTTTTTCAACATCAGACAATAGTCTTGCTGTTGATACTTGAATCAAGATTATTGAGTCTAGTCTGGTTCTTTTTTTCTGGATACTTTTAACTGGTTCTTATAATCTCTAGATATCGCTTCTACTTTCGATCAAAAAAGGTTAACATTTACTATTTGTTTTACTTTTGTTCTAATTTCAATACAAGTAGAAAAGTTCGAAACACAAAAATGAACACTAAACAGGTTCATATTATTTCAGAAAACTTTAGATGACAAAGAATAGTTTCATGGTCAGTCTATATATTACAAAGCCGTCAAAAGTAAAGAAAAAGTGAACAATAATAATACACTCGTTACATCAGTACTAGCTTAGGGCGATTATTCATCTTCATCCGCAAGATTTGACGCTTGTTCTTCCAATGTCGATGACTTAAACTCGGTGATTCGGCCTATAACCCATTTACTATCTAAATTCTTTGAAAAGATTCTATATCTCTATCATTCTTTCTGTATTTTGCGGGGAAAAATTAGAAATATGTGCAAAAGCATATCTTTAACACTGTACTATAATCTTCACAGATCCTAAATATATCTCATTTTCAATAGGAATCATATTTTGAATCAGGTAAATGAATACCAGTTGAAAAACAACAAAGTTTCTAACTACCACATAGCAAAGTAGAACGTCATCGAAACTTAGTAGGTTTTTCTTTCGAGCTTTTGGTTAATGTGTTCATCATTATCATCATGATATAACACTAAAACAAAATACACTAAACCATTACATCTAATTGTATCGATCAAAATTAATTCTTTGTATGCATTCTTTCTATTTATTTATTCAATCGCATTTTCTTACTTAATACTTTAATTGGATCTATATATTTATATGTAACAGTTATTTATGTATTGTTGCTTTATTCCTATTGTTTCCTGGCCACAACGGGCATATTCAGTAGAAGCTTAAAAATACTTGGGTTTTCATAAAGATTAATTATGTTTAATTGTAACTATATAATAAATTATTTATTGGATTATCATCTATTCTTCTAAGTCTGTTGTATTTATGAATCCTACTTATATATTTTGATCATATCACCTAGTTTTGGACGGTTGTTCAGCAACCAATATGATATATATTCAAGAAAAATGATATCGTAAGTAGACGTGATGACTTCCCGAAACTTGCATCATCTCACACTCACTCATAATCATCTTAAGGTCAAGCAAAGAGATTTAACTCACGTACGGAAGTTCTACGATTTGACTTCTAATTAAATCTTGTAATGAATTACGAAAATTGATCTATTTATTGATAGTCTATTAGAATTATTTAAATATGAAGATATTTGAGCAGACTTGCATTTATGATTATGCTCCAATAGAACTGTAAGATTGTTCATTGAAGATGGATCATCAGAATTTTACTAATCAAAATCATTTAGTCGGATGTAGATCGGTATTGATAAATGCCTTTTACTAAATATAACAAGAATCATGTCGATTATAAACAGTAATTCATTTACAATTCAACGATCAATGTGTGAAGAAAGAAGTGCCAGTAAGACTAAGAGTATATACAGGCAATGTTCAATTAGATGTAACGATGGCTGACATTAGCTATCGACAATAGTTACATGTTATACAAAACTAGATCTCAACACTTAGGAATGCTTTTACCTTTTCTGCTAGCGCACTTCAACATTTATCGCCAACCTTATTCTACTACACCATTATAACTGTAAAATCAGTTGTAAGATAAATGAGCTCAACATCATATGAGATAAGACATGGCCTTGAAAATTTCTATCAGACAAACATACAGTGATATAAAGAAATAAAGGGATTCACAACTATTTATAGATTTTCTGAGATTAAACAGTCAGCTACTAAGATCCAACAAGAGCCCACCGCTAATGTTGTAAGATTAAGCGAAAATTGTAAGGAAAAAGGTAGTTTCAGAAAGCTCAACCTGAGTTACATTAGGCAAAACCTTGAAATATTCTACTATTCCGTAAGATATCGTTATTAGCTAAGATGGTACTGAATTTAATGTGATATTGAGATCTTTCAAACACCATATAGTTCGAATTATTCTCAGATATTCGCAATTATAATTTTCCCTTTGAGTTCACCTCATGTTCAAAGAAAAAGTACAATGCAAGTTCATCATCAATGTAATTCTACAATATATTTTCACTAGGCTGAAGAGCTAGTGCTCACCGTTGAAAATTAATTTTATGATAATTGTATGCCTGATTAAAAGATGATTTTTAATCATTTTCTGCATCTTGCTACATTATGTTTAATTTTATTTCCATTAGTTTATGAGTAATATTTATGTGAATTGTTTTGTAGTTGACTCTATGACGCACGGCGATGAAAGATGCCATTGAATATAACATTTATTTTTTCGTTATCCTAAGCGTCTGGTGTAATTCTCAATTATGAACAGTATAAGATGCAAAGTAAACATTTCGCACAGCAGAAAATTAAATTTTGCTTTTAATCACAACTTGACATAAATTTCAAGGAGAAATATTTTGAGACCTTTTGTGAATAAAAGTGACTATCAAGACTGAATCGAAATAAAAATTAATATTCAGATCTACATTTGAGTCAGTAGGACTAAATTCATATCGATAGCTCGCTATATTTACGTGATTGCTTTACAGCCACACTTGTCCAATTGACCTATAATTACTTTCGTAACGAAAATACACCAACGCATTCCATTATCAAAGCAAATGAGATCATCTGCATTTTGGAGAGTCGTTCGTTGGAAGCGTAATGTTTATGTGTGTATAAATTTCATTTTCGACGAAGAAATGATTTATACTATGAATGAAAACAAATAGTAAAATAGTACAACAACAATACAATTTTGATGAAATTAAACTGTCAGCGAGCAATTTCTCAACAGAATCTACTCGAAGTATTGGAATTTTCATCATGAGAACTGACAATATATGTTGACCTTTATTAGTTCTACTGATATTGGATTTGATTTTTATCTCAGTGACTATCGTCTTGAATATTTGTTCGACATTAATCGAATATTTTGCTGATGTTTCGATATATTGAATGTTTAGCGAGTCAGCTAAGTTCTACAATAAAATAACATAGGAATGAAACTTCTATGTTTCTATTACAATCGACTAGCTCAACCTCTGTTCTACATACTTTAGCTTTATCATTGTCAATTACTTTCGTACTTGTCAAATCACATTTATTACCAACTAACAGCTTCTTTACATCGTTACCTGCATGTTGATTGATTTCGTTGAATCATGTATGAAGATGATCGAATGATTCCTAAATAAAATAATTTCTTTTCAATAGAGACAAAGACAACTCTCAATAACATACTGCATTAGTAACATCAAAGACGACGATAATACCATGTGCACCTCGATAGTAAGAACCTAAAAGTATGACGGAAGAATATTTCAAGGAAAAACTAGAACTCTCTTCAGCCCTGATTAAACATAGGAGATCGACCTCTGTATTATTAAATAAAGTAGAGTCTCTTTGTGTATTCTTATGATCGTATGCTCCATTCTGCCAAATATATCTGAAGAGACCTATTCGATATAGAAAGATATTTATTTTTATATATTAGCGAAAAGTCTAACAGACACGACCTCTAGTCATGTTATACTTAGCATTTTTGTGTAGTTTTATATATATAATCTAGTCTATTATATTAGATAAATGCTGTTGTATTATGTGAGATATGGCACACATCTTTTGGTTTTATAGCTCTGATGAAAACTGCCATTAACTGAAAATTACTGGAAGTAGTTACTATCAAATTTTATAGAGCTGTTGAAATGAATTAGTTGAAGTAGAATAGCAACAAGAGACGAAGAATGAAGGCAAATATTCGTGAAACTAGTTTCACATACAATTTACTACATAGGAAAAAACTAATGATACCCCATTCAGGAACATATAAAGGTTCACACGTTGACACAATATAGGTGTCTGTTCTGTCTTTCGATGATCTAGAGATTTCTTGATTGTCATTATGATTTTTTCGTCGGATGATTCCATATTTAGCATATTTTCAAAATAATGCAGTGAGCCCACGAAGTCTTATCACATAGCTGACGAGTGACGCATAACCAATGGAACAAAATATGTCGCTTTTTAAGGACACACTGGGGATTCTGTTGTAAGCTCTTTCGATAGCGAACATTCTACTCTTCAAAACTATCGTCTTTGTTTTTCAATTCTTTATTTTGTGTCTATATAAAATTTAGCGTATGAACACATGCTCAATAGCTCAACGACGACCTTCGATTTTTCGCAATAATCTATGGAATTGTGAAAGCCTTTGCTCAATAGGGTCAATACTAAAAGTAAAGCATGCCGAACCAAGTGATCGAGAATTTTGTGCTCTTGAGGGTGTGGGTGTGGGTGTCATAAAAGAGTCACTTTCACACCCAAAAAACGGCAGGCTTTGCCACGTTTACTATGCGCCACCAGTTATAAGATCAAAATTGCTGGTAATCGTCCGAAATCGTTCTTGGCCAGCTGTATCCCACTAAAATATGTTAATAAAAATACTGTTGTTCATTGCAACGCAATAGTTAGTTAGAAGTTGCAAGCTATTTCTTTCTCCATCGTTTTCAATCGTAGATGTTGCCTAAAAATGAATGATAAATTATAATTAGTATTCACGAAGAGCGAAAAACTTAAAAAATCGACGCCTATCGTTGGTGAAAAATTCTCGGAGAAAGTATCATCCTTAACGAGAAACATAATAATTTTCATTAAAAACTATAGAAAAAAACAGACTTTCAATCGTATACAGAGACCCGTTTTACCGACTTGTGAATCACCGATCAAGCAAATTTTGCATTTATGATTCCTATACTATAAGTAAATTGTATTTGTTAATATTCTTTCTATACATATTCAAACGAGTACCTTACCTTTTAACACTAATCATTAGAGCCTTGTGTCATTATTAATCTTTGCTCTTTATTGTTAGATCGAATGATAGTCACCAAAATTTATGATTGATCTTCAAGCAAACGAATTTACAAAAAAAAAGACAGATACGAAGATTACAAAACTTTAAATGGTTTTATGATACAAATGAGATTAAAATAATTATAAATTTTTCTACGTGATGTTTGCTGATTTCTCGTTTTTAAATTAGGCATAATTAGAAATAGGAATGAAGGCAAATTTATGAGCTTGGTGTGAACTATATTCAATTGTCTGCTAGATGTGACTCTATTCACAATATTTTCATAAAGAATCAATACAATACAGATCAAAGGAAAATATGTCACGTGGCAAACTTCAACATTTTACCTATCCACAGATTGATTACACAGCACAAAACAGATAAAATTATGAACTGTCATTTAAGGAAAAAGTCTTTTTTCTTGCATACTTCTACAAAATAACCAATTTGCCTTGGTAACACAAACAAGAATACAAGAGAGAAAGATGTTGAGTGTATATTTTCGAGTCTTTCATATTGAAAAATGATGTTTTGTTTCCACATTGAGTAGAATATTAGAAGTTCTCTCGATCAAACTTGAAATATTTTTATTTAAAAAGCCAAAAATGGCGCTTCAATTGATATTATTGAAGAAAATGATTTCGAAATTACCTGAGGTGATAGAGTAGAAAAAAAACTATAATATGTTATGCATAAGAAGAATAATCTTTACAATCGTTTTTGACATCGTTTTTTCCGTATGTGAAGTTTTGTGTGTAACAAAAACGAAAGAAAATAAAACACATAAAGAAGCAAACAACAATGTAAACATCAATTTCACGTACAGAAAACTGGAAAAATGCCTAATAGCTGTAAAAAAAACAATTGTAATGATGAATCCGACATGATCTGATAGAATCGTGTCATGAAATTTATAAGAATCGATGCGATCACAAATTTTATATTCATTCATTCTCTATAAGTTCTCTCTTTGTCTCTAACTAGTTGATGACTTGCATACTAAAAGCTTATCCCCTATCTAGATTGCTTTTTCAATAACAACAAACAGAAAAGGATCCTGAATATCGGCATAGAAACAGAATACAACGATTTTGGCAACATGTGACATATAGGCTGACAACTTTATTCTCATACATATCCCCATATGCATATACTCTTAAGTTTATATCCTTACGACTAAGCTTTTGCTTCTGTATGCCAATAAAATTAGCGTACACTTTCGGTAGTTAGAAAAACCCTTTTTCTCTTTTACTATACATTATGTCGGAAAATTCATAAGATAATTACAATGGATACCGTAAAAAGTATTCATTTTGAATTGAGAATACATAAAAGTATAGTTATTGCTGATTGGTTATCTTCAATTTTGGCGAATTCTAAGATTTTCTCATTTTTCAATTTCAGTTTCAATACTGTTTTTTTTCAAAGAAACAAACAATATGACGAATTGAAAATGCAACGAACAAATGTTATAATGTATAATTTACAGAAAAACTCAGGCAGTAAACAATAATAAGATTCCATAACGGGAAAATAAAAATAAACTAATTGTTCGATACTACAATTAGGATAAAAACTGATTATTCTAGTTAACTGTTTTTCATCCATAAAAAGTTGTAATGCATCCTCGAGAAAAGAGTCTTTTCTATAATTGAGTACTAACAATGTATCTTTTGTATGATTAGAGTTGTATTTTTGTTTCGAATTTCAGATACTATCCATCGAATGGCAATTTATCTTATGAAGGAAAATAAATTGTATAAAAGATTCAAATTTTTATCTCATCCTATAAGTAAGATGACAGAAAGCACTGAATCTTATCAAAAATTTAGAAAAAGAAGAATAAAGACTAGAAAATGTTTTGGTACTCAACACTTACTTAGTAATACTGCTTCTAAATTATTTCACTGCTTTAATAAAACATAAAAGTGTATATTGAGAATGAGTACACTTAGAATATATAAGAGGACACATAATCAGTAGTCTGTACTTTCGTACGGCCAACAAATACAAATTATGATGGTATCGTGTTTTTTGTGTCTAAATAGATGCTGATTTTTCCTTTCATTCTCATTCGTTCTGTGCAATGTGCTGCTTGTCTCAGCTCAATTTGCATGACACCTAAAAAATAACTTTTTACTAGAAATAAAGCTTTACAGATTCTGTATACTAATGTGTCATCAAACAGTGAAAATGTTTGTCATATAATATCAATGTAAATTATTTATAAATCGATTAATGAATCCAGTTGAGTATCAGTTAAAATTAGCGATAACACCTATCATACCGATGTAAAAGTAATACATTGTATGAATCCGATAGCTTTTGGTCATCAAAAATAAAAACCAATACTTGTTTACTGTCGCCATGTACTAGTGAATAAATAACGACCAAACTCTAATACTCTTATATACTTGTCCCTGAAAATGTCAAGTGACATGAAAGCCACGGCAACAATACCAAGTTATATATGCTTCTTAAATCACCGACTAGTTTTCGTCCTTTAAGCATTAGTCTAAACAAAATGTTTCACAGAAATATTTACGTTTCAAAAATCAAGATTATACGGATGATTCTAAAACGATATGGCTCACATTTTCGTTTTCAGTTATTAACAGTGACAATGCAAACGCAAATTTTCGCATCGAACTATGTGATCGGAAACCCAAATCGTGCCCATCTATTGCATATATATATATATATATGATGATCACTCGTGCACTAGTATGTTCACTTCACGCATATTACAGTGATTATATCCTTGAAAAGAGTGAACAGTTCGATTTGATTTAATAAATATTGCCATGAAAAATTTTGATTTTTTTTGTTTTTTCATTGATATCTTGTTTGATAGATGGAGATAGTTATCGAATATTGAATATTTATTGTTTATTGTTTATAACACAGATTTTCTTCAATAGAATATAATAAATAAATATTTCGTTTCTAATAATTATGTTGTATTTTAAACTTAATACTTTCAATCCAATTTTGTAATTGGTCAATCACCAATACTCTGGTTATACATACATGCGTGTGTGTGTTCTTGCATTAGGATATTATTTTTATTATTATTATTTCTTTTGTTTCATGTTCATTCAGTAATAATCTTCACTTTTTTCAATATTTCAATTTTTAGATCCATAAAGCTACTTTTTTCTAATAAAATGTCAGGCTATGGTCGAGATTCTCGTGGTGCAGGCGACCAGTGAGAATTACTTAATTAATAAAATGCAAATTTCTTTAATACTTATGCAGATACAGCAGTGGCCATTCAAATAGTGATCATAAATCAGGACGAGGTGGTGGTGATCGACATACAGATGATCAAAATAGGTGATTGTTTTCGACAAAAAAAGATTTTGTTTGGTTCTATTTTTCTATGTTATTATTACTATTAGCGGACAAAAACGAAATGATTCCGATTACAATTCTCGTGGCGGAGTAGGTGGAGGTAGGTAAAACTGTTTTGTTTCTTGAATGCCATTTTTTGAACTTCAAAAATTGACAGTTCACACAGGATGATAAATGGCGACAAAAAACACTTTATATTCTCTGCAGGTTATGGTAGTGGAAGTAGTAGTAGTTACAATCGTGGTCGAAATGATTATCAGAATAATAATAGTGATAACTCTGGTGGCAGTGGTGGATATAATCGTGGTCGCACTAATCAGTACGATAATAGTGGTAGTACAACTGGTGGTGATGATAATCGTATGGAAACACAACGTGATACAATTTTTATTCAGAATTTACCAAAAAACGTGACTGTGTCACAACTTAAAGATGTATTCAGTCAAATTGGCATAATTAAAGTAGAATATTGAAGTTTTTGTTTTGAGAAATTTTGATTTTGCTTTTTTTCAATAGAATGATAAAAAGACAAATGGACCAAAGATTTGGATTTACAAAGACAAAGCAACTGGCGATGGTAAAGGTGAAGCAACAATTACATATGAAGATGAAGAAGCAGCGCAAGCTGCTATCAATTGGTATCATGGTAAGAATAGCTCAATTTTTTTGAATTAATCCTATTTATTTATCGTTTGATTAAAATAGGAAAAGAAGTTCTGTCAAGCATTGTTCAAATTTCTTTGGCCACACGACGTGCTTCAGCATTCGGTAATCGAGGTGGTTCTCGAGGAAGTCGTGGTGGATTTCGTAGTCGAGGTAAGGATAAAATGATAAATGATTTTAATTTAATATTTCTTATTTTACGAGGAGCAGGTGGTGATTTCGGTGGCTACCGTGGCCGGGGTAAGCATCTTAGACGTTTAAAATGATCGTATCTATTCGTATTTGTTCATAGGTGGAGATCGTGGAAGTGAATATCGTGGTAGTGGCCGTGGCGCAAGCCATGGTTCGAGTAGAGACAATCGGTCTAATCCATATTAAATCAAAAATTGATTTGAATTAATTTTGGTGATTGTTTGAATACTAACGGCAAACATTCTTAACCGATGTACACAACTTATCAATGTTTTTTTCGTTCTATTATCGTTTTATTGTTTGTTTTTTGTTTTGTTTTCCATTGCTGCTCGAAGCTTTCTCTTTGTTGTATTCTTTCAAAATACATGAGACAAACAAGAAACAATTTATGTAGTTAATGACTTGTATTTTTTTTCTATTTCAATACGAGTAAATGTGTTTTCTTTTTCTATGTTTCTGTGTGAAGTAAAAAATTAAAACAAGAGCAGAAGCAAAGAAAATTTTATATAGAAAATGCTGATTTGTCTATTTGTTTTTTTCTCTCTGTTCTAATGATGTTGCAGATGACGTTAAGAACATTAATCTATGGTGCTAGACAAATTGTGACGGTAACACGTAATAATGATGAAAAATTCTTGTGTGGTAAAGATATGCAAGCTATTGGCATAATTAAGTCGGATACAGTTGGTTTGAGTTTAATGATTGAAAAGTGAGAACAGAAAAAGCAACTCATAAAATTATGTGACGGGTTTACTAATTTTGAGTAATAGTAGTATTTAAAACAACAACATATTAGAATTCATTGTCAAATATTAATATAAATTGTAATTTCTTCTAGTGAAAATATTATAGCAATTGGTACTGATGATGATATTGCTCGACAATTTGAAGGGATAGAAGTAGATAAAAAGATTGATGCATCTGGATGTTGTATTCTACCAGGTATACATAAATTTAGAATGCATTTAATTTGAATGATCATTAGTATTGTTTTTCTCAAGGTTTCGTTGATGCTCATACGCATCCTATTTGGGCAGGTGATCGAGTTCATGAATATGCAAAAAAAGTATTTGTTGGTTGATCTTATTTTTCATCAAATTTTATGTTTTGTCTTTGTTCTCTAGTTAGCAGGCGCTACTTATATGGAAATTATGCGCGAAGGTGGTGGTATTGGTTTTACGGTTGAAAAAACGAAGTTAGCTACGGACAAAGAACTTCTTGTTTCGTTAGTTGCTCGATTGAAACGTATGCTTCAAGCTGGTAGGTGTTCTTTTCTATTTTTCAAATGTTTATCTAAAATGTGATTGTTAGGCACGACTCATGTTGAATGTAAAACAGGCTATGGACTTGAATGGCCCGATGAATTACGTTTATTGAAACTTCTTGAACAAGCTCGTTCACATGTATCTATTGGTATATCGATAACTTATTGTGCAGCACATGCAATTCCTAAGTGAATAAGAAAAAAAATAATGATTCGCTTCTTCATCTATTTATATATTTGGTTAGAAATAGAACAGCTGAAGAAATGACTGAAGATATTGTAAATAAACAAATAAAAGCATTGAAAAAATTCATAGATAGCAAAGAAATAAATGTTAATGATATTGATGTCTTTTGTGAGAAAGGTAAATCTTATCATAAACATATTCGCTTATCTACAATGCAAATTTGTTGACTAGGTGTTTATGATATTGAGCAAAGTCGTCGAATACTTCTTGCCGGTAAAGAAATTGGGCTTGGGATCAATTTTCATGGTGATGAACTGAATTACACAGGTTCAGCTGAAGTAATTTGTTTTTGTTTTCCTCTATGTTCCATTGATTGTTTTTGTTTTAAAGATGGGAGCTGACATTGGTGCACGAGCTATTAGTCATTTAGAATGCATTTCTGATGACGGTATTCGTGCTATGGCTAGTGCAAAAACTTTTGCAGTTATTCTACCTCATACAGGATATCTCTTGAGAATTGAAATGCCACCTGTACGACGGATGATTGATGCTGGTGTTCCGGTGGCTCTAGGAACCGATGCAAATCCAAATGCTTTTTCATCAGCTATGGTCTGTTTACTTTTGTTTTCTTCTTCTCATCGATATGATGGAACGGTTGTGTTTCGATTCTATTATTATTTTTAGTCGATATCAATGAATTTGGCTTGTGTTTTATGTCATATGAGTTTAGAAGAAGCATTAGTAGCTGCAACAATCAATAGTGCTGCAGCATTAGGAATCTCAGACAAATATGGATCACTTGAAGTTGGAAAAAAAGCGGATTTAATCATATGTCGATGTCCATCGTAAGAGATAAACTTAGGAACTAGTGTTTTTGTTTTCTACGCATTTGATTTGATTCAGGTGGGAACATATTATCTATCAGTTTGGTGATCATGCTCATCTAATTCAATATGTACTCAAACATGGTGCAATTGTATATGCAAAAGCTAAATAATTATCATTCTTCTTCAAAAAACAGTAATAAGGACTGTCCATTCTAGCCGAATAGTTCATAGTAGAGTATTAAATGCATCTAATGTATCAGTTTCATTTCTTAGTTGACCTATCAATTTTCATTTATTTCTTATAAAAAAATAGTCAAGTGTTAAAGTTCTCTTAATCAATAGATTAATCAATAAAGTATTTAAATAGTAAAATAGCAATCATTTTAATTGCTTTTCTTCATGATCATATGACTGTTCATATTTTGAAAATACAAGATGATTAAATGAACAACTACGAATAAGATTTCTGATTTTTCATATTGAGATAACTTGTCATTTTACTTTTAGTAGGAAATATGTGGATTGAGCATTCTTTGTGTTTAATATATAAATAGTGTTGGTATCTTAAGAGCAACACTTCAACTCAAAAGCTCGTCGACAAAAACATGTTCTTCGCCAAAAGAAATGCAAATTTCAGACAAATGAGTATTTTTTACTTTTTAATATTTCACATATTAATAGCTTATAATACATAGTTGTGCTCATACATTAAGGATTATTCTGCGATTAAAGAAGATGAAAAATTCAAGTTTACATTCATAGGATGCGTTGTTTTTAAAGCTTAATATATTTATATCGAATAATACAAATTTTAATTGAAACTAGAGAGTGAATTATTTTTTACTTTAAATCAAACCGCATCATGATCAATAGAAGACGATAATAATAAATTACGGCATGCTTTCATACTTAACCTTTAGAAGCTATTAGTAATTTTACATAACACTTTGTTTCAAATCAAAAGTAAACAAAATGTATAATTTTCTATATAGAATATGAATGATCTAAACTATTCAAGTTAGTCTCCGTAAGAGGAGTGTTTGTTTATTTGATTGGTTATACAGAAAAATAAACTACTTTGTTTTAATATATAAAAAAAACCGGAATAAATCTCAATCGAACATGATTTAAAGTATTTATATATATATGTATGTATTGCATTTGACTACAACTAGTATATTATGAAAGTCCATTTTTCTTATGTATATATTGATAGTGGAACAATCGCTTCACGATTAATATTTATAACTAATCTTCGCGGTGGCCGCCGAATAACAGATGCATCAGTTAGCATCTTAGATCTATTTAGTAGTCGTTCATGTCTTGATAAAATAGGCACGTGACTATTTCTTTTACTGGTCGGAATAGTGGACATCGATTGTTTTGTTCCATATTGGGATAGAGATGTTGTAGGTTGTTTCATCATAGTTCGTGATCGTACTTGTTCAGATGGTAATAGTTCACGGCTTCGTAAGTAACGAACAACTCTAGGTACTAAAATATTATATATTTTCTATTTAACATCGATGATAAATCATATAAATAAAGTTACGTGACAGTTTTGCAGGTTCTTGCACATTTGGAGTTGCAATATGAACCGCTTCAGCTGGTAATAATTCAGGAAAACACTTCTCTTTTGCCATAGTACTCTCTTGTGCATGAGCAATCATTTTTCTTTGTGGTAAATAAGGATCTTTCGTCATGGATTTTTTAATTTTTTCTCGAGTAACAATTTGATTATATTCCGGTTTCCATGGATGATATTCAATTGTTTGATAGGAAGTTTCGGGTTCCTCAGAAATAATGCGGTCATCTGCTTGTTGCTGTTGAGTAGAACGAAGAGGATGTAATGATCTTAACATCAGTCAAACAATATAAAAAAAATATGGAAACCAATAAGAGAAACAATTACCCTGATTTCTGTAGACCACGTTGCGCATTCACGCTGCCAGAATATAGAGAACTAGTAGCGCTGGGGGTTCTCGATGATGAAAAGCTTTTAATTAGTTTAACTTTAGGCAATTTTACTAAATTTTTCGACATAATTCGATTTTTTTTCTTAATAAAATATGACAGTCATCATGATGATAGTTGCGTTTTTTATTTGTTGCCGACAAATGGACAGAAAGAGATGTTGAAGAGCTGCGATATTTTTTTCCACTTGAGCATCTCTAATACTATGGAAGAGAGAACGAGAGAAGAAATGATTGTCTACCATTCCTACATTTTTCTACCTGAGTACCGTCCTGTACTTGACACAAACAATCGCTAGAAATCATAATCTAATGCATACAGTCGTGATCATCACAAACTAAACTGTTATTGTTATTTTAATTCTGTTCACTTGCTTCACTAAGCAATTTTATTTTTATAAGAAACGAAAAACTAAAAAAAGATCCGTTGCGTTGTTCGTGTCATCGTTAACACTGTCAAGAAAAAAAAACATTCCATGCAGTAATCGCTCATCAAAAACAAAAGTATAAGCTGACAAAAAAAAACGATGAACAAAGATAACATGCGAAAGTGATTTCATTCAAAAAGAAAATACTTCAACCTCATTACTATGACTTACAGTTCTTATATTTACTGGATTGTACAAGCATTCAGAGCAACGAATCAGACTGGCCAAATGTAATAATATACATAGATGTATATAATTCATCTAATTATTCTAACTTAATTGATTCGTTTTTCTCTCTCGATCATATTCATAAAAGTTAACTATGTTGCTTAATTGATGCGATCAAATTAAATGGATAGGATCTGTATAAAAAGAAATGTATAATACACAGAAAGATTATTCTGTATTCGTTGTGCTTTCGGAAATGTCGTTATCCAAAGAAAGGGTATGCTATTCAATGTCATCAATATGCTCTTCATTTCGAAATGTTTTAATTGTATTTATTTCAGATCGTAACACAATATAAAAAAGAGTATATTGAATTAATTGTTAAACAAAAAACTGCAGCATTTTTTAGGTACAAACAAAGGTCATGCGTTTACGTTTCATTCGATTACAACAAAGAAGAACTAGTTAGGTGAGTCTGATGATTTTTCTTCCATTTGCGTTCCTCACATTGTCTGTCGTTTCTTTAGCCGTGCCGATCAACCAATATGTAAACCAAAGAAATTCAGTATTAAAGAGGCAGTCTCAATGGCCGATGAAGATTTTCTTATCGCTGAACTCAATAGTCAATTTCAATGATAATTTATTTGTTGTCCTGTGTTTATGTGAAAGTTTTTTTTTCTACTGGTAATAAAATAATGGAGCGCCTAATAATTGTCTATATTGTATGATATTTTTACGTGAAAGTAGCAAGATTATTGTCACAGTTGAGTTTTATGTTGAGAAACTTGATTCTTTTTTTTCTCTGTCAACAATTAACTCGTAGTCAACGATATTACGCATTTGTTGAAACTTTATTTATTGTTGATCCTAATTATTTTCCATCGCTATCATTGATATCATATGAAGATTATATACGTGCAATTGTTGATACAACAAATATTGTAAATGAATAAAGTCTATAGTGTCGTATTCTATTTTTAGCATAGATATTTCAATCACAGAATGATCTTGATATAAAAATAGAAATAATCATCTCAAGCATATTGCAATTGAATATTGCTCAACCGCAGTCTCAACAACCATACGAATATGAAAACATACTTAGACAAGCAGTCTTTGATTATGAGAGGTAAATAAACATAAAAGAAAACTTCCATGGAAACTTTTCACATTTGTTTGCCAACGTTCTGATCGGAAATTATCCAGTCATAAGTCATGCAGAGAATGTACACGTTTGTTGGAAGATAGTCGGTCGAAGTTTTGAACATAGATTATATTTGACGCAGCCTTGAAGAGCGTTTCACCTTCTCATTGGAACGATTTGAATTGGTCTATGCAAAATTGGTTTATACAATAAAATGAGAATCTACTTATATACATATATATATATATATATATATCTGATTTCGAGGGATTCTATTGTTTAATCTATTTTTTAAAATTCATTGTATGTTTTGGAAACTCAAGTCTGTAAATTGGATGAAAACTAATAACTATGAAGTTTATTAGATATCAGTCTTATCTTGTTTTATATACTGATTGAGATTTAATTTCAGACAGAATTGGTGTTCTTGGAGTTCGAATGGTGAACGATTTGGATTTATCTAGGGAGATAGAACATTTTGACTACTTTTGTATGTAAGACCATTTATTATTTGTGATAAGCTAATAAATTACTTAGCTTCATAATGTTCATTACGTGACAAGTATCTTCACTATCAGATATTACTAGAAGATAATTCGTGTCACGAGCATGTCTGTATCAAAAAGAAAATTCTATACGTTGAGTGTATGAAAAAGTTGAAAAATAGAACTATTGTCTATGGAAATTTCATTCTCGTGAATGTTTTCTCATGTAAATTGTCTAAAACCAATAGATGTGTTGTTGAATACGAATTCACTTATAGATACGATTCAATTGTGTTATTCTGGTATCAACCTTGGGAAGGATCTTATGGTGCTCAAGGCTATGCTATGTTGAAAGGAGCTTGCCATCCAAGTTATAGTGAGCTTCAATTTTGTTTTCGTTGTTTTCTTCTTTGAAAATTAGAATGTTTATGAAAGAAATCATGTATTTAATTCCATATCAAAATGCAGCATTTTATCTTGCTCATGAATTCGGTCATCAACTTGGACTCGTTCATCAAGTTGATACTCCGTGTTATACAAATTCTTATATGTCAGTCATGACTAGATCACATACAGTTTCATATGAACAAGCACGTTGGTCACAATGTGAAAATAAATGGATTAATAATAATATTTGTCAGTTCGAATGTCTATTTAATAAACCAGATAATTATGAACCAATTAAAAATAAATATGCAACATTACCTGGACAACTTATGAATAATGATCAACAAGCAAAAATGATTGAGCCTAATAAAAATAGTTTGGGCGAGGTTTCGTCTTTTACATTTATGCCGTCCGATGTAACTAGTCGATGTTTATATTTTCGTTATTATATTGGTGAATCAAATGGTGGTAAGTTTGTTTTGTTGAATAAGTTTGGCTATGATTTAGTTTATAGAAGAAGAGTCATTTTTTCAGAAAATAAATATGCATTCAGCCCGATGTTACCAGGTTCAGAATGCGGTGAAAATTCAATATGCTATCTCGACAAATGTGTTTCAAATAGTGATCTTGATTCATCATTGTTGATTAAAGACTATGATATTGAAACACTTAATTTACATGCACATTGTACTTCAGGTCATAAACCCGAAGATTTAACAGCTAGTAATCATGATCCACATCATCGAATTCAGTGTATTGATTGGGAAAACGATTTTTTATGTCAAAAATCACAGAAATGTCCAACAGATGGTGCTTCGAGTACTGTTGATCTTTATCGGAAACATATATGTTGTGCAACATGTTCAAAAGATATTAATTCAGTCGTTGATACATTCAATCGAGCAAGATTAAATCAAACGCGCTCAACATTCACATTCATTATTATTATTACTACTATCATTATAGGATTTTTTCTCGTAACGTGAGCACAGTGAGAATTTTCTTTTCTTTTTTATCTCGTCGTAATAAACGTAAACAAAATAATATTGTTAGTTTGTTGGTAACTATTTTATTCTTACAAAACATTTACCATTAATCATATAGCTAAATGAATCATGTATCAGTTGATTAAAGAATCGGATAGAGCTGCAGTAATGTTGCTAATGAGTGACTGTCAATCTAGCTGAGAGTATTATGTCGAAGCAAACTGAGATTTGATCTATTAAATCAAAACATTTGTACCTGCAGTGTTTCTTTTAAAAAATGAAAAACATTTTTAGGTACGACTTTATCAATGCGACCGAAAAGAACAATCGATGACTAGTAATTTGAACCGTGGTGCATTCAAAGGAGACACAAAAGAATTTTCAATAAAATTGATAAAAAGTGAGATTTCTTTATTTTTTTATAAAAGAAGAATCTTTCGATTCATTACATTCGAATTACTTCATTAATTTTGAGTTTCATAAAGTGTGGTCAGAAAATATTCGTTCCAATTAAATCGCTATGAATATATTTATATATTCGTTTGATTTATAGTGTAATTGATGTGTCCTTCAATATATATGTGTGTGCATATATTGCCTCATCTTTTATTTTGATACAAATAGTAATAACAAAAAAACAACAATAATTAGAAGTTGATTAATAGCAACGAATGGGTTTAGACATTGTGCATTGTTCTATGCGAAAAAATATGCTTTTGTACGTTTAATCTCAATAATTTATCGTCAATAATCAACTGTGAAAATAAAATATTATTACGATGATATTTTCATATGGAAATTGATAAATATTACAAATTTTACTATATCTCATATTTCAGTAATTTACATAGTTATTTCAAGGGTAATGTCTATCGATCGCCAGTAAGTTTTTCATATACAAAAATGAAAAATAAATAAATGAATGAAACAGTAACTGGTGCATACTGTCAGCAATCATACATAGTAAAATGTGTCCTTGATTACGTTGACTGTAGTACACGAATGTAATTTTTTTTGTCTGCGTGTGTATATTAAACGTAAAATTGGTGGTTTCTAGCAAAAGAAGAGTGAAAGAAATGAATATTGCACACTTGACTAACCACCAGGTATGGCTGAAGACGAAACAGACGTCATCAGCTCTTTCTCTTGCTGAATATAAACTTGAATACATTATCTATTTTGTACATTTTATATGACAAGACGTGTTTTTCAGATTCATATAAAGAGACCAAAACAACCTGGTTGTTAAATACGATATCTATATATTGCTTTAATCTTTAGATAGTAGTTTTCTCAAACACAGTACTAATAATTTGAAACATGTCGTACGAGCAATCGTCATCATCGTTCAATGAAAGTGGTTTCGGTGGAGGTGAGTTTATTTTTCATTTTGATAATGAAATTTAACCAAAAACAAACAGTTATAAAAATGAATTTTATCTTTAATAATGTTGTTTTTTTATGAATAGCTACAGGTGGATATGGTGTTGCATTTAATGGAGGTTTGCAAGGAAGTGCAGAAGGAAGCTTTTCAAGTTATGAAGCAACATCTACAACAGGTTACGGATCTGGTACTGGAGCAAATGAAGCCCAGTTTGGTGTTGGTGGAGGCTTCGGCGGTGAATATCATTCATCATCGGCCTATGCAGGTCATAATCAGCAAGATGGTCTTAATGCATCGTTGGCTAATAGTGGGGCTGGTGGTAACTATTACTCGTCAGCATCTTATGGTGGCCTGAACCAACAAGGTGTTCTTGATGCATCGTCAACCGCTGCTAATGGAATCAGTTCTGATGGATTTCAACAGCATTCCTCTTCATTGACTACACGTTATGCGACAGATTCTCAAGGTCTCTATCAAGATCCTAATCCTCAAATCATTCGTCGACCAGCAGCAACAAATGCGCAAACATATGTTCAGCGAGTAGTGGTTCGATTTTTACAGCCACCACCAGTTTCTCCTCCAGGCGTAAGTATTTCAAAGAGTGAAGTGTACAGAGTGAATAGAAAAGAATGCTTTGTTTTTCAATAATTTTAGCCTCTCATCATCAAAGAAGTTCGTCCACCACAACCACCTCCGCCACCACCACTCTATATTCGTTAGTAATTTGATTAATATTGAGAATAATCTATTTTTATATTTCTAATATCATAGGACAACGCCCAGCACCACCACCCATATTGCCACCAATTGTTATTCGTGAAGCTCCACCTAAAATGCCAGCACCAGTAGGCACACAAGGTAAAATGTTTAATATAAGCATTGAAAGAAGAAGACAACAAACAAATTTGTTTGATTTTTATAGTAATCACTAAATTACTTCCACCATTACCTGTTCCACCTCGTTCAGTAATTATCGAACGGTTGCCACCTCTTCCTCCTAAACCACGTGATGTCGTCGTTGAACGTTGGTTACCATATCGTGCTCAACAAAAACGTCGTGTCATTGTTCAACGAGCTCCACCCCCAGTTGTTCAAAAGCCACGCAACATCATTATTTAGTAAGTGTGAAATATCAATTGATTGAATAACATTTACATTAATTAAAATTGGTTAATAGTTATGAACCACCCAAGGCTCAAATTGTTCGTCGATTTCACAATTTGGGCGTTGAACGTGCGAATCCAAATGAATACGTGGCACGTTATGGAACTCAATTGGAAGATTCCCATGCACTTATTTCACATGCCAGACAAGCTGGCGTCGTTGAAGATATTGTGAGTATATATTATATCTCGAAGTCAAAAATCATTCTGTTGTTTGTTTAGTCACCACCTGGTGGTGCAGCATCTAATTTTCAATCATCCACTTACGGAAGTTACCAATCCGGTGATGCTGGTTTTGCTGCAGGTGGATACGATGGCAGTGGTGGTTTTTCGACAGGAGATAGTGCTGCTTATGGTGTCAGTGGCGGTTTTTCGACATTGGGAGGTGCCGGTTACAGTGCTGGTACTAACTATAATGTAGGGGTTGGTGCAGGTGCAGGCTACAGTGCAGGTGCAGGTGCAGGCTACAGTGCAGGTGCAGGTGCAGGTTATAGTGTAGGTACTGGTGCTGGTGCTGGCTACGATGAAAGTGGTAATGCTAACGGATTCTCGTCTAGTAGTTACGAATCATCTTCATCGTATGGTACAGCCGGTGGTGCTGGTGGCCTTGAGTCATCCTTTGGCGGTTTTGGTCTTGCCGATAATACAAATGGTGTTGTTGGCAGTAATAACAGCTATGAATCGCATACATCTCAAATATATGGTTGAGAAACAGACAAATAATTTTTTAAAATTTTTACTTTGTGATGATACAACTAAATAAATCATTCTCAAATAAAATTGATTATGTCTTTATAACCAAATGTCATCACAGCACACAGATAAAATTGATTATTCTAGTTTGAAAGCGCGACTAGTCTCATTTGTTTTTAGCCTTGTATAGTGTGATGTGACAGCATACTGTCTACAAATGATTTGACTATATTTGTTCAAAATGTAAAAATAGTAAATCAATTGAATGATATAAAAAGAATAAATGGAAATTCGTTTTTTTTTTCTTTTAGTTAGTTTCACACATAAATAGTTTGATTTTGAATGAATGGTTCTTTTTTAATGAACCCTTTCATTTACAATAAACAAAATTATTGATGATGTGATGATATTCAAAACATGCATGAAATTTTTTGATGGTCGCTCGTAGTAACTTACTTATATCGAAGGTTACTATTTTATAAAGAAATATCATTGAATAAAAAAATTGATTGTATCTTGTAGATTTTCAATAATATATTTTATAGGAATTGTGAACGTTTTAAAGAAGAAAATAAAGATTATTTTCGATTTCAATAATGTAAAATGAATTTTTCTCTTGTTAAGAAAAATATTGATTGTTATCTCAGTCCTATAGAATTTTAGAAACAAGTTGATCGGCTTACTCCATTGAGTTTACCACATAATTTTAGAGAAAAAAAAATCGATTTTAATAATGAGACATCTCTAGCATATCTACCTATTGGTTATTATCTTCTATTTTAAAAAGCAAAACTGATTTTTTTTCTCTAAATCAGATAGCTATTGATGAAGTAATAAAAAAATATTTCAAACTTGAATTACACGAATTTCAATCAGATTGCTTACATGATAATATTCTTCATTGTTATTGACTTTTAGGTCAATGCAATTAAAATAAAAGTGAATGTTATATAAATGAAAGATGCCATGTAAATTTTTTATCATTAGACAGAACAGAAAATGGTGATATTAATCACGGCGAACATATTGAATAGGTATATACATAGTTAGTAAATACTTATTGAATACGACTAAAGTGTGTGTAAAATGATATACTTTATGACTCCGAATATAATCAATATTGCCGTGTGATGTGTATGTCAATGAAGTTTAGGTGCAACAAAAAATATTTTATGAACAACCTTGATCATAAATTACGGATGAATGTAAAAAAACGTGTAATAAAAGTAAAAGATATCCAATATAAAAAAATAAAATTTAGTATCACGGAGTGTTAGAAATCATATTAATATTGATAAAATTCAACGTTACTATTTTTTCTTTTAGAAAATTATTCTTGCTTCTCTCCCAACGTGGTGAGAGAAAAATGTATAAAGCGTATAGAAGACAATGCAAGTTTTCAAGCGTTTAATCAATTTATTACATATGCTATAGAAATTTCAAAGTAAATAATGTGAATTTTATTGTTCTTTCGTCGGTAATTGTGTATTGACTTTTAGGAAGTATAATTTTTCTTAAAAACTAGCACGTATGCATTCATCTGTGCCAGGTTTTTATCTTAATTTACCAAATCATTTACAGTGTAAATGACAAATTATTGCTACGATTAAACAAGCGATACACTATGCTCTATTAGCATACAACAGAAATGAATATTTATTATGTATGTATGATAATAGCTCAAATAAGATTATTTAATGAATATTTAACAATATTACATAAGAATGAAAAATGAAACTATTGGACACAAGTATCTGCTTTTGATGAGATGCTGTTGTTCTCTGTAATATATAACTTGTATTTTGTGTGCAGATGTGTGATAATCAATCGTCTCGTCAATCTTCATTGGTTCACATCTATTGGAGTATTGATTAGAATATTATTATTGTCCTCTGGTATCATCTTTTTTTAACTATGTTCCTACAAACATGTTTGTCCGATCTTTACAACAGTTTTATGATAGTTAACATCTTCTGAAAGCATATACCAGAACTTCAATGATTTTATATTGATTTATATGATTCTTATGTCTACCAAAAGTTTGGAACATATCACAGGTATTTTATTATTGCAAGTTTTAAGCTGATACAAATCTAATGAAATAGTCCTAATTTCAAAGTAAAACATTTATGAATATGAGTCAAGTTCAGTTAAATGATCAAATGTGTACCATGTTGTAACAAAAGAAATGCTGAAAGAAATTTTTTATTTCGATATTAATTTCATGTGATAAATATTAAGATGCTTAAACTTATCTCATGGAATTTTCTCGTCATGAGAAAATGTACCATTCAATACAAGCGAAAGCGTCCTAAACTTTAACTGATGGTTCATATTTTATGTTTTCTTTCTTTTTCGTTAGAATATTTTATAATGTTTTCGTCGAATTTATCTTGAGAGATTCTGGAAACGATTATAGGAAAGAGACTGATTTAACAAGAAAAAGAATTGTTTAATCGAAAAATGCGCCGATATAGTTTTTCACTCATTTCTAAAACATCTTTAAGGATTGAAGTGAAATAACAAGTATTAATGCATCATTTGATTCTATCTGTTACGATTTAATAGAAAGGGAAATGAATGGTTATTTATTTGCAATCTGAAATTAGTTGTTGCATTAACTTAAATATAAATTTTTAGGTCAAAGTAGAAGATCATTTTTTTGAAAACCATGTGATTTTGAAAAAAAAATGACTTTCTACTTTTTAGCAAAATTATTCATATGATGAACAATTCGATGTGACTATCATCTGAACATTCATTTGGACTCACGAATAAGAATAAGAATTACACGATCGACTAATAATAAAAGTGTAATTGTAAAACTTTATTTTAGTTTACTTCACAATCGAAATATATATTTGATATTTTTTTTCTTGGATCTAACAGAGAGTGACGTATTTACAATAAAATCCCATCATTCATATATATATATATATATATTTGCATGATGTTTTAAAAGTGTTAAAGCTAATTATTTAAGCGTCAAGAACTAAAGAAATTCGAACGGTAGTGTTACGGTGTTTCGAGAGTTACGTTAATGAAATTAAAAATGCAATATAATATCATGAAAATATAACAGATATTGATAATAGACAGTAGAAAAACTCTGAGATTATGCGATATACTAGAGCATCCATAGTAATTGATTATATTTTAGTTTTGAACGATTATTAGATGATACTCTATCATTTTCTGTTTCTGTAGAAAATAAATTATTCAGAGTAGCATTAGATCATCTCTGTTTTATTGTTTGTTTGTATAACAAAGCTGAAGAGTTAATTAAATTATATGAGCCTTTTTGTTGTTAACAATGATGTGAAGATTGAGCTTAAAACGTCAAATCCAAAACTGTTCAAAAAATTCGATAAAGCTCTTTTAGACATGATTTAGTTCTCTTCTTTTATTTTATTTAAATCCATTTAATTTGATTTTATCTCATAGTTTATTAATTTAAATTAAAAATTTGTAAATTGTGCCGTTTCGTATCTCGATAAGATACTTTATCAGACATAAAAATTTATGACAAATGACATATGTACATATAAACAAATTTTTCTTTTCTTTCAGTATTAGTCATACTTTTGATAGTGACACGGACAAGGATTCAATCCTTAGCTAGCTATTACGATTACCGTCTTGTTTTCCGTATCACTATCAAAAGTATGACTAATACTAAAAGAAAAGAAAAATTTGTTTATATGTAATTACATATGTCACTTGTCTTAATTTGTTATGTCTGATAAAGTATTATATCGAGATACGAAACGGCACAGTTTACAAATTTTTAATTTAAATTAATAAACTATGAAATCAAATCAAATTAAATGGATTTACATTTTAAATACAATAAAAGAATATAACTAAATCATGTCTACTATATCAACCTTCTTAACAAAAAAAAAATAAAGTTCTTTTATATGGCAACATCTAACTTCCAAAAAACAAATGTTCTGCTATTGAGAATTAAACTGAACAGGAATAAGATTGATATTTTCATGTATTATTTTAACAACAGCTCTTGATAAACAAGAAAAATATAATTATGAATATTTTACGCAGTGAGATCTAAATAATTGACGCATTATTCAATCAATTTCTATCTATTATTATGCATTAAGACTGAAGAGAGATATATGTTTTGATAATACCTTATTTTATCATCAAAAGTTTTGAAGAGATATTTCTCGAAGATTTATCATATATCGATGCAAAACAAAAATTGCATCAATTAAACTAACTAGACAAAAAAATATTTTGAACAATATTGAGTCAGCCATTACTACAGATTCTTTTGGTGATAGTAATAACGAAACCATTCATTATTTTTAATCACATTGTTGATTCAATGTAAAACAAGTAAGACTTTTAGAATGAATTCTTTTGCTTTTCTCAATTTTTTCCTCTTTCAAAAAACCTCATGATGACAATTCAAGTATAAATTGAATACATTTCTATAATTATAGTGATAGCTGCGGGCATTCATGCGGATAGAGAAGAAAAGAAACATAGCGACGACATGTTTCATCAAACCGAACATTTTTCCTTCCAATGCATTGGCGCATATGAGCTTTGCTAGCAGTCATAATATGAAAGAACAGAAAGAATAAATTCCATTAGATACTTAACAAAATTATGTAGTGACGGCAACAACGATGTTTGATGTACAAAAGTGAGAAGTTATATTTTGTTGATAGGCACTAGTAAGTAAAGAAACAAATTTTCTTTTTGGCTAGTTACACATATCAAATTATCATTTTACTTCCAGTTAAAAATGGCTGATTTAAACACAGTTACAGAAGAAATTCCTGTCGAGACTCATAGCTCAGAAAAACGCAGTTCGAAACCACGTGTTTCTGTAGCACGCAATGCTAATGTAAGCAGTACTACTGGCGCTGGCAGCAATAGTGTTGGTGGCAGTGTTGGTGGTGGTGGAGCTGCTGCAAACCAACGGGCTCGTCGCCAATCATCGCGCACTTCGATTCCTAGAGCCGGATTCGATCGTCGACTTATTCGGTATGAAAATACATATTGCATGGACCCTGATGATGATCATAAAGTTGATATAGCTCGATTACGCCGTGTTGCTTCAAGTGTTATTGAAACAGCTATTGCTGGTTATAAATATGATTCGAATCAAGGAAAACAATTTTCAGTAGCATTAGCTGATCGTGTTCGTAGTCAAATAAAACAATTACCGTTTCAACGTTACAAACTTGTCGTACAAGTATCTATTGGAGAAAAGAAAGGACAAGATCTACGAGTAGCTAGTCGGTGTATGTGGGATTTGAAATGGGATCGACATTTAACAATTACAAAAGAAACTTCAGATGCTTATGTAACTGTAACAATTTTTCTAGTTTATACCGAATAATATGAATATTTTTTTTTCGATACAGAAAATATACATTAAATAATCCAATGAAATAAAAAGAAGTTAATTTTTTGAAACATCCACAATCAATTTACCACCCACATTTGTAAATATATATAAATATAGAACATGACCAAAAATCATTTCTATACATTTTGTTTTAAATCTATATCGCTGAGTATCTATTTCAAGTGATAGATGCTTCGTTTTTCTTCAATATCATGAATGTTAGATAAATGCTCTTCAATATTATTCTTCGCTTCCTTTTCTAGTAAGAAAACATAAGGATATAATAGTACTGAGGAGAATTTGATAACTGAAATAATTGATTTCTTAATCCCTATTTTATATTGGATACGTCATATATTTGCGTGGCATGAATCTGATATGAGGTTAGAAAAATAATCACAGATAAACATATATATATATGTAAAGAGTCCAAGCATTAATACAGTCATTTTTTGATAGATTGCTATTTTATTATCGTCGGAAAATATTCCAAGATAAAATGATAGCTTTTCAATTTTCAACTATTTCAATAATTTTAATTGTTGTATCGTTTTTACACATTGATGCCTCAATTCATCGATATATTCGACAAGTAACAGCAACTCAGTGTCAATATCCAAACAGTAGGAGTTTTAAAAGCAATTGCATCTTTGTTATTCGTGTCGCTATTTTCATTTTTTAGTCGTGATGTGTGATTATGTTCAATGTACAAATGGACGCTGTGTAGAAGATAAAAACAGTGTTGACTGTTACAAATGTCAATGTGCTCCTGGTTTCACAGGCAAACTATGTGATTCACCTATTGTTACACGTACAATTCTTTGTTTTTATTTCTTTGATTTCATTGGATTTTTCTTATTTTGATTCATTTTTTAGCAAGCGCATGTAATCCCAGTTGCCAAAATGGTGGTGAATGTTCACAAACGGCTACAAATACATTTATTTGTATTTGTCCACCAGAGTATACTGGTAATCAATGTGAAACATCTGTATTAGGTAAAACTCTTTCATACCAAGATAATTACTGTAAATTTTCTTCTTCATTTAGACAATCATCCGTGTATAACAATTCCAACAATTGTGTGCCAAAATGGTGGAGCATGTAACATAAATGGAGCTGATTACTTATGTAGCTGTGCAATCGGATGGACCGGACGGAATTGTCAAACACCACAAAGTATATTATTGTTCTTATTAAACACCATAAAATAAAATTATATTGGATATTTTACAGACTCTTGTCCTGTTGACTACTGTCTATCGGGTGGTACTTGTCAAATGAATGGAAGTGCTCCGTATTGTAATTGTCCAGCAACACATTTCGGTCAACGTTGTGAAATATTAATTGGAGGATTAACCACAACCACAACCACAACCACAACCACAACCTCAACTACATCGGCAGGAACACCACGTAAATTGAACTTACATTAATATATGTATATGTTTATGTATATATATATATATATATGTCGTAGGATAGATTAAAATCCAGTACAGTTTTAAATCGAACTAGGACAGATTAAAATTTTAAAGTGAACTAGTTGACTTCGAAATGCATTTTAATCTCAACTAGCTGACTTTAAAATTTTGATCTGAACTAGGAAAAATCAAAATATTTTAAACTGAACTAGAACAGTTTCAAATATTTTGATCTGAACCAGGACAGATTAAAATATTTTGATTTGAACTAGTTCAGATTGAAATATACACATTTGGATGGATAATAGGTGAAAGTGAAGGCGAGCGCGAGGACGCGGGTAATAGTTCCATCTTCACCCATCATCATTCACCATAGACCCTTGTCGTCACCCCAACGCGTATCTTCAACCAGCCAGCCACGGATAATTTGACTAAATATTTTGATTTTTCCTAGTTCAGATCAAAATTTTAAAGTCAACTAGTTGAGATTAAAATGCATTTCGAAGTCAACTAGTTCACTTTAAAATTTTAATCTGAACTAGGAAAAATTAAAATTTTAATCTGTCCTAGTTCGATTTAAAACTGTACTGGATTTTAATCTATCCTACGACATATATATATAATCTGTTTTCTATTAGCATCCATTAGTTGTGCAACAAATCCCTGTTTAAATGGTGGATCATGTTATGCTACTGGCAACAGTGCTCTATGTCTGTGTAAACAAGGATGGTCAGGTCAATTTTGTAGTGTACAAAATGTAATAACGACAACAATAGCAACTACAACAGCCAGTAAATTTTATTTGTTTTGAAAACGTATGTTGTTTTAAAACAAAAATTTGTTTTTAAAGCCTCTGGCACTTGTTCTCCAAATCCATGTTTAAACGGTGGTTCATGTCTTCGACATGGTAATAGTTACATTTGTGTTTGTACATTACAATACACAGGCCCAACATGTGCATTGGTTAGAACTACAACGGCACCTCCAGTCATCTCACCAAATTGTATGCTATTATTTTGTTATACCATAAGTATTTTTTTATTAAACAAAAATCTTCTTTGTACTACTAAATTGAGTTCTCAGATCTATTCGTTATTTAATATAGCTACTAGTATCATTTGAATATTCGTTATAGCTACAATTACATGCTTACAGCAGCCATGTCGAAATGGTGCAACTTGTTATAATAGTGGTAGTTCATACTTTTGCTATTGTGGTTCTAATAATTTGTATACTGGTAAAAATTGCGAAACAAACATTTCCCCACTACCAACAACAACAACGCCATCACCAACAACAATAACGCCATTACCAACATCTAGTAGGATTACATTTTTTAAATCTTTTTCTTTAGTTGAATATTATCTTGTCTAAAAGATTGCCCATTAAACTGTGGATCTGGTACTTGTGTTAATGTTGGCAGTGGTAATCAAATACTATATGCTTGTTTGTGTCAAGGTACTCTGACCCCAACAGCTTGTTTAAAATAGTCGAAGAATATAGCAATGGAAAATAAGAAATAAAATACATATAAGAATTATGTATTTTTAAGTTTATCTTTAAAAAATGCTTCGACAATTATTTGAAATAAATCTTTTATGCATGATCTATTAAATTTACTTAATTTTTACGAAAAAATAAGATTTACTTTGATTACCAATAATGCTAATTAACTACTAGATTATAATATAATCTTTAGTTGCAATTTGTTAAAGACAATTGAGAAACAAAAGATATTGATTCAAATTATATCAATAGTAAATTTTCCATAGAATTAAAAGCGCCATTCATCAACATGAACTTCTTCCATGTTGAATTGAGGAAAGATTCCTTTTTAATAATAATAGGTTTAGAATATATTTTACTAAAATAAACCTGAAAATGATCTACTCCCAATATCTATATATTTGAAGTATATTGCTGCTTTATAGTAAAACAATTAGCAGTGAGTATCGTCCTCATTGAATATCGAATTATAAATCAATTGAAAGAATTATCTTAGTACCGACAATGATAAAAACGTTTTTAGATTAGTTTCGTCCAGGTCGACGCTACAATTATTGCTTTAAGTTTAAATAAGTAAAAACTGAAGGTAAGATTTGATGATTAGCATCGCTTTTTCATTTTTATGAGTCAAGAGATAAGTGTAGCGATGATGAGGCATGCCTACTTTAAAATTAGTATGCGTGTTTTTAATGATGAAAGTCATTTCAAGAAAGTATAACTTAATAAAATCTTTGTATTACTTATTCGATATCTTTTTTCTTTCCACTTTGTATATAGTAGCTATTCATAGATAAGAATATACTAATTTATATTAATATTCGAATGTAATCATATCGGATAAAAAAATTCGTGTTCAAATTTGAAATTCAAACAATATCCTCTGCTTATCTTTGTGTCAAAACGGTAGCCGTGAAACTTCTGTTGAATACATCTACATATTTGATTGGAAATCCAGCTATACTGATAAAGAACATAAATAAATTTATAAGATATATGATTGTGTCAACGTGTCATTTATGTTGAGTTCGGTTATTTTTTCATTATTACTATGGATTATATGACTTAATATTACAAAAGAATGTTGTAAGTCTTCATCGATAATAATTCTCAAATACTTAAACATATATATTTTAAACTGTTTGAAATAAAAGTTTCAGTCAAATAACATATAAAATAAAAAGGAATGGTTCAATAGTTTCACGTTGATCTAATACATAGTATTCATATTATATGATGTACTGAACAATGCTACGATACAGATTCTGATTTACAGTTTTCTTTTATTGTAAGATAAATTTTTGCTAATAATTGCATCATATTTTGAGCCACTCGATTTTGTTTTGATAGTGTGATGCATATATATTTTCCGTAATCAGTAAAAATTAGTACCTAAGTTCTTTGATTGACTAGTACAAATATATAAGATATAAAGCTCGTTTAATTTTTGAAATGTCTAATTGAATCCACCTTGCCTTTAGTTCATCTAGTTTATTATACAGTAATACTAACAATGAAATAAAAAATTGATTTCATTTTTTTTTATTTCGCAACTTCGACAACTGATATGAGGGAACGTCTCTGGGTTATTCAGCCCGAATACAAGAGAGGGAAAGCTGATTACAATCAACGCAATCATTGCAAATCACTGGCAATCATTGACAATCACTGACAATTATTGACAATCATTGGCAATCCTTGACAATCATTGGCAACCACTGGGAATCAAGTGATTGCTGTTCACAATAGAGACAGCTATGGTGCTTCTTGTGTATTTTTCATTTTAAAATGTTATACCAATGTGATATTTATTGACATACAAGTTGTTAACATAGAGCAAATACGTTGAACAGTAGACAGTTGAAAAATCGCCTGGATATCATTCTCTTATTGTGTGTGCATGTTGTTTTGTGTTGAAGAGAGGAGAAAAACATGAGATACATAGTTCAACTTCGAATATAAATCGATATCTGAGTAACTAGTCATAATTCGAAAAAAACAGAAAAAAAATCGCGACCATTTCAAGACCATTCCAAAGAAAAGAACAAGATCAACAAACTGGCAGCCCATGCATAATTTAGGAATAGATTTAGGTTTTCATTTGATAGATTATCCCACCAATAAAGGGAAAAATCGCTTTTGAACGAATATTTGGCAGGCCCTATTTCCTGACTAAAAAATACTGCGGGTCTGAAATTTGTTCTTGACACATATCTCGATGAGACATTCATATTTTGCTGCTCTCAACTTAGTTTAGCAAAGCTTTCGGACTCCGAACTTTCAACAAAAAATCGATTTAGGGAGCTGATCTTGAAGATTCCAGCTAATTCCATTTCCTCCTCAGTTATCTTCTCTGCAATATCTAACTATCTATGCTATACCTTTAAACAGATTTACAATGAACCCTTCAATACAAAGTTTGCAGCAACTAGTTTTAAACAACAACGCTGACAAATTGAGACAGTATCTTCCACAAACTCAAACACATCACATTACCCCAAGTGTGGGTGTCAGAAAAGGCGGGCACGCGGGTCTACGAACTCACCGTGACCCCAGTTTTATGATTTAAATAAATGTGGAAACTTCGGATTTCATCCGAGAGTTATGTGTACTGCAAAAAATGCATGGGACATATGAGTCATTCTAGAATGTCTGAACACCAAAATTATCATGAGAAACTAGGCAATTTGACTTCTGGATGCAGGTTTTGTGCATTTTGAGACCTTTTTCAGGCAATGTTTCGTCAGAAAACTACGATTAGGTTCAAAATTAATATCAGATTCAGAATCAGCGTTAAAAACGGAGTAGATTTATATATATTGTGAATAATTCTGGAGAAAAGTTTTTTTTGAAAAATTCCTGTAGCCCCCCTCAGGGATGGCCTGGTCAAAAATGACAATTTTTTCTATAACTTAGCCATTACTTGACGGATCCTTCTCATCTTCGAACTCGACCGAGATATTGATGAGATCATTCTGTGTACAAAATTTCATGGTAATTGGATAAGACTTTTAAAAGTTATCGTGCCTACGGACGCCCGGACGGACACTGACCGATTCTGGAGCGTACGCACTTTTTGAGTGCACAAAAAGGAATAAATAAAGTAGATTTCTTGATTGTTCTGATTTTATGTATGAATTTCAAATTTCATTCAAGAAACTTATTCATGTATGCGCAAAATAAATTTGAATTCACTCGATCAATACTACAATGGATAATGTAGTAAATTTAGCATTATCTTTACTTTAACTTAAAAAAGGATGAATTGAATATTTGTTCAATTTTATTTGACAACTGAAATTTTTACTAAATCATCAATATTAGTTATTGAAAAGAAATATGTAGTAGCTTAACTATATCAATTGATATCGACCCAATTTATCATTTATTCAATCATTCATTGTAGTGTATAATGGTTTATTTCTTTTTTTCCGATTAGTTGAACTTATAAATATGATTATTCTCATAATACGATGAACAAAAACAAAAATTATAAACTGTTCTCATCAACGATACAAAAACAAATCACTGGAGAAAAAGAGACTCGATGATGTCATCTACTGTGATGTATAGGAAAGTTGCCCTCCCATGTATATTATATTACAACAATATCGCCATTAGCAAAGAATCGACTATTAACTTTAGGTTTACGATGACTAATGCCAAGGAAAGCTTATTATTGTTTTATATTATTGAAATTTATTTTATACTTAATCCTTAACAGCTGAAAGTAGGAATAAAACCTTCATTTTGTGATGCTATAGTGTTTTTTAACAATAAACCTGACACAAAATATACATTATCACGTATTCAAATTTGAAATTTAAAGCAAAAACTACAGTAATCGGTTTAGTAAATTCACCCTATTAACAATAATAAGCTCTCATTGTTGTAGATGATTCTTCGTAAAAACAAAAATAAAAACCGTTTCAATGCAAATTTTAATTATAATCATGCAATTTTCAAAATGCATTACTGTTAATTATTTCTTGATCATTGGATATATTAGATATGAAAACATTTTGAAAAAACGTAACTGTAAGGAAATATTATGATGTAGGATATAGGTATCTTCGGAATTTTAAAACATAGTTCCTAAGATATAAAAACTAAATGTGTAGTAGCTTTCTGTCATAGATTTCTCAAAATTGCTTTGCAAAATGTGTATCATAATTAAAACAAAAGCAAGTGACTATAGAGTCGAATATTCAAAATGAGAAAATTTAGAGGTGCGATTTACTAATCTTCGAAAATTGATTTCAAAAAAGTGTCTCATCATCAAAATATTCTACTGATCCTTTCTCGGGTAGCATCCACATTTCTTTTAAACTATATAAGTTCGCCACAATAAAATAATCATTACCATTACAGATTTTAAAATAGTCGACTCAATATGAATCCTCGGCAATCTCTATTAGTGGTAGCTATACTGCTATTGACCATTACTACTGGATACGCACTAACGGGTACAGCACTCGAAGGTAGGATCGCAATATTGTTTTCATGAGTGACAAAGCCTACGTTTCTCTCACCAACATTTATAAATGTGCTTGTTTTTAGGAATACAGGAAAACGATATTCTTGTCCATCAACTCCTTATACAAACTGTTCAAGGGTGCAACTTAACTTGTGAAAATGGCGGTAGTTGTGTTTCAAATGGTATTTCATCATATTGTATTTGTCCATATGGTGTAATTGGAAACTTTTGCGAGTATCGATGGGATCAATTTGATGCTTGCAGCAGCATGCCTTGTATGAATTATGGATCATGTATTTCAAGTAACAATAGCTATTATTGTGTATGTCCCTCCGGAACAACTGGGTATCGCTGTGAAATAAATCAAACTGTATCTGACCCATGCAGTTATTCACCTTGTCTTAATCGTGGCACATGTGTTCCGATGGGCTCTGAAGCATTCTGTATTTGTCCATCACAAGCTTCTGGTCGTTATTGTGAAAACGGCTCATTAGATCCATGCGATTCGTCACCATGTTTAAATAATGGCACTTGTATTGCACGTGATGAGATATTCGTATGTGCATGTCCACGAGGAACACTCGGACAGCGATGTGAAACAAAAGGTAGACCTATTTTTAGATCTCTATAGGTTTCTTTGTATATGAATAGTTAGAAAACTGATTCTGTAGTGTATTATCCTGTTAATAACAAACACATTTTATCGTATGTTATCGAGTCATTTTTGCATACTTGGTTTAAGTAATAGTTTAGCCTCGTCTTTATTTTTGCGGATCGAAAAAATTAGACTTTGGATGTTAAGTTTGATAAAAATGTCATGTAATTTTTCAAATGCTCGCAAAAACTACTTCAGTTTTTTCAAAATTTGAAATGTTTTGAAGTTTCGAAGTTCACTGTTTTCCTTTGAGAGGTCTAGCGAATAAATTTATAATTAATGCGCTGTCGTTAGAAACCGTGCATACAGAGTAATTCTCCTTTGAATGCAATCGTTACTATCAAGAATAAACGGTACGAACATTTTCTTTTCAAGTTATAGACTTTAGTGAAATTGAGGCTTTTTCCACACATTACTGTAATCAACAACATAAACTTAAATGAAAAAATGTTTTTAGTACCAATAACATGCAATGACAGTCCTTGTATGAATGGTGGAACTTGTTATCAAGGAGACCATTCATATACATGTATCTGTCCTGGTATTTATGATGGTCAAGATTGTGAAAGAATAAATTTCTCAAAACGTAAGTTTGTATATTGTTTTTCATTATCCACCTGTAACTAAGCGATTTTCAGAATGTCCATTGGATTGTTCACCTGGTCAATGCGTTATTACTGGTAACTCAAAACATCCATACTTATGTTCATGTAATGGTACATATTATCCAGAACGTTGTAGTGGAAAATAAAGGAATATTTCTCGAACTGATTTTGCTATGATTTAGTATAAACAGATTTAATAGATCCATGATGAATAAATCTGATTTTGATCTGTCGCATTGATAAAATGGGTAACTCAGTGATACTAATGAAGAGATTATCTTTAGTAACTAATTATTGCAAACATTTTCAATGATAATTGTCATCTTAGAATTCCTCATATTTCCTTATTCAAGCACGAGATATAGCCATTGACTACGTATAAATCATATACACACTGTAATATAATTTTTGATTCGAAATGGCGAAAGTTTTGCTATTATTTATCAATAATTTCCTAGTTATGTTGCATGCAAAACAATTATAAAAAATGCTCTCTGATAAATCACAACTGAATCTGTTGCCGCCTATCAGAAATAGAAATCAGGTCCAATGAAGGAATGATGTCATTTTACTTATGTGCATCAGATTCATAGTAAATATTTGAAAATTAGATAACGATTGACGATGCTCGTTTTTACTTGTTCTTTGAATAATAAATCTATTGAAAAAATCGAAAATAAATGATTCAAACCAAAATAACGGGTGCGCCATGTGAAATGAGTCTCTCGGTATTTTTCGAATATCTCGTTCAGATTCTCACGTATTTATTTGATTTTTTCTCTGAAAGATAGCCTATCGAATTCTCTACAAAACCTAGCGAAGATAGTTCTTTCAACAAATCATTATGAAACTATATCCAGTCTACACTACGATGCTCCAAAATAGTCCACTTTCAAATACGCATTTTTATAAAACTAATTATTTAACTTTTTCTATTCAAACAGATACGAGACTCTACTCTCGTGCAATTTTCCTCTGTTCTCAGGTTTTATCTCTCTAATAAGGCTCAAAATAAGATATTTGGATAGGATTGCGAGTTGCCATCGATTAATTTTCTTCAAAAACCGTTTGAAACGATCGATCTTCCTCATTTTATGACACAAGAATTGCAAAAACCTCTTAATAGCATTATTTCCCTATCAGAATGATAGAGAAAACAGTTGTCATCAATTTGGTATTACGTCTGAATGCATCATCATTGCCTGTTTAATGTAACAAAACCATACTTGCGTATAATTATACGAAAGATTCTCAAAACGAAAGTAGTGCCGAACCAAAAAGAGGCTTTTTTCAGATAACCTGATGTGACGCTAAAATAAAGTTTTTGCTCAATTGATAGAGCTTTTCAAGAGCTACAAACTAGCCTAATCAATCCGTTTTTTAAGTAGGGAAGGAGCAGTGCAAAATCGGAAATACAAAATACAGTGCTTTGAAAGTGGACTATTTTGGAACATTGTAGTGTAGACTGGATATAGTTTCACCCGTTAAGTTAATATATTTATATTTGGTCGTAATCTAAGAAGTGCAATCAAAACACAAAGAACGACTAGTATTGCATAGAAAATAGTGGCACATAATAGGTACAATTCCATACTAATTAGCATTTACTAGTCATATACTGAACGATCACTCTGATTATTTTATGTAAATAGCAATCGAAAAGTTTTTCACTGATTCATTTTAGGCGAATGCTTTCAGCTCATGTATATTTAATCTTTCAAGCTCTAATGAATGATATCATGTTTTTCTGTTTCATTATTATTGAAATTTTAAAAATAATGCTAACGTATAAAATCGATTTTCTATTTTAATTTTTTTTTAAACAAATAGTCTCTACATATTAATAGTTCAGATCTAGAAAAGATGATTAGAATCGAGAAACTAAAAATCAAATAGCTCGGTCGGCGTAGAACTAAAGAGAGTAAACAACAAGTAGTATATAAGACAGTAAAAATATATTTTGTTCTGCAATGGTGGCAGTTGAGCCCATTTTGAAAATAAGAGAAATAGGGTTTAATCACTTACCACTTTCTAAATGATTTTATTGTAATTGGATCCAAATAAAGATTATCAGATTCCTTTCTGTCTCCCGTACATATCGTTTGAACTTTATTTCAAGAATATTTAAAATTTAAATCAATAAATCTACATCGGTCACCTGTATGTCTATCTCCCGTTTTTTGTTGATAGATGAATCAAGGTAATTTTTCTTATATGTGAAGAAATTTTCGAATTTGTGTTGTGTGACTTCATAATTATTCCGTGTTTTTTTTAATGGTACATAAAAATCAAATATCATTCATTTAGAATTGATCATGGATAAAATGACAAAAATGCTTTTCAACTGACCTCCAATTACACTTTTTTTAAAAGCTACTCAGCGCAGCCCCTTTGAGGCTAAAATGTGGAACGCACGTATATCCTTGAAGCTTCGATAAACCAATAAAAATGTGCAAAATGAAAAATTTCTCAGACTACTGATTTTTGCAGCAGTGTCACATATCCAACAAATCGGACATGCCAGAGATGCCACGGGAGATGCGGGATACACAGCAACAATACCCCCCAGCAAATATAAATATCATAGCTATAAGGAATCCATCATGCCTAATCTGTATCTGCCACAGAGACGCCGCATCTCTCGTACTTCTCCACAGAGAGAGGCTGCATCTCTGGCATCTTCATCTCCAGCATCTCCCGATGAAAAAATATTTTTTGATTTTTAGCCTAGACCCTACCCGGAGATGCGTCTCCATAGCGAGATTCCGCGTCTCACACACGAACGCTACATCTTCCGGCACCTACTGAGGAAAGTCACTCTCCTGATTTGAAAGCCATGACCAATTCCCGTCCGTGCGTCACAATCGAGTGTGGAAACTGTGCATATGATATTGCTGTACAACTCACCGCGACGGTGGAACCAGAAATGAAGTTCATCACATGATGGAGCGAAGCGAGAGGGTGAGTGTCGAAACACAGCTAGACACACTAAATCGTAGTCTTTCGTGGATAGAGTTACATAGGCAAAACACTAGATATACACTGAATCAGACACAAAAAGGTAAAACAGGCAGACAGCTAACCACGCCAAAGAGACATATCACTCAATGTTGGTGTGCGACCACGGTAGAGAAACACGAAAACACATTAACGCATTCGCACACTGCCACACCCATCGCAAGTGTGGGTGCCAGGAAAGGCGGAATACCTCGCCTACACACATACACCTCATCTCTAATGTGGGTGTCACGAAAGCTGGAAAACGGCGGTGTACAGATGCGGTCGCATCTCTGTTACTCGAATTATCGCTCTAAGATGGGTGTGTGGATGCGTGGGTTGGTGTACATACATTCAACTTGCGTTTAAGTAGGTGTGCAATTTTTCATGCTTGTCTACCGCAGCGACGCGCCAATATCGAATGATTTGCCTTTTCCACGTAGTTGGCAGTGCGTCTGTTTTTACCTTTTTGCCTGTCATGTGCTGTAAATTTAGTATTTCATTTATGTGGCTATATCCATGGATGACTATGATTTAGCAAGCCAATATTTGTTTCGGCGCTCACCAGCACCGTTCGCTGCGTCCTATGATGAATTAATTTCTGGGTCCGCCTTCCCTGTGAGTTAGACAGCATTGCTGGATAAACGGTTTCCACACTCGATTGTGACCCAAAGATGGGTATTGGTCATAGCCTTCAAATCAGGAAAATGTTTTTCCTCAGTAGTTCCTCGAAGATACGGCGCCTCTGCGTCAGAGGCGGCATCTTCCGGAGGGGTCTAGGCTAAAAGTCGAAAAATATTTTTTCATCGGAAGATGGAGATGCCAGAGATGAGGCGTCTCTCTGTGGAGAAGTGCGAGAGATGTGGCATCTCTGCGTGAGACGCAGAGTACGCTTAAATAATTTTACATACGCAAAGTATTTGTATTGTGTTAGTATTAGTTTTGTATGTCGGCGTCTCACTTGGCATCTCCAATATGCCCGATATTTCGGATATGTGAGACCTCTCTTCTGTTCAATTGTTTTGGTGGTTTTTAACTGCTCTGCTTGAAAATCGTTTTAATGAAACTGTTATAAACAGTTCAACCGTAGCAAAGATTCTTATGTAATTTTTTCTACTGGAATAAGTCGCTAATTCGAGGATCATTATAAAAGTTTTTCACAAATCGATAAATAACAATAAAGTAGATCATAAGTTTTAAAAAAACAAATACATGAAAAAGACAAATACTATTTCTCATAATTAAAGGAGACGTTTCAGATTACGGACATGACTGCACAAAAAACCTCAACCTAATTTTATTATTCTGATAATCAGCATTCACTGCTTATTAATTTCCACAAATTTCTTTTGTATTTTATCCTAACTCAATTTTTTCTGGTAATAAATAAGTGTAAATGAAAATGCATGTATATAGGATGGTGTAAAATTTCACGGGCTTTCAGAATATGCCGTTACTTTTTAAAAAAGTATTTTCTTTTGGTAACAATATCCTTAAAATACAGAGTGAAGGTTTTTTTCCAGGGGTATATATATATATATACAGCTTTTATATGTAACCAAAACTTCACTAAAAACCCGAAACTAGTACAAGATCACTTTGTGAATGTTTTTTTCTTTTGAATTGTTTTATATTTTGTGCTTAGTCTTAGTATTAAACAATTTGTCAGTCAGCCCACTAAATAGGCGAAAGGAAAAATACTGTTTAAAACAAATGTCACTATAATACAAGGATTTGCCCAAAACACATGATATATACATTAGAAGTTTTTTTCGTCTAAAGACAATAGCAAAATTAACAGATTTTCGGAAATTTTGTATTTTTTCCGATAAAATATAGGAAAAATAGGAATTTTTAGGAAAATATAGGACAAAAATAGGACGTTTTTGAAAGTATAGGAATTATAGGAAATATATGTCGATTCGCAGCCCAGGCTTTTCAATAATACAACATCATTGTATTTCTATCAAAAAAAAGTTAACATAGCAGAAAGTTAAAAACGTATCACTGTTTGGCTTGATGCACTATTGACGGAGAACGGTCTCCAACAGATAATCGTGTCACAATGTATCTGGAGTGATACATATTTCATTGAAACATATTATTCAAAAAACAGCAAATCGATAACATTCAATTGGCTCACTCACTTGATAGTCACTATGCAAGCGAAATGACCATAAAATGATCTAACAATATGTTTTTTATTAATAGAAATCTTTCAAAAGAAAACTTTTATTGCACCATTAAAATATTCGACTGATAAACTAGATCGATTCGAAGTTTATCCATATTTCTGCTATAACTGATTTATTTAAAGGTATATTTAAATAGTTATCTATAGACAAAGGTTGGACTTTGTTTTATCTTTTTAATTTAGGTGTATTTGAAGTTATTTGTCAAGGACTACACTATAATTATATTTATGCAAATCTGAAACAACTAGTTACTTAGCTAAGCGACAAATGTTCAATGTAGTCGCAGATCGATACCTTGAGATCGGGTACTTTGATTCAAATTCTTTGATTTGAACAAGTAAATGATATTATAAAGAAGTCATTTTTTAAGTTCAATGTATTCATTGTTCATTAAATCTATATTAGTATGATCGTAGAGATGCTGTTTATTATCTGGTATGTACTGATCAAAAGAGCTACGCTATTTTGTTTTTTAAGTTTATCATATCCGGGTAATTTCTCTAATTACTACATCCATTTATCAGCAACAAAATCAAGGTAATAAATTAATTTTATTCCATGCAATCAACTAATATTACTCAATTGGCAGAAAATTTGATAAAAACAATAGAACTAATAATTATTATATACGACTTGTTCGCACTTCAGTTCTGCATAACTTTGTTTGGCAAAATTAAAAATGTATTCATCACTATCAATATGATGTTCAAGTTGCTTTAATAGAACAAGTCATTGTTATTCAAAAGAATTCTGAAAATTCTCTTGCACAATAATCATTTGCAGCTAATTTTTAAAAAGTTCTTGGCAAACTATATGGATAATGTAGCAATCAAACATTTGAAATTTAAACGGATTTTGTGTGAGCGATGCTCGAGAAAAATTTCAAAATAAAACTCAATTGATATCAACAAGAAATTGCACTGCGACACTTCAATATTGGTAATGAACAAGTGATGTGTCGAAGTAACAACAATACAAGAAAAACATGACTTTCATCTTTTTTTTTAAATTAATTTTAGCATTTTTCTGATGACTATGAAACAAAGGGGGAAAGGCGGATTTGGGATTTTGAAAATCCCAAAAATCCGCTTTTCCCCCTTGCTATGAAATGTTTGCTTTTGAATGTAAAATATGACAAAATCATCGTCATAGAATTCTATCAACAAAATGAATTCTACATAAAAATATTCTATCCAGTAAATAAATCGCATTTGTAAAAGAACGCTCTTAAATTCTAGCACCAAAAATAAATTACGGACGATGACGAACATCTCTACTAGATCCAACGTTGAAAATTATTTTTGCTACAAAGTCACAAGCTACCATTTGATGATAGTAACTATGTTTCGAATTCAATTCATCGATCCCCACCAAATCCCATCAAAACTAAACACAATGCCCAACAGAAACAATAAAAAAACAAGACGAATGACATTTAAGTTGGTATTTTTTTTTGTCTAAATAAAGAAGTGTATCAATGACATGAACGTTGTTGAACTCTCACACTCTCTCTCTCTCTCTCTCACGCTCTCAAACTCATTTATTGATCAGCACGCATGTAATATATATAAGAGAGAACAAATCCTATTTATATCGATTATAAAAAGTAGTCAGGTATTTTGCGTGTTACTTGAATTTCACCACGACGTGGAGCTGGATCAAATTGAAGAAATGAATATTTTAATGAATCATCAAGTTCCATGATTGCAGCTTGATTACCGCAACGATAACAATAATTTGGTGCTGAAAATATTGTTACAACATTTTTGTCATGCGACCAGTTATAACCTGAAAGTTAAATAAATATTAAAAAATTGAAGATCAGAAAAAATAACTTGTATGCTAACCTTCCATGACCAATTGATGAGCGCGAGACACAAGTTGAAGACCGTTTGTATGATTAAATGTTTCCGAAATATCTTGCCCAAAGGTATAACCAGCACCTCTAGGTGAAATACCCCAACCTCCACGATCATCCGGATCCGACCTAAATTGATTAATGAAGGAAATTTCTCTTTAATTGATTCTTTTTACCATAATAAATCACACATAGGTCCTTCATGTGGAACTTCTTGAATTCGGTCCAAAGCACGGATATGATCCAATGTATCAATCGATGGACTAAGTCCACCGTGTAAACAAAAGATTTGATTATCAACTATGGCTGTTAGTGGAAGATAATCAAATAAATCCGTAAAATATTTCCATACATTAGCATTGCCATATTTTCGTAAGCATTCATCATAAAATCCGTATACTTGTGTAATCTGTCGAGATTCATGATTACCACGAAGAATTGTTATTCGATCTTTATAGCGAACTTTAAGTGCGACCAATAATGTTACAGTTTCAACTGAATGGTAACCGCGATCAACGTAATCACCCATGAATAAATAATTTGTATCTGGTGCATTGCCACCGATTTTAAATAGTTCCATTAAATCATGAAATTGTCCCTAATCGATGAAAAAGAAAATGTATACTATGATCAATCGATAACTATTCGATGAATGTCTTGAGAATAGTAGAAATTATTTTGATTCTTACAGGAATCATACGAGTAAAGTTTAATAGAATAGTATCTATGTTTATATGGAGTTTACATAATAATAGTTGTACTCATAAAAAAAAACGTAAGTTATACTCAGATTATGCACATTACTTTTTAATTTTAGGTTTTGTACTTATTAGAAATCAAATATTAGTACAATTGGAAAGATTGTTTCTCAGTAGAAGAGAATCAAATAAGAATTCTAGAAGATAGAATATTGAAAAAATCAAAATTTAAATATTTCGGGAGCCTCAAAAAATTTATTTAATTTAGAGTAAACAGAATAAGGAGTTCTCTACAAAATGGTATGTCTCGAAGCTCTGTGCAATATTGCTAATGGGATACATAGTAACTTGTTTGAATGTTCAAAAATGGCTTCAAGTAGAATTGTAGAAAAAAATGACTTCGAAGGCTTCCGTAATATTGTCTGACATAGGCTAACAAAGCCTTATAGAATTCAGAGACAGCAGATTTTTATGAAAATGGAATAGATTACATTTTTTACCTGAATATTCTAGAATTTGAAAACTTAGATTTGTGATTTTTGCAACTCACTGCCGTCGAGTATTTCTACATTTTTTTTTATTCTCGTTGAAACAGAAAGTTCCACTACAGTGCCTAGATGAAATTCTTCTAATGCTCAATTTAACGAAGTAATTCTCGTTCAATAACCTTTACGTTCACAATGTATAACGTTAAGAATACCAGTTATTATCTATGCAGAATAGTGCATTGTTAAGTACAAGGAGATAATGATCAATTAACTTTAGATACGAAATAGTGCGAACACTTGGATTCATAATCATCAACAAAGAAGAAAGTTTTAAATTGATATATTTACATGTACATCACCACAAACAGTCACCGGACATTTGACTTCTTGTACATTTGATTCTTTTGATAAAATATCTTTGGCCTGTTCGCATAAATATTTAATATGGTTTTCTTGTAGTGGCTTGCATTCTTTCAATTGTTCAATCCATGTATCAAGTTCTTTTGATGAGTATTGTCCAGATTTGGTTTCTTCGCCGATTCTTGATTGTACAGTCATTTGAATTTTTTAGATTGTTTAATAAAAAAACATTTCAAGAATCAAGAAAAAAAGAATAATTGATCTAAAATAGTAATTAAAAACATTTTTACTTTTATTCGTTAAATATTAATTAACCTTAAGAAAACATATGGATTAAATATCACCACAAACTAACAACATATTTTTTTGTATAATTATTATTAGTATATGCTCGACTCTATGCTGCAAAGTTTTTTCCCTTTCTCTTAACTAACATTTCCGACTGTCACAATAAAGGAAACGCACATCTTAATACATCTCTTATGCATTTCTTTCACAGACATCCCGTAGCCTATTAAAATTAACATCTTTTTCTCATCACGAGATGAACTAATCCAGAGAAATAAACACGTCGAAGAAGGTGTTCAACTTTAAATCTCTCAGGAGAACTACACTAACCTTCTCTAGGACAAAATATAAGAATCAGTTAGATATACTGGATTTCAACTGAGTCAAATGTTCAACTAATATTGTGCATTTGTCATGTTACAGGAAAAAGGAAACAAGCTCTTAAGGAAATCACAAAAAAAAACGAGACTAAAAAAACAAAAGAAAATTTACCAGATTTATTTTTATGGGTATGTACGAAAAAAAAAATAAGAGAGGAAAAAATCGATTCACTGAAACTGTCATTCAACTGACAATCGTAAAGCTACACACGTATTTTTTTAAAATATGTATAGTAACGAACGTAAGTTAAAGAAAGGGAAGCATTGTTCATAATTTTTTTCCTTTTGTTCCAAAGAGACATGTAGAGAAAAAAAATCAAGTAATGACACACATCGATTAAATCTCAAGATGAATAAATAGCATTCAAAATGCGCATTGCTTAACTGGACAGAAAAAAAAACTTTTGCCTAAGAATTTTCTCTTTCGTTTTTTAAACATTTCACCCTAGAGAAAGAAAAAAAAAGATTTCATAAAAAAACCAACGTCGACAAAAAAGAACGTGTGTACAATTTCTCTAAGAAAAAGAAAAAAGAAGATAATGAATTTTCTTCCTTAGTTAGATTTAAAGTCAAATCAAAGAAAATAGTCTGGCGTTTTACGTGTTACATGTGGTTCACCACGTCGTGGTGCTGGATCAAATTGAAGAAATGAATACTTGAGTGAATCATCAAGCTCCATGATTGCAGCTTGATTACCGCAACGATAACAATAATTTGGTGCTGAAAATATTGTTACAACATTTTTATCATGACACCAGTTGTAACCTAATAATAGACAAAATTTCGTCACAACAACAATAACGTAAGCGAAGCGATTTTCTACCTTCCATAACCAATTGATGAGCGCGAGACACAAGTTGAAGACCATTCGTATGATTGAAAGTTTCTGAAATGTCTTGCCCAAAGGTATAACCAGCACCTCTAGGTGAAATACCCCAACCACCACGATCATCTGGATCAGACCTTTAAATGAAATACATTAAAACAATTCAAAATAAGTAAAACTTTTCTTAGTCATACTATATGATTAGATAAGAAATATCACTACACTTCCATCAATAAGGTTGTATTAGAAGAATCGATAAAGTAAACTCTATTTTCGACGTATACTCTTGACCTAGTACATTACTCATTGCAGAGGCGTCAAAGTTTTAATGTCAAATAGAAAATATCTAAATCTATTAAAAGCCATGCGAACCATTGATTACTGACGTTCTATGCCTACGAATTTGTCATGATTGTGAAATGGCTTTTCTCACTAAATCAACTAAGAAAGAATATTTATCGTATAAAACATCAGTTTAACTCTCTCATCGCCGGCAGCGTTTCTATGTGTGATTGAATTTATATACATGTGAAACAAATGCAATCATTTCGATTGTATGTTTTTGTTTTAGACACATTTATGTAAAAGTACACGTGAAATCGCAAAGAATTTCAGAGCCATCCTTCCCTTATGACTCATGTACGATTCGCCTGTTAAGAAACACAAAAATGTGTATGCTATAAACGTAAGTTTACAAATGTATTTCATATGTTCCCAACCAAAAGATAAACAAATTTATTTACCATAGTAAATCACACATAGGTCCTTCATGTGGAACTTCTTGAATTCGGTCCAAAGCACGGATATGATCCAATGTATCAATCGATGGACTAAGTCCACCGTGTAAACAAAAGATTTGATTATCAACTATGGCTGTTAGTGGAAGATAATCAAATAAATCCGTAAAATATTTCCATACATTAGCATTGCCATATTTTCGTAAGCATTCATCATAAAATCCGTATACTTGTGTAATCTGTCGAGATTCATGATTACCACGAAGAATTGTTATTCGATCTTTATAGCGAACTTTAAGTGCGACTAACAATGTTACAGTTTCAACTGAATAATAACCACGATCAACATAGTCGCCCATGAATAAATAATTTGTATCTGGTGCATTGCCACCAATTTTAAATAGTTNTAGCATTGCCATATTTTCGTAAGCATTCATCATAAAATCCGTATACTTGTGTAATCTGTCGAGATTCATGATTACCACGAAGAATTGTTATTCGATCTTTATAGCGAACTTTAAGTGCGACTAACAATGTTACAGTTTCAACTGAATAATAACCACGATCAACATAGTCGCCCATGAATAAATAATTTGTATCTGGTGCATTGCCACCAATTTTAAATAGTTCCATTAAGTCATGAAATTGTCCCTATAGAAAAAAAATGCACCGAAAAAATGATAACATCAACAAAGTTAATGCTTTTCTTACATGTACATCACCACAAACTGTTACTGGACATCGAACTTCTTGTACATTGGATTCTTTTGATAGAATATCTTTTGCGCGATCACAAAGAAATTTTACATGATTCTCTTGTAATTGTTTACATTCTTTTAATTGTTCAACCCATGTATCAAGTTCTTTAGATGAATCTTTTATATCATCTGTCATTCTGTTTTCAAGTAAAATCTACGAAGAATCAGTATAACTATATCAATATTATTTCTATTAACTTCCAATAGAAGTAAACAAAGGTGTAAACGAATGAACAAAAACAACATTTGTTTCTTTTCATATGACAATATTTCACCATTGGATACTTATATGAGTCTTCCATAATTTTCAAAATAAATAAAACTACGAGAAATAAATTTGAATTGATCTTAAAATTGATTTTTATGTTTAGTAAAAATCAATATCGATTTTGTAATAGATGTCACTAGTTTTAAAAACTAAGTAGTATATTCAATATCGCTGATGATCTTATTTAGAAAATATTTTTCATTGTGTTTTCATGAGTGATAGAATTTTATAAGCGAAAACTATGATGACTGCCATCGTTACCAATAAAATGTTATCAAGTGATGGCTACGTCAATTCGACTTTGTTGCGGTTGTAACGAACACTTGTAAGAAATTTTTTTTTACATCGTCATTATTATTTCAATAGCCTCTGAAGAACAAGTAGTAATGGCAACACCAAGCAAAGATTATCGATATTCAGTAGAATTTAATATTCATGCTGTCGATGCACCCGGTACTCGTTTGATAAAAAGAGGTGATATTTATATCAATGTATGCATATTGGGTATGCATAAACGAACACGGTTGATGCCAGCTACTTTACCAATGCATATTGATCAGAAACTTTTTTTTGAAAAAGTAAACCTTAGAAAGTTTGCGGAATGCAAAAACAAAAAAATAAATAATATTTACATGTAGGTTTATAAATTTTGTTATGATCCTGAAGAAATACTTCAACGACTCGAACGTAAGATTTTTACTATGATAAGAAATAAATGACTGAGAATTTTTGAAAACTAGGCGAACATGTTCTAATTGAATTAATTCAAAATGATATTCCATCGCCTATTCTTTTGGCTAGTTTTGAAGCACCTGCAAAAACTTTTCTTTATCCATATTCATGGGATCGCCTTGAATATACCGGTTTACGTCGTTATGTTCTGCTTAATCGAACTATTGAGTTTCCTGGAATTTCACCTAGCTTTGAATTTAGTACAAGTCCTTATGTTGATGATGTAACTGGTCTTACATTATCAGCAACAAAAATACGTCCTGACTTGAAATTTGTAAGTTTTTTGATCAGCACAATAAAAAAACTTTTTATTTTTTTTCAAAGACAAAAAGATCAGTTTCACCTACTTGGAAACCAACGTCTGCCTATGTAACAAGGTAATTCATTGTTGTTGTTGATATTCTCGTTGAAGCTATGAAAATCATTGATTAGACCTCGTTTGTATAATTCGGCAAATCTTTCACGTTCGATAACCTCACATACAATCTCATCAGCAATTAAAAGTGATCATGCAAGACCTGAGACTAAAGAAAAATTACGTGAATTAAATGTAGGTCCAGAAATCGATTATGGTAATGATAATAGAGAAAATGAACGACCCCCATTCGTTGTGCGTCACGTAAGAAAATTTTATTTGTTTAAAATGAACATAAAAACAAATCAAGTTGTAGGTTAATAATGATCTTATTGGTCGTAAAGCGGATGCTCATGAAGTATTTAGAGATACTTTGGTTGTGAAGGATCGCACATTATCGCGACCTTTGAGTTCAACTTCTTTGTATTCATTCGATGATGGCTTTAATCGTGCCCGATCCATGTCTCCTACTCTTGGTCGAAGTATGAGTTCAATGAGAGGGCGAGCTCGTTCACCATCTCCATCTCGTCGTTCACTTAAATTATCCAAATCTGTGGATTTTGAAAGTCGAGAACGCTCACTATCGCCTTCACGATATCTATACAATGATGATACAGGAGATAATGGTAAGCTACAGTAGATTATTCTTAATAAAAAACAAAAATTTATGAATAGGAATAATAAAACTCAATTTGAAACGAGTATATAATGAAGAGAAAAGAGAAAAATATGGAGAAAGAAATGTTTTGATTTTCTAGCAACAGTCAGTCATGATTTCAAAATGTAAGTCATTTCCATCAAGTAATGTTGTTGAATCTATCATGTAATTCTGCCCCCATAGTTGTTGTGATTAACTTAACGTAAATCTTTAAATGATGATAACATTATTTTTCATTCACAGATATCTACGCCAGTAGTCCACCACGTCATCTGATGAGTCCTACATTACTTCGTGATTCATTTCGTAATCGCTATCGATATTCACCAGCAACCGATCTTAGTGATAAGGTTATTCATACTCTTCGACGTAATCTCAGTTCTTATGTAAGATTTTTGTTTGTCTTCAGAATTCTCCTAAGTAAGATTGAATTATTTTCAGAATACACGACCATGGCCTTATTATTCTGCATTGTATCGTTATCCGAATGGGCATTTGGACGATGATTATTTACTCGAAAGAAGTCTTCAACTCACGCAAGCTTAGATTTTTTCAATTTAAATACATTTCGATTTTCAATAGATTAGTCCATGTTAGCCTCCAATTTCTTTACTTTTCTTTTTCTTTTTCTTTTTTATTCTTTTAACACTTCCTTGTCCTTAACACAGGCTTGTCTTACATCAACATTCAAAGAAAAACAAAACTATTTTCATGTGCTTCAAACAGTAAATGAAATAATGTAACCTGTAATGTGATGGTCCATTAAAAGAAACACGAATGTGTTGTGATTTTCTTATGCTAGCTTTTATATGCACTATAAACATAACAAATTTTTTTTCTTTTTCTATTGTATATGAATACAAAAACTTACTATTTTTTTATTATATTAGTAATCTCTTAGAAACGAAATTAAAGATCCACTAGAACATACTGATTATATATTAATATATGCGCTTTTGTTCCATTTGAAAGTATTTTTAATAAAATCAACTGCTCCTTACTCTAACAATTCTCATAATAAAAGTCGATTGCTGATCCATTTCGTTTTTCTTATCTTTGTAGTACATATATAATAATATAATATAAATCGAAAACAAGCAAGCTAATAAACTAGAATATGATATATTTGATTAAAAAACGATTGGATTTTAATCGTTGCTTTTCCCTAACTTTTGCAGAAAACTTAAATTTTGCTCTGTAGAAACCAGTGATCATAATCGCTTGTAACTAGCTTCAATTCAAAGCTTTATTCCTTTTAGAACAAAAAAAAAAAAAAAAAGATTATAACTTTTATAAATTATTATTAAAAAAATCAATTGATATACAGTTTTATTCTCGGTGTGTTCTGAAAGTTTCAAAGGCAGAAGCAATTCAAATGATCTTAATTGATAAAGCAACTGTACAAAAAGGAGAGAAAATGTTTTTTTTGAAGGATATCTTACTTGAACAAGTGTTTGCATGGAGAACATTTATTTTACAAGGATGCTTTTGCTTGTCATCAATTTTGTAACATATTGGTAGGTGAAGCAGTAAAATAGCAGAACAAATTTTTTTAATATCTCGAATTTTTTTACAGTTTGTGTGGTTCGAATTCTCATCCTTTTCAAATAGATTTGATTGTATGCAGAAGAACTGAGATCGAAAATTCTCTTTTTGGATAAAAATGCACAACTACAGTGGTTTGAATAGTAACTTCGAATTGATATCTCACAACAGGTAGTCTGTTCGACCATTTATTTCAGGTTTGATATGTAGATAAAAGCTTTTCAAAATAAACTCATATGAGATTAACTGTAGAAAAATTGTTGATAGACTGTTCATTGTAATGAACGTAGCATATACAATTGTACAACGATGAAGTAATTTACTGATGTTTTATTTATCAACATCGTCAATTAAATACTGGACAGTTTCTCATCATATTCAGGTGAATTAATTAGATAAGGAAAAATTCAGATAAAACAACAACAAATAGCATGACAAACAATTGACTTGTCATTTCATGTATTCATGTTTTCGATTGGTTAATCTAAAAAACAATAATAATCATTTTGTGGAAAAAAGAACTGCTCTGAGTTTTGTTGTAAATGAACTATTTACATTCATTTTTCTATAGTTTTGATAAAGCAATACTCAACTTGAAGCTATTTAGCATTCGTCTAACTTTAATTTGTTGTTTTTCAAAAACTAATCTGAATTGTGGGCAAATAATTCAATGGTAACAATAAAGAGCAATGTTCATGTGATTCTACATCTTTTTTTCAATTTGTCTATACTTTAATTATACTGACCAGACTTATTATTAGATAATGAATGTTTTCATGCATCTGTGGGTCTATAAAAAATTCTGACAGAATTTTCATTTTGGAAGAGATAGCAACCGAGCGTTGATATTGAAACATTAGCAAGAAAGTGTATGACTAATAGCCAGATAGTCTACATGACAATTATGCAAACGATGAATGAATTCAATCCTAATAGCATCTGAATCAAGGCAAATGTTGAATATTGCAAAATAATTCAGATAATTTCTCTAAATTATGATATTTATGAAATAAAACTGTACCATCATTTTGTGTGAACATGTGTAGTAGAGGGAAGACAATAGCGAAGATAAGATAAGCCACATCGCACTCGAACTCTCATTCATATATACATATTGTTAATCTTAATATAATTTACCTCATCGTTCGTTTACAAAAATCATCGAAATGAAAATCATATACTTTCCATTGCCGAAGTTTTAATACTAATAAAATTGAACACTGACATCTTTTTTGAAAAAAGTAATGAATGCTAATAATTATAAATTTAACGAGTGAAATTGGAGAACATACCTTGCCATTCCTTTGAATTTGTGTCGAAATATTGCATAGTAGATCATATAGAAGAGACTAGCTCGCATATCACTTCTCTGATCGACTGTTTATTTATGCTGTAGCATTCTTCAGAGATCCTTTCTGTGAGGTAGTTTTAAAACGTTCATACACGCATGATTCAATGTCGAAAGAAAATATTCCTTACAACATTTATGGGAGCTATTCAGTTATTTAGATGTATTCTCGATTGTTAACTGATACTCGCAAATTAATTCTACTCACAATATCTTTAATAGCAAAATGCTTGTGTATTCTTTATTAACAAAGTGTTCGAAGTATTTTTAAAATACTCGACGATTTAGTCGCTCAATTCATCGCAACTATCTATGATTATATTATAGAGATGATCAGTATATATGTCGCTTTTGAACTCGCGTTTCCAATCACTACATGTGTTTTCGCATGATTCTTTCATTTTAGTTTTTTGATTGATGGCCCGGGTACATGATCAATTATATATTCAACTATTCGGAGACAATCAGAAGCATATTTCAATAGTTCCTGTATATGCAAATACCAAATAATATCACAATCTTTGAAAATAAAATATTCATTGTTTAGTGTGTTATGAGTTATATCAGAAGTCGTACTGGGTAGATGGAATGCCAAAAAGCATATCTATCAGTTGGCGGATCTTTTGCTGCCATGTATAAAAATCGTTCATAGGATTTTTCAAGCATCGAGTAGTTCTTGTACTCAAATCAATTTTCTGGAAACTATTATAGGAATTCTGCACAGGAACCTTTTATTTCGTGTCTTCCATAAAGCGTTCACACAGCATCAATCAGTTGCCATCTTGAACGATGTCAACTTCGATAAAACAAAATCAATTCGTTTGATTATTCACCAACGAATTTGGCACGAACTGAAAATGAGTTTGATCCCAATAGGAATAGACTGGAATAATACATTTCAGTGAGTCAAAAACAGGATGTTGGTTTTTTGGAGCATGTATTTCAGAATTATTATTAAGTGATTGTGAGCAATATTACTCACCATATTCTTCTTCATACAAGTGACAAGTATCAAGAAATGCTTCGTGTTTGAGAAATTGTTCGATATCATTCTCTATAAACGAATGGTCGATAATTCGATGAAACAATCAGCTCGATACATTTCTGGTCTCAACAAATGTTTCTACCAAATTATCTCGATGTCCAATGTAGGAATGAACAAAAGATTTGGAGAACATGACGCTTTCAAATGCATGAACCGATAGTATCTTGTCATCATCTGTACAATAAATCCAGGTTGGCACCGTTGTTCTTGAAATTGCGATGCTTTTTGCAGCAATGAGGTCAATTCACGAGCTGTTTTGTCAAGGTCAACTCATAATTCAATGATCCTAAGAAAAAAGTAAAACATGAATTACTAGCTTCTCTTTTTGAAATTGTAGAAAATATTTCTTTTCTTAGTACGTAAGCAACTGTCATTTAAATAGTACTTTTACTTGAAAGTATTACTTTTATCAGAAAACAGTTGTGCTTCGCTTTACTATTCCCAAAAGCAGATGCACGACAGGAAGACATGTGAATCTATTGGATACGTTTTCAGATTCGTTGGGGTATTCTTTAAAGTCAACGATGGGTGTGAAACAGTGTCGATTCACTGACCGAACAGGATAGAGAGGAGACAGGCGACGTAATCCGGGTGCTGTATGCGCCATTTCTTCCATATATTTTGTTTTCATTATTTGTAATTCATAATTTCGTAAATATTTTTCATACATCCAATCCATATAGATTTGCTTGTAAGATTTCGAATGAAGTTTTCGCGATTCTATTTGATACATTATTTAATGACGAGAAAAAGAATTACATATACATTGACTTACGATTACACTCCCGTCTCCAGATTTCATTTTGACCGGCAATCATTTTGAATTTACGACAAACCAATGAAATTTTTCCTAGATCAAAGATTGACAGAAAACCAAATAAATGCAACATTACTTCATTAGGTATGATGCAAAATGACGACGTCGATAACACATCTTCTATTATATCAGTTGTCTATACATGACTCCAGGTTATGTTTGATGGAGAACGTTTAATAGGTTTTTGGTACTTCGGAATTGTCTGAAGTGTAGAGTTTTTAGTCAGATGCAAAACTCATCGAGTAGTCTAGTACAAGAATTTGGAAAAGCAAACTATTAATAAGATCGCGGGTGCACAATTATTTCATGATGATGATGATAGATTCACACTCGTTTTGTGTGCTATATCCGAAAAAAGACATGTTCTATATTCGTTCGTCATTGCATACAGCGTGACTACAATCGCGGTCATTATTAGCAAAATTTGCAAATATTTGTTTTTGCTCTTTCACTCAGTAAGAGAAAAAAGTAAATTATGTGTAAAATACATGTAAGTCATCCAAATTCGAATTTTTCTTTCATATGAATATCAAAATTAAAAAAAGACGTTTTTTTGCTTAATTATTCAAATACAAGTTTTGTACAAGTTGAATGCTCGACGTGTAATGCATGTATAAACTTCCTGTAACTTATCTGATAATTGCACGAGTGATGTTCTGCAAACAGCCAATAGAAAACATTTTGTTCAAGGGCAGCTAATGTGAGGGCATACGACACACAATACTATACAATTGTAAAAATTCTTCATAGGAGAATTCTCGGCTGTGAAAATATCGTGCTCTTATCTATGCGAAGTATGGTCAATGTATGAAGAGCAAACCACCCAATGTGTATAACATATTTCAAATTTTAGTGAGCATGGCTTTAGAATAGAATGAGTAGATGAACGAAGAATTGTGAACGAGAATAATACATTATTAAATGTTAATTAGTATTTCACGGGTAATTTTTCGTGGATCACAGCTGTTCTAACAAACTCCAAAATGATAAGAAAAGTAAACATTGTTTGCAATACGATTACTTGAGAGAAAAGGAAGACTCTTTCAAATAAATGACATATTATTCATCTTAGTTTCGCTCTTTTGTGCAGATGTCTATTGATAATGTCAAAAGATTGTTTTCAAAAAGGACATAGATTCCTAAGAAATCAGACATACGGTAAAAATTACTGCTTGAAAGAAACAAAGCATTCATTTCCTCCTTGATTTTCGCTAAAATACATGTGAACCTGCTGTGTCTTGTAAAAATATGNCATCTTAGTTTCACTCTTTTGTGCAGATGTCTATTGATAATGTCAAAAGATTGTTTTCAAAAAGGACATAGATTCCTAAGAAATCCGACATACGGTAAAAATTACTGCTTGAAAGAAACAAAGCATTCATTTCCTCCTTGATTTTCGCTAAAATACATGTGAACCTGCTGTGTCTTTTAAAAATATGCTGTAAAGTTTTGAACCATCTCAACTCATAGAATGCATCACTCGCAGTATCTTTTGGCACACATTAAAAACGAATTAAAGTGTCGAAAATTTCAGATTCTATGTTTCAATTAAGCACAGCTAGACATCTAAATGAAATATGAAACATTGTACGATAGTTTAGCACTTCAAGTTTTATGTGTTACTACATCTCGTTTCGGCTACAGCTTGATTGCGGACATTTTATTCCTCCAATTAAGAGAAAACGTCGGCAAAGTAGAAACAGAGGGAGAGAAACAAAAATAGTCGCAGAGTGGAAAATGTCCGCAAAGCAGAATCGGGGCGAGAGGAGAGAAAAAAATGTCAGCATTATGGAATCAAGACAAGATTTATTAGGTGAAAAAAATACAGAAAAATCATTTATGAAGAATAGTTGAACATCTAACTGTGTTAGGTTGATAATCAAGATTCATTCCAAAATGATAATTTTTAAAAACTATACGATCTTTATTAGATTGTGTGGAAATTGGAGAAAAGTTATCATCTTTCACAATGGACATTTTTATTTGATTCGTCTAGGTTTAACTTCGTCACTTTTGATGTTTTTCTTTCACAATAAACATGCTTATAAAATGGCCAGGATGACACGTCATGAACAACACTAGACTAGCTCGAAACAGTTGATATTATTCAGTACGCCTATTTGCATGCATCATCTTAAAATATCAATTTTCCTTTGATTCCACAATGCGTACATTTTTTGCTCTCTTCCGCCCGATTCTGCTTTGCGGACATTTTCCACTCTGCGACTATTTTTGTCTCTCTCCCCCTGTGTCTACTTTGCGGACGTTTTTTTCCAACAATTAAGAAAAAACGTCCGCAATCAAGAAGACGCGGTTTTATGAATCTGCTTTGAAAAATCTTTATATGATCAAAAAGTAAGATGTCAAAATCAAAGACAAGACACAGATGGAATTGTAAGTCTGAGAGTAGGAGTATCGATTTTCATTGTCAAGAACTATGAATTTCGATATTTCGACCAAATTCAATGTAATCCAAGCGTTCATGTAGTCTTATTATATCATATTATAAATTGTTGAACTCTTTCGGATAACTAAGATTTTATCATATTTCTTATTTTACATATTATCAACAAATTGAACTATAACTTAACTAACTTTTCAGTATGGCAGCGTTGTCTGTTGCATAGCACATGAAGTAACTCCAGTCTCATTCCAATAATTTTTGTAAATTAGATTCAATTATAAATTCGTTTCTTTCTCATTAAATTCTTTATTCTATATTTTAAATTATACTGTTATTTTGATTGCATCGATAGAATAATTTCTTTCGTTTACATAAGGAATGCTATATGTTTAGGTTTCAGAAACTCCTGAAATGACCTTGATTTTAAAAGTTTCAACACTATTGTGAAATATTTACAAAACCGAAAAAAAGTTCATAAACTTTTGTTATACTCTTGAAGACTAATTTATGAAAAGGTAAATAATAATCAACTGAAATTACATGAATATCCTAAACAGCATGGCATTCATGGACAGTATATAGCTGCCTCTAATGGTATGTTAAAGTTGATATTTCCTAAAGAATTTATTAAGAAACAAAAACAAAAAGAAACAGTTACACTGTCCCATTATTTCATATTTTTGGAACACGTTTTAAATTAAAAGCTAACCATAGCGCAAATGAAAGTAAAGCAAGTGAACCACTTTGATGCGCTGCTGCCATCGAAATAGGTACATGATATAAAAGTGTTCCGATACCTAATGATGTTTGTACAATAACCATTGCTGCAAGTAAATTTCTAGCTACTGCTGCACGTCGACCGAATTTAACTGAAAGAGAAGCTAATGAAAAAGTTAATACAGCTGCTGTTGTTGTTAGACCAAGAACACGATGATTAAATTGGACAGCTACAGGATTCTCAAAAATATTTCTGTACCATGGTGTTAATGTTGAATATTCTGGTGGTATCCAATAGTCACCCATTTTTGGAAAAGTTGGATAGACTAGACCAGCATCTAAACCGGCAACAAATGCACCAGCTACTACAGTTAGAAACGTAAGAGTTAGTAAACCATGAACACCTATTGCCCAGCCACGTGGAACACGGGTAGAAGCGTAAACATCCGGCTTAGTTAAATATCTTAAATAAAATATGATTAAATCTTATATAGCTTCTATATTAATCTTACTTAAACGAATTCCATAAAAGACCTGAATAAAGAATAAATGCTGTACCAAGATGTGCAGCTAATCTATATGGAGAAACACTTGCACGTCCATCGATTAATGTTTCTTTATGTAAACCTGATTTAACCATATACCAACCTAATGCACCCTGTGCTGCAATTAAGCTACCAAAAATTAAAACGCGTATTTTCATCCCTTTGTCAAATAATCCACGTCGCCAAAACATGAATGCAGGGACAATGAATATAAGTCCTGTAGCACGGCCCCACATACGATGTGCAAATTCCATGTAGTAAATTTTTTTAAATTCATGTAATGTCATTTCACGATTCATTTGTTCAAATTCAGGAAAACGTTTATAACGCTCGAATTCTTCTTGCCATGCTTCAGCTGTACGTGGTGGGTTCATGTCATTAAGCCAATGCCAATTTGTCATTGATAAACCACTTTCAGTTAAACGTGTTATACCGCCAAGAGCAACAGCACCAGCAGTCATACCTGCTGAACAAGCAAGCCATAGGCCAATACGTTGTTTTGCACCGTTCGATAGTGGTGCTAAAAGAAGAGTATATGAAATTTGATGTGACTAACAGAAAGAAACGATCCATCTTACGTAGCGGTGTTTTGAGTGGAACTGTTGCTGATGAGCGTTTAAACGCTAATTGGACATTTTTCAAAAGCCCTAATGATTGACGATGATTGGCAGCAAAACGAAATAGTAATCTAGATGACATATCTTTCTAAATGTTCATAAAAATATGATTTTATGAATTTCAATAAAAAAAACATTGTTTAATGTATTAGAAAAAAAATTTCGACTATAAAAAAGTAACATTCTAACTTGAAATGTGCATGCTATTTTTAATTCATGTTTTACTATTGTTCAATGAGTTTTTCCATGTTTTATAAATATGTATATATTTCGGGCTAACATGGTAAATATGGTGAAAAGTAAGAGTTTCCTAAGGTATATTCAATATAAAAAATCTATTATACTCGAATTCGATCAAAAAATTTCAACTTGTTTTGCGAGCATAGGAATAAATCAAAAAATAGAATAAAATGAATTTATATATTCTAGCTATTGATCTTTAATCACTATTCCATCAGAGGTCTAAGAGATAAATATTTTTCAATGATCATTAGATGAAAACATCATGATCAAGGATTGAAAAACATTTATTCTCCTATGTCTGCCTGTTTCGATGAATGACAATTGCTATCGCATCATGCAAAATTAATCTGTTGTCAACAAGAAACGTCTTTTTATAAAAATATAATTTTTTCATTTATCTAAAATTTAGGATTCAAAAGAAACATAATGAATAAATCTGATACAAAACAATTTATTTTAGTTAGCAATACTCATGCTGATGGGCACTTTATTCAATGTTGTTTAAAGTAAAGTCCGAATAAAAGACCTGTGAGATTCAAATTCTTCATAGAAGACTGGAAACAAAAATAAATATTTTCATTTTCAAGGTAAACTAACGTTCCCCTAATCAAAACTCTCACTTCAACCGAATACCTTGCTGATGTTCATATGATTATGAGATACATGGTAAATACTGGATTATTGATCGATGACGACATCTTTACAATTTATTATCGCGATATTACGTTCATTTTCAAAGCTATAAATCAAGAAGTTTCTCTCTTGTTATTTAGGCAAATAAAGTTTCACATTAAATATTAAAAATATTTAAGCACTTTTATCATGTAGTTCAATATATAATTGTAGATTTTAAAATAATTCAAAATTCAAATGGAAGCATGCTATACGATGTAATTTATTTGTGCTGATGATTTCGTAACAGAAACGTTCAGTGATTTTTTTGAAATTCGGAAAGAAGTGCTGGAACAATTAGTGCACATCAGTCTTAAATATTCCTTTGCTAGCGTATACATCAAGATGAAAACACAGCTAATGATATATATATATTCGGCTTTCTTTCAATCTCCAAAAAATAGCTTGAATCCTATGTATAATTCATTCATTGAATAATGGTACTTCGCAGAGGAGACTATTGGACAAGTAATAATTTGAAGAAATTTTGCTAACAACCAAAAGATAGTTATTTGACAATTCAATTAAGATAATAATGTTTTTATAATTTGACTATGAAAGCAAAATAGTCAAATATAATATTTAAACTTGTTTTGAGATCTGAAATTTACAGAAAAGCATGAATTTTCGATAAATATCGGGTTTTGTAAATTCGTATGCTTAAAGTGAAGTAAACATGAATAGATATTATTGAAAATTAGGTCTACTCATTGATACACTTCTATATGGTCTAGCTGATTGTATTATAATTAGGATACGAAATTCAATCATACACTAATATTGTCTTGTAAAAAATACATCAACCATAGTTAAAATCAAGCCTGTCAAAACTTTCGTTGGAAATTCTTGAAAATTTTCTTGTTTCTTTCTGAAAGCATTTTTTTAATTTTCCAATTAACGACAATCTAAAGCGTGATCAAATCTGTATTTTTACACGATTCTTTTAAAAATGAATTGAACTATAACTTATATATTCGTAGAGAGAAAGTACTTATCCAGAGAAGTATATATCTTTTCCAATGATCAAATTATTTTCAATCGTGCATGAGAAATATTGGCATTCATCACTAATTTGTATTTAATTTAAACAGAAAAAATACAAGCGTAATAGATTATTTTTCTTTAAAACTCAAAATCATTTTTACAGCTGATTCTGAATGATTGTAAGAAGCTTTCAATGTTTGAATCCATGCAAATAGTAAGTTAACACTTTGGTAGATAATAGCAAAGAAAAGAAGTAAAATTAATCCCAACATGAACAGAAACTGTTTTCCAATTATATAAAACACCTTTTGTATTTTCATCGTTAGCATTTAAAACAAATGAAATCAATAGAATTAATATGAAAATTTGTATAATTATAAAACAAGGCTGAATATAATTTAATAAATAATCAATAATATAATTATAAGAACGATGGTTAAATAGATATAGATGAAATATCCAAAAGATACTGTTAAACAAAGGGGTAAGAAAATAAAAGAACAAATTTTCACATTTATTTATAATTGGTACGAAAATTGTCCAAGAGCGTATTTGAAAATTTTCATAATTCTTTATCTTCAATAAATTCAAAAGCAATTGATGAAAGAAATAAATAGTATATATCATAAATAAATAAATTTCAACGTAAAGATTGATTCCACAATAGAATGAAACTTTGATACATTGAATTAATATTTGTTGGCGTTTGATTATCACATGGTAAAAAATGAAGATTTAAATATTACAGATGGTTTATCTCATATAGCTAATTTATTACACGTATGTACGTCTTCATGTACTAAATCAGTGTCCCAATAATCGATTTGTTTCAATAATTTTAATAGTATATGATATTCACTAGTAAAACAACGAATATAACCGAAAAAAAGAAAATGTTCATGTGGAACAATTAATCGAATAATCGACATTCAATTTGTTAATAAATGATTTGATCGAAGATTTCTAAAATTAGTTATATTGGGCGTCTAAACAATATGATTAAAATATTTTGAATCAATTTTCATTGATAAATAATATAAATATAAAAAATAATCTTGACACCAAATCGAATCACAATCACATACGGTAATCATAGCATGATTATAAAAAAAATTTTAATTATTTTCATAATATTTTACTAATATTTCAGCACAATAGGTACAATGCGATGATTTACTTGCTACTCCATTTTCTAAACGATTAGGATGAATTGTTTTTATTATTTTAAGAAATTTATTTTCATACTTGTGTATTATACTATTATATTTTATATCACTATTTATATCACGTTCTTCTAATCCTATGCCTATTATCAATGTTTGCATTTTGTCCTGCCGATGATTGTGAAGGATTATCAATAACTAATGAATCTTCTTTATAGATTGAAACAATTACTATATGTAATATATCCTCAATATAATTATCATCTTTCAATTTATATTTTCGATTGTTGATAAATGTATTTTTCATATTCATCCATTCTGAGCTATTAAAAAATATGTAAATGACTTGCTTTCGTGTAATAAACGCAACTACACAAGTTGAGTACATTAATAGAATCGAAAACATTACATATATGGATAATATTTGGAAAATATCATGTGCTAATGAAAGATATTAGGATTGGAAACCATGTAGAGATACTACAAGATATTTTGATTGATAATGGTACTGTATGTGAATAAAAATTAGTGTAATTTTTCATGACTAGTTTTTCTACTCACTTTCTTGTATGAATGTGCTAATCTAAAAATAAACAAGTAAAAATGAATCAATTGTAAGTAAAACATTAATGTCAACTAAACAAATAAATAGAACAGACATGTTCTTATTCGTTAGTTTGATTTATGATCATCATTGAAAGTCATATTTAGAGATTAATATAAAAACAGAACAGTAAAGAAAAGCAAGAAATACAAAATACTAGTATACAATAAAAGCTAGCAGAATGCACTTAAATTTAGTGATCTTAAACTACTGATATAGAACCAAGCCAAAACATATAAGATATGAACTGAAAAGGATAAAATACGCAAAAACAGCTAATTAGACTGAATATTCCATTGGGTAGAAGCGCCGATTCTATACTTTGATCATTAATCAGGAGAAGAAATCTAAGATAACACACATAGATTTTACTCATATCAAGTGTCAATAGAAAAAGCAAATATATATACCAACGCGAAAAGCATGCATAATTAATTGTCGCCCATCGATCGCATTTTGGTTTTTTCTATGTCGTCGCAAATGAAACACCCGAAAAAAGGATAACAAATCAAAATTGATTATGCACAATATAAAATCTATAATAAATAATGATCAATGAGTCGATTTCAAGGTGATTACATACACTTAGTAGACGTAAACAGCTCAATTAGATTAGTATGAAAACATTTTAATCGTCTTTCTTTTACCAGTAACAATATTGTAACTAGAGGTGTCAGTCGAAGGGTTGAACGACGGCGGCGCGCAACAATTTTTAATTTTTAAAGGTTTCCAGTGGCTCCTTCTTTGAATGAGTAATGTCTTCAGCGGCGGCTGCTATAAATTCTTAAAATTTTTTCCACAGTGGCGGCGCCGGTTGATATTTGCAAGTCCTTATGTGACGGCGGCGGCTCAGTTAAAAATTCACCGATGAAAATTAAAAGAAAAATGTTCGATTCGATCGCGTATGTACTAATGTCAGCTGCGGCGGCTCCGTTGCACAGCTGACACCTGCAATTGTAACTTTTTATACAATATTCATTAAAATCAATCTTAATCAACGATGCTTGATAATGCGAATGCAAAAATAAACTTTTAAACACAAGTCAAACATTAGGAAAACTCTGAATAATATGTTTAATTGCATTAGTCAACTAATCCGGTAGCATTGCTGCCCAATAACGATTAACATTACCTTGAGGGCTCGAAAATGATTAGCTCATGCATCCACTGGTCATGAAGTCACCTGATTATGTTGTTATTTTTGCATGTTCTATATTTTCATTTGTTTTTTTCACCATCATCAGATACATACCGATGATTCACTATGCTAAATAGAAGCCTATTTAGCTCAAAATAGCTATTTCTTGGATTTAATTTTAAATAATTATGCATATAAATTATATTTTCAAAAGAAAAACATGAGTAAATGGATTCTTTTTTGAAATGATAATGATTACGTTCCATATTCATATTGTTTTGACAGTCATACAATGAATTTAATGATGGTTCTTTTACTAATATCAATTTAAAACGTGCATACCAGCTAAAACACTAATAGCAATTCAATAGTTCTGTATTATTTCTAAAGATTCATACGTAAGTGTTCTTGAAGAACTATATGATTAATACATAAAAATCTGGACGATTTACTCATACTTGTTTGAAATTAAAATTTTGCTAAAATGTCAGGAATACATTATTTGGACTGAATATAGAGTAAAACAAATTCACACTTCAAAATTAAATCAAATTAAAATGATAATTTTAAAAATACATTTCACAGAAACTCTTATGGATTTATCAAAGACACAACATTTGATTGGTACTTGACGTTCAATCGAACTTGATCTACAACTCTAGATGTGATAAAAAAAAACAAGAATGATGAAATATGAATGATGCAATATTAATTTTTTTGTACAGCATGACATGTGTAGGAGTGAAAATAAATTAAAAATATTGTTACATTTTTAGCAAGACATAATCAGTCATTTATATTACTTTATCATCATAACGAATGAATTTCATAGCTAACAGATGTTATTTTCCTTATTCTTGAGGATGACTTCGACAGATGCATATTCAGACGTCATTATTACCTTATTGACATATTAGTAACAAAAATTACATTTCTTCTCTATTCCTACAATTGATTTGATTGCTGATACCGATACATAGATGGGGATTCATGAAACCAAAAGCAAATGAATATTAAATACTAGAAAGATTGTCATGCAATTATTTAGAAAATTGAAAATACATGAAGAGACGTGAAAGATGAAGCAATGGAATAACGAGTGCCATTGCGCATCGTTTACTTTCTTGCTTTAGTATTTTTAATATTAAATATGTTTATTCCTTCATGATTTTCTTATGCTATTAGCATACAACAATCCAGTATGATAGATTTTCTAGTCATGCAGATGCAGTTCTCCTTAAATACAGAAACTAGCTTTGAGTAGTTCATAGAGCCGGATAAAATTCATTCATAGAAAAAGAATTGATACCGTTTGTAGAAATCAGACAATAACTAAAATGTTAGTATTTAGAAAAAAGTTGACAAATAGAATAATGATTCCATCTTATTCTCTCTTTGATTATCATTGGATAATTCACTTATATATTTCTCGTGTTGTAATTTAAAAAAACTCAATCACCAACCAAAAACAAAGAAAATACATAGATACATCTTTAGAATGTTCTTTCTCATTAGGAGAGTAGACATTTGATTTGATACGAAGAATAAATTCTTGTGCTAATGTAACTACCATCACCGAACGCAGCTCAGCTCATGTAACATATGTCGTCGAGCAGATATAAAATAAAATGTATACGATTAATCTAATAAGTGATAAAACACACATCTAGGCTTCGTTACAACCTTCAAAAGAAAGAAAGAAAGAAAAAAATGTTGATAACAATTCAATATTTATATTCGAATAAAAAAATCACTTACAGTTTTCCATGATAATTCAAAGTAATTTCTGATTGTGGTGGCAAATCATATAAAGAAATAACTTGTTTATGTGCATCAACCATGCATGTTGCTTCCGATTTACTAGCTTTTGCTATAAAATGGTTATCAATATCGATGGGTCCTGAAAAACGTGCAACAATTTCTCCAGCTTGTATCCATTCTAATGCATGTAAAGATTTTCTTTTTTCATCTGTTGCCGAGCGTGTAAAGCATTTTGTTGAATACCATTTGGTTTTTAATTCTCGCACACGTCTTTGTAAATATGGTGACATGTATAGATAAAAACGTTTTTGAAATTCTTCATCACGATATCGATCAAACATGAGTGTACCAACACATGATGGTGTGTTACATTCACATACTAGACCGCGAATTAATGATGATTCAGTTTCAAGAAAACTATAATCATATGTTAATTCTTCACCAATACTAATGGATCGCATAGCTACAATAGTTTGCCCATAATCGGAATCGAAACCACAATTGGGTTCACACGAATGATTAAATAAAACACATTCATCATCATCGTGTTGTTGCGTAGCAAATGTACGTGGTATTACATACGTATCATCTTCAGTCTTATGTAAACAAAAGAAAATAAAGATAGTCATTAAAGAACGAAAAACAAATAATAAAGACGAAGTACCATATGTGAATACCAACAAAGAAAATTTCTTAAATGAGGTTGAAGTTCAATCAAATGAAGAATTTCATCACGTGACAAAATAAAGCCATCATCACTGCAAGGGCACCACCAAATTTTTTCACCAGCAGCAATAGGTTCAGCAGCTACAATCATTTGCTGACCCTCACCATATTTTTCACTGGCATCAACGATTCGAATCATTTTGAAAAATACCATGATTATTTGTTGTTAACAAATCGAGAACAAAGTGCAATATGAAGCTTCACTATCAATTTTTTCTATTGAAAAAAAAATCACTGAAATATTGAAATATATATATATATATATGCGTATGTTGACAAGTAGATATAGAGGAGGAGTGATGAGAACGAACCGCTGTGTGAATGTATTATTGAGAATCTTTTTATTTCATTTCACATAGTCAGATGATAAGAAAAAATAGTCAATTAAAAGCTTTTCATACAAAAAGAGCTATTATTACCCTGACAGAAATAATTGATTTCACTCATATTTTTGTTTTGAAGCTATACTGCTGAATAGTTTGAAAAAGTATGCGTTTAGCCATCAGATGATTTTACCTATGATATTATATAATTCGTTAAAATAAAAAATTAATCGCACATCAGTCATATTTGACTCGGTAGTATCATCTTTTGTTACGATGATTAGAACATTCTAATTTGGATGAAAGAAAAAACTCGTTAACCGATGTATTTTAATTTAGAGTATTATTTTATTTTATTTTGATTGTGTACTACACAATGGTAAAATCTCGATATCAAACCAAATTTAGATTTCATAAGATTTAGAATTTATTTTCTCCATAAATTTTCATGACATTCAATTGTTTAAATGCAGTTTCATTATAGGAAACTGTTCATCTGTCAATTAAAATGTGTCTTCAGGTTTTTCATCTGTATCTAATTAATGTCGTAGATATCTTTTTCTACATCTAATATGAACTATTCTTAGTGACTATCATAATCATAAGTATTAGCCTGAATAAAAAACAAAAATGGTGATTTCAATGATTCATACCTAGTATTTAAAGAAGTTTAGTCATGAATCAGTTTTAAAAATTGATCTAAGAACAGTTCACTACGAAATAACAAAGAAAAACTAAGAACACAACACACACTGTTTAGATAAAGGTGAATATATGACACGATAAATTTTCATATCCTTCCAGCACCAGTTATATTTGCATTTAAAAGAAAGCCACCGGATATAATAGAAGATCGATTTTTATACCACAACACATTTCAAACGACGATTTCCACGAATTATTGGTGATAGATCACGAAGACTGTCGGAAATAACTAAAAAATAAAGAATGGAAAAGTACAAAGAAAAAGCATATGCATATATCATTTCGAAGTTACTAACTTAAATTTTTTCTTGCTTCAATTTGATAACTACAGGAATTATTCTTTTCTTCTTTTTTAAAGTTTTTTTTAAGAAATAAATTCCACAGAACGCATACGATTAAAATAAATAAAGTGAAAACAATAGATATCATTATGAACAATGAACCAATATAAACATTTTTTCTCAACTTATTTGGTAATTGATTTTTTGGACATTCATTTCGTTTAAATATATCACATACATAAATAAAAATGCTTTCTTTGGAGTTTAATGGTCTTGGATAACCTTGATCACGTGCGTAGATTTCAAGACGAATTGGTAAATGAATATCATTTAGATTATATAAGACAATAGAACCATTCGGATATAAATGAAAATGTTCATAATGGTTCTTATTTGTAAAATAATAATTAACAACACCATTTAAGTCTACGTCAGCATCTGTAGCATGAATATGTGAAATAAATATTCTATTAGTTTGTTGATGATGTGTCGATATATAAACATATTCTTCATGTACATGATCAAATACAGGATAATGATCATTATCATCAAGAATATTTATATGAATTTCTGCTTCACTTGATTCTTGAGTTTTCGAATGAAATGAACGAATGCGAAATTTATAGAATGATCTGATTTCTCGGTCTAATTCACGAATAACTTTTATAATACCAGTATGAGTATCCATTGAAAATGGAAATGTTGATAATAAATTTTCATTGGCCAGATGATAATTAATTGTTATTGATGCCATAAGGCAGCTATCAATATTAACTCGGCCTAGATTTTAAAAGAAGTAAAATATGAATTATAGTTTTAGATAAATATTAAAACTTCTATAAAAATGAGTCGATATGGTTAGATACAAATCATTTCTTCGAAATAGAAAAGTTAAGTTTCTTGTATCTTAATAGAAATAGAAACTATTCAATTTTCGAAAATCCTTCTGTTGGCGACTGTGAACTCAAAACAATCTCTAGTAAACATAATATATATTAAATATATTTCTGGTCATTTATACATGTTCGGTTCAAAGAGTAGACTCATCTTTTTTTTATACGAAAAGCAACAATAAAGAAAATGAAAAAACTCATTGTTATTACATTATTTACATTTGATGAACCTTATCAAGCCAATACCATATCGGAATCGAATATAATCTATTGAAAATAGGGAATCGAAGTTTGATGTCAAAAGAAAATTTGATCAAATTGCATCAACAATAAATTCGGATCAAGAGACTTCTGTAAGTATAATTTCATAATGTGTATATGATGGGAAAACCGAAAAAGGCAATAGAATATGTAGAAATTTTTATCATCTTAATCAGTGTAAGCCCGGCTTCAAGTAATTGCTTCGCTTTGCCTTCTTCAAATGATACAGTATTCCAAACAAAACAGAACAAAAATATCTCACACATTTTTACCTATTTCATAAGGTATTATTTGATGTTCAGTTGTATTAAACACATAGACTGCTTGGCGAAATATCGGTAAACATTTTGTTCCATCAAGCAGTTGGATCTGAATATTAGCTTGGTCATATAATGAATTATTAAGTTGATCAGTAGCCCTGACAGTTATATTAAGTGTCATCTCTGTTAATAATGGAGTGACTAAAAATAGACTTCCATTATTAACATCAATATTAATGATATCCTGAAAATCATCTTCTAAAAATTGATATTTAACGAGACGAAAGTTTGGTGAATAATCATTATCATAAGCATGAACTTGACCAATAAAAAAGCCACTTGGCGATAGATTAGGTAATCGAAATTGATAATTTAATTGTGTGAATTTTGGTGCACAATCATTTTCATCATCGATATTCACTACAAAATGACGTTGACTATTCAATGATGGATTTCCATAATCTCCTTGAATAAAATTCAAAAAATTTCTTTTGCTCTTTTTTTAAATTTCTTGTTCTATTGACTTACTTGCTTCAAGCATGATCATAAAATTTTCATCACCTATTTCTCTATCCAATAGTCTCGATGTTCGTATGAGATAAGTAGTTGAACTAAGTGAACTATTTTTCATTCCGGAATCTAATTCAATCGGACACGATAGTGTCGATGGTAAACATGAAAGAATTTTTAATGATAAATGATGATTAGTCATTGTTGAATCTACGTCACGTATTAAAATAGTACCGATCACTTGTCCTAAACGAATATTTTCATTGATATGAATGAAAAAATTATCATTGTTTTCCTTGAATTTATATTCATTAAGAATATTTATTTGTATTGATGGACGATTATCATTGATATCTAATATATCAATGATAATCGGTACCATGCTCGATGTTATTCCATCGAGATTTGATGCTCGAACACGAAAACGATATGTTTGCATTGTTTCATAATCAAGTTGTTGTTTAACTCGAATTAAACCAGTATATTTGTCTATTTCAAATGGAAATAAATCTTTGGGAATATCATTATTCTGAATCGAATAAAGAATTGTTTCATCAGAACAATCATCGTCTGTTGCAATTATTTGAAGTATTGAAGATGACGAAGAATTTGTTATCGGAATATTTTCTGGTATACGTTTATGATAAAATCGTTGACTAAAACGTGGTTGATATTCGTTTAAATCTCCTACAGTAATATTAACATGTCTAAAGAGAGAGAGAGAAAAAAAAGAATTCAAATGATATACTCCGTTTAGTTAACATAAAATTTAGCTTGATTTTTTTAAAGCGTTAACTATCAATGCATTTTTGTTTTCAAAAACAAAAAAAGGTACAATCTTTAATTAATATTTAGGAGAACTAGGATGATTTCAGTCAACAGTCATTTTATTTGGGATACAATATAGCTATGTCTTCTTTTGCTATTTGGATGTAGATAAAAAGAAATAATGTTAAAGAAATGCATTTAAAGAAAAACATTATTTCTTTGGACAGGTAAAAATAAGTTTGTCTATTCATACTCTTAATAAGGTGTCGTCTATCAGTTCCATACAACTATTCAAACATACGTTTACTAGGAAGCAGCATAGGATAATATGTTTCGTTTGAGCTGAAATTCGACGTACAAGATTGCCTTGGTGTAATCGACGAAAGACTAACAGAATTTATTTTTATGGATCTATGCAGAATTGTTTCAATACATTTTTGACTGTGATTTAGTCAAATGCAGAGAAACATTGTCAAGTACCATAGATCTATGGCAACTAGATAATCTTCTGAACGCTTCTACTGGAAAAAAAGCTTTTTTCGCCGTAGTATTGAATATTTTAATAAATTCGATTTTAAGATCATATCTATAGCAAGCAATCATAATCTGTTTATCTAATAGTTTTATGGAGAAAACAATTCTTTTCGTGTGAAACTTAGCAAATTACTCTGCATATTTTTCGAACTGTCCATCGATCAAGTCTTGCATGGAAATCCTATTCATTGATTTTTCTCTTTGTCTAAAAAGTGTAGTCAACAATGCAGTAAAAAAAAAAGATTCCAAGTTGTCGCCTGAAGTAGATGAGGACCGACGCTTTTACTAATCTTACTGACATTTCATTTGTGGATCCAATCTGAGTTTCAAAGAAATGTGTTCGTTAATTTGTATGTATTTCTATGTGTTCGTAGTGGCTGACAATGCAGAAAGCGATTTTTAACTTTATAAAAGGAAAAGAGAATAGATTTTGCAAGACAAAAATACTACGATTAAAAGATCAATAGTATTGATAAAAACTTAACTGAAAAGAACATTTGAATTCTACACTATAGAATGTCATATTTTGAAATTTATATCTCAACAACTTTACGGTGGACATGACTTACAGAATATTAGATTTCAAACCACCTTTGTCTATGGCAATAATATATAACTGATAATTATTTTTCAATTCACAATTTAATTTTTTTAATAATTTTAATTTTAATTCATCATGAGATCTTTCTAATTGAAATATATTTTCTATTTCATCGGTATTATTAAAAATTTCATAATAATCAATATCATACTGGATCGAATCGTCATCGTAGGCGCTAGGTAATTGAATCCGATGATAAGTTGACAGATTTTCTCGTATATTTAAATGAATATAGTCTTGATTAAAGAAAGGTTTCCAATCATTCTCATCTAAGATAATCATTTTAAATATAATTAAAAACGATGTTTGCGTAAATATTTGTAATTGTAACGAACATTCATCATTTAAGAAACTTTTCTTACAAATTGTCTCACGATCTAATTCTGTTAAACGAAATTTTAAAATTTTTGATTCAATTTCGAAATAATCTGATGGATTTGATAATGAAAATTGAAAATTTTCAAACGATAATGTTCGATTATAAATTAAATCCATTAAATTCCATTGTAATCGCTCTGTTGGTGTATTTTCCATAACACTTAATGTTATATTACAAATTTCTTCACAATCGTTTGCATAAATAATTGGAATAAGAAGTAAATAGAAATAGTAATGCATGTTGAAATATTTAGATACTGTGTTCTTTATGTCTAAACATATATAAATGTATCAATATAACCAAATGTTCGGCAGAGAAATAAAATTTAACAACAGACAAAAAAAACAATTCTGATACACGATACATTTTCACACGATTGCATCAAGAATGTATGAGTTGATAAAAAAAAAAAGAGCAACATCCTATTAGGATCATACTTAACTTCTCATTTGACCTTCTTGTCAAATATGTAAAGAAACAAACAGATGTTCTCTCAGTGAAGTGAAAACGAAAAGATATAATCACTAAGATGAAACAAATTCTACTCTGTCAAAATATGTGCATTTATCTAAGATAATTTCATAGTTCTCATGCTCATGCTAATTAAAAGAAATACTTAAAAATAACATCAAGCAACGTTTTCGATATCAACGATTAACACATTTATTTTCTTTCAATCAGTGTTACTCATAGATCAGACTGTCAATAAAGCCCTAAAGATAATAACAACACGATCGATGAACAAGTGTGTCTATGGATGGCATGCATTCAATTCAAATTTGTATGCCGACCGGTTAGAAAGTAAATATCGTTTCTTTTAAGAAAAAAAATCGATTGAATGAATGATTAATTTCATGTCCTACTAACACACTTCTTCTTTTTTATTCTAGTCTACTGTATATAAATATGTGTCATGATAATGTTGAACGGAATCATGACGTTCTCATCGAGCTAAATTTTCAGAAATACGAGCTATATGAATTCCACTTTATTTTCTATATTAGCATAACCCCAAATTATCATTAATGGAAAAAAAATTGAAGAAAAACCTGAAAAATACTTTTCTTACTTATAAAATAAATTAGACAAAAGAAATCTCTGTTCGTTTTATACTTAAAAATAACGACATAAACAAAGAAAAAAAAATCGGGATATTTTATTAAGTTAAACATTTGCTTATTCTTACATCGATCTCACACATAAAAATGTGATAGAAATGTGATGACTCATAAAACGATTAGCCTAACAAAAATGAACTGCGTTCAAATAAATTTACATTTAGAAAATTGTATTGCAGAATGATCAACGAAACTCATCATTATCCTAAATACTTAGCAAAGTTCACAAGAGAAAAACAGTCAGATAGTCTAATGAAAATTATATTATAAAAGATCTCACCTTTCTCAAGGATCATGAAACATTCACACACATGGATACAAACATCACTAATTAGTCATATATTTCTTAGTCATGATACGTATAAGTATGAGAAACAGAGTATGAGACTACACATCTGAGAATTATTGTCAGAATAGTGATGTAATCATCTTGTAATAATTATTAGCATTGATGTCCTCGTTACTTCTTCGAATCGTTGAACAACATCTTGCTTCATCGAAAGAAAGTTTGTAGGTAGTGACAAACAAAACAAAAAATTTCATCATCATTCATACTAGATCGTGTAATGTCAATATTTGAATTTTACTTGTTCAATATGAAATCGAGAGTCAATTTTCATCTATCGATAAACAGAAACTACTCTAACTATTCAAAGCAACATACCTCGAATAGAATTTATCTGTTCAACGTCTCACCATCGAATTAACTTTACATGACAGAAAAATATCTTTCTTCAAGGAAAACAATTAGGCACACATCTATTAGATGATATATCGTGATGACAGACTAGCTACGACATTTATGCATTTAATTGAATTTCGTCACGAGTCCACTCAGTTGTTTTTTCATCTGTGCACATAGAACAAACAATAAACGGATAGCGTTAGCTTATACTTTTAAGAAGAGAACGAAAATTTGTATGATATTATTATTGTTCTTTTCAAGTACTCAGTAAGATATTTTCAACATTTAGATGATACTTTGATTTCCATTCATCATCGTCAGTCTAACTTACCCTCTCAATTGAATAGATAACATGTTGTTGTTATTTTCATTTGCAATGCAACCTATTTTAATTTGAACATGATCGCTATTGGCGTCTAGAACGAATATGGATTTGACACGAGCTGTACCATTAATTCGTTTGTACAAATAATGCTTAATTGAGTTTAAAAAAAGCATGCTCTCTTTTGATCACTTTAATGCCTTTTGTACTAATTGATCTCAAAATACACAAAGACGAGATTGAGAAAAGTAAATAGTTTTTAATCACAAATATATATATATAAAGGATAAAGCAACAACGAAAACAACAACAAAAGAAATATTTAAATCGTTTTGTTTGTTTATTGATTTAATATTTGACTTCAAATACTTTTGTCGTAATTTTTAGTGAATTTTTTTTTGTATTAGTTAAATGAGTACTAATAAAATTATAGTTAATTGAATTAAATACAACGATGTATATCTTAAATAGTTAAATTATTTAACTAAACATTTGTCTTGAACAATGTGATGTTATAGTAGAAAACAGTTAGAGACAATTCCTATGAATATCAAATATAAAATAGGGCACCGTTAAGTCTAATGTCAATAAGAAGATTAAAAATGATATGCTTCCATTTTTAACTTGCAATTTAATAATATCGTGCTAATGAAAAATTTTAAGTGTAATATTTCCCGTTGAACCAGTGAAAAATAAATAAACGTTAAGAATGGCATATTAAATCTAATATCAAAATGATTTCAGAGAATACTGTTATATTGCTTGTCTAATCCTGCCGCAGTCCATATGTAGAATTGAGATAATCGTAGATTCTACTCATATAATTTGATAGTTCTTGTATATCACATGTTACAAAAGCAACTTACATCATAAAGATTATATATCGATGCTATTTTTTCGAAGGAATAAGAGCATCTCTAAGTTTTGACACAGTTAAACTTATTATTAACAATACTTTTCTTTTAACCAACAAATCTGAAATAGTAGTTTTTTATTAAATGCTGACAAAATCTATCTTCTCATTCGTTTCTAAAAGCACTCAACAAAATAAATGTATAATATATGTAACTTACAGCTGTCTAAAATGATAGAATATTGTTTTCTGATAAATATTCGAGGAAAACAATTATCATCTAAATATGACAACGTCTACTTTTTTCAAGAGAAATCAAGAGAAACGTAAAAAAAAGATTATTATCTCTAGGCATTTTCTTTTTCTTCTTGAGAGTAAACCGGCGCAACCAGATATACAAGATCGTTAAACCTCAACTTTTATCCTGTGATATATTTATTATTACTAATTTTCAACTTTTTCTTTTACCAAATAGCTTGTTTCATATGATTATTTTACGATCTGTGCTTGTAATAATATAAATGGTTTTTATACTTTTACAAGAAAATATAAGATATCAAAAAATTTATTTACAATCAATTATTATTGTTTAAATGTATCGATCATTCATACATAATAATTTGTACGTAACAGTGATAATGATATACTAGTGGAATACCAATAAATAAATTAGAAACAAGTATAGTTTCCGTGTGAAATATTACATTCTCTATTTATCGTATAGTTTATATGATTTTTATACGAGAGAAAACTTTTGACTTCTAAGAACATAATCTTTGGAAAATGAGACGGCCATGAAGATAATGTTGTTAATAATGATATGGGTTGAAGCTGTTGTAGTTAAGACTTCTATATCAGTTGACAGATGAAAAATGCTGAATTTCATTAAAAGCAAAACAGACGATTCATCACATGATTTTTTATACAACTATATAATTTTTACATCAGTTTGAAGAGAATTATTATTATTCTCAAAGTAGGCTTTAGTTTAACGAATGTACGAATGGAACTTTGAGAAAGCAATCCAAACAATAGAAAAATCTACATCTTATTAGAATGCTTCAGAGTTTTTCTCAAAGCACATTAGAAAAAAATCAGATCAAGCCAAAAACCAATTGATAATTAGATAGACATTTTCAGACATTTTGATTGTTTTCTATTGAAACTTACGCTTCATCGTTGAAGTATCCTGTCGAATGAATATCAATTGTCATAACCATATACTTAATAGTTATCAATTTATGATTTTCTATGAGAAAAAAGAATTCGTTTCTCTTTGATTCATTTCAAACCGCTTTTATTATACACAGAAATTTTTAAGAAGCGATGATTTGATTACAGCAAACAATCCTCTTTTTGTCCGTTACACTATTTAAATGATGTACTTTGGATTCGATGATTTCAGTAGTTTGGCCTAAAGTTTTATATTATAAGTCATATATTTTAATTCTATTTAACGAAAACTAAATCTTGTGTAATTTTTCAACATTTTCTTGTACGATTGAACTCAATGATAATGATGTTGAGTAGCAGAAACCAGAACGGTAATCATAAAATGAATTTACAAGAGCAGTCAAAACATAATCAAAAAGCATTAAAATGAAACAAAAGCCGAATTTATTATGCTTTTAACGCCACTAAGAAAGCTACAGTAGATACAAGAAGAAAAAAATACAATGATATTTTTATTTTTCTAATCAATACCATAAAACGGTGAAAGTACAAATAACAATTCTCTATTTCGCATTACCGTTTCTATAAAATCATGTCTATGAATAACACCGTTATGATTGCCAGTAAATTGTTTAAGAAATTGATGAATTATAGCACAACATGCTTCATCGCTTCCTGTTTCATCGGCGCCCAGCATACGTGTTACTGCCTAAAGAAAGATAAAAGGAAAATTTTATTGCAGCAACTTTTTTTCTTTTCATTTTTGTAATTACGTTTGCCATTTTTTTAATTTCTTCACCAGATATCTTATTATCATTATTTTCATCATATAACCGAAATGTATAATCAATTTTTGATTTTAAATCGCCTTTAGTTGTTAATATAAAACCTCGCATGAATTCATTTACATCTATGTGATAATATTTATTAAATAGATAATTATAAAGATAGATTACATACCAACACTACCGCTATTGTCTTCATCGAAAACTTTTTCTAATGCATCAACTACGTCACTTATACGTGTTGAATCCAGATCACTCATATCTTTATAAATAGATATCATTTGTTTCTTAGACAATTTTCCTTTTGAAGATCGACTCTATTAGAAAATAAGAATACCAAAATTTTTATTGATAGTATTTTCTATCATACTGATATTGCTTTGTACCATAATTCTACTTCATACTTTGGCATGCCTAAAAGTAAAATTTATAATTATTCTTTTAGCAAGTAATTTTTGTATAGGTCATAATAGCTGTTAATTTTTTGTAATTTAGATTTTTACTTTCAAATTGAATATGATGACTCATTATTTACTAGCAGAAGAATTATCACATCAAAACTTTATTTTATAGATACATTAGAATATGACTATTTTTACTACACTCGTAATTTAAATATAAAATACTCATAGAATTTGATCTTGATTGAATTTCTGATTCTATTATGAATCTGTTTTTGTTTTTATTATAAACAATGATTCATCGATATCTCGCAATAAACAAAATTCGTATGTATTCGCTGAATTTCTCCTCAACGAAAAAAAGAATAAAACGAAAATAGGCTTACCAGTTTTTTGCATCAGTAAAGTTATTGTTTCGTTCGATAATGTTTCCGATGAGCCATTTTTATTTCCCATTTTTGTCGGCAATTAAAACTATTTAAAAGTATCTACTTGAAATTTTGTTTTTACTCTATCCAACCAATCTAGCTATATCTTGACATATGCGACTGGCAATTTTCAATTTACGTTACTATTGCCACACACAACACTTCTATTATCGGCGTTGATGATAAGAAGGCAGATTTCTAAATGCCTATTGCAGAACGAACGAAAGAACGAACGAACGAACGAACGATATCAATACTAAAACGCACATGCGCTCCAAAATAAAAGAAAATTGTCAACTCGAATGTGTGCACACCAATCATAAATGCATGAAAAAAACAGTAAGCAGTAGTTGATTCTAGTAAAGAGCACTTGAAAAGTTTGACTTATATAAAAAAGGATGGGAAAACTTTTTTATTAAATTAATAGCTATATATATATTTATGTTGTGGTCAAAATTCTAATTTGAATTTTGCTTGGGCAAATTTTAAATTTGACTGGACTTGAATTTTGACCACAGCATATATGTCCAGAATTCTTCATTGACATTTGTTGCTATATCAGGTTGCAAAAAGAAAAGAAAGAGAGAAATTTGAATCTTTTTATTAATTTCTTTTGGCTCATTGAAATATAAGATGTATGCAACGAATATTTTTTTTCCAACAAAAATTCCTAGAAAATTTTTAATTTCTATTTTAAAAGCATTGTGATGTTTTATCACAAATATTTCGTTCTTTGAATAATTGAACATTAACTGTAAGAATAAATATAACCAATGAGCCGAACAATGCACCTGTTTGCGTTGCTAAACTAAACCATACGAGACCACGATGATCTTTCGCCTTTCTAAAATAATTTCCCATTAAAAAACGTATATAAGAGCCGATTAAGTAAATGAGATTCCACACAAAAAACTAAAGCAAAATAGTTTTCATGTTAAATCAAATTCTTTTTGATGCACTCTACTTACGATAATCACGGGACCCAGTATTGAATTCACTAACGGAGGACAAGGTGACATTTTCGCCTAAGAATTAGACATATTTTTTTTTCTTTTCAATATAATGAATAGGTCATCCTACTGTTAGAAAAATATATACGAATAGTCCAATATGAGTTATTAAAAAAACACAGACAATTTTTGACGATACTTCTGGAATAAATGTACCAACTAATGTTATTAATGGATAAGCAAATGAATCTTATAGAAGAAACAATGAAATTTCTATGTTAATAATTTTTCTATCGTACTTGCTATAATTGTATAATGGAATGTTGCTCCACTGTAAGCATCTAATGAAAATGTTGTTAAACCTGGACACATTCCATATAACATCATACTTTGTTGAAAAATAACAAATAAATATAGTGCTGTTTCAGGTGTCATAAATGTTGTCCGTTGATTTTTCTTTTTGTTATTTTCTAGTTGATTTTCAATTTTATTTATAGTTTTAATCGTATTTTGAATAACATGAATATCTTCTATATTATTGTCCATTAGAATAAATACACGAGATTGATGATGTTTGGATGTTTTTATCGATATTTTCTTTTCCATGCGACCTGTTTCCATCAGATAAAGACCTGAAAATGCAAGAAATGCAGCGAACGGTAATGAGCTCAATATTAAAAAATAAGTTCGAACGGAAAATCGAGGTAAGCGATCAATTTGAATGAATGTTCCATTTATTGTACTATTCGACATTGTACATTCTGATTTTCCAATACCTTGAATAATACCTAGCAATGCTGGAAGAAGAGCAGTTAGTGCTTCACCAGTAAAATATGCATTCAAATAAAATGGTTCATATCGGTGTAAAAATGGAATAAATGTTGTTGACGACAAACAATCGCCTACAGCTGAGAAAAAACATAGACACATTAAATAAATGCTTTGTTCTGTGCCAAACAGATAATCTGTTTTATTCCATAAGTAGGCAAATGCAGTAGCCAATATAATACTACTGAGTAAAAGAGTATAATTGACGGGAATCTCAAATGTTGAAGTGTTTAGTTTAAAAATAATTGAAGCGAAAACAAAAATAATTGGAAAAACATTAGCTGCACTAATAATTAAGGTCAATATTGCTGGCAATTGCCATGATTCCGGTAAAATTGGAACGATAATCGGTAATTCAATCCACAGGCCAGCTAAGTTTGTCCATGTACCCAAACCAAAAATGATTACAAGAACATAAACAACAGCTTTTAAATGAAATTGATTCGTTGGTGTTGGAATGGTGTCTAGCTCCAGTGGATGGTTATTAAGCATGGTGAACTTTTGTATTCGAACAAATGAAGCAAATACAAAAAGGAATCAATTCTTACTTTACGTTACATGATAAGAATTTATTCTATCAAATTACCAAACTATTAGTTTAGAGATACAAACAAAAATAACAAAAGATTGCCCTTGAATTCAAATTACTTGCTTCATGATATAGGAATTGAGACATTACCAAAAACAAAATCACACAAAAAGAAAAAAAAAGATTATTTTATTCGATTGAAGTAGGATACATTTCTTTACTATTCTGATACTTCATTCGTCTGAAGTACAAATACGAAAAAGTTCATTTATTAGAATGAAAATTTATTTAAATAGGATTCTAATTGTATTTCAACAACATTTGCCACGCTTTGTGATGGAGACAAGAAGACGTATAAATTTTTATTCTAAATATAGTTCAGCAATGCTTCTAGATCATATTTCATCAAGCATAAGTCACTAATAATCATTGGTATTTCTATAAATTAAACAAAACTATGAATATTAAGTTAAAAGAAACAGCATCATTATAATCATTAGTATTTTTCGTTGCAATATGCTATGACATAGTCAGAAATCAGAATGACAACATTATGTGTGAAACAAATTATTCATATTCATTAGATTCTTTAATAATACATGATTGAATTCAACCGAACTTACTTTCGGACACTTTCCGCTAGAGTTTGACATTAAAAAAGTATGTATCTCGNCTAATTTTCTAAAAGATTATTTTAAATCAAAAAACAATCAAGCACTGTTTTGAGTAACACACACAAGAGAACTAATCGGCAACAGGAATGAGTTTATCATCGCCGGTAGGAACAATGAATCCGAGTTCTTTTTCACGCATTTTTTTAAGACTGTTCAATAATGCATCGAATGAAGAACCTGCCATGAATGAAGTACCTTTACGAGTATCTAATAAATTATCATGATAATTATTTGTATTAGTAGTTATATCATATGTACTAAATGGTGGAATGACAATAGGCGAACGTGATCGAGATTCATTGGAACTTGAGCCACCAGATGATGTTCCCGCAAATGGATTTTTTTCTAATGTTGAATTTACTTGTGATGTGCGTTCACTATCACTTGTTGGATTACTAGCATTTTCACGAGCACCTTTTGCATCATTTACTGCTTGATGATTTCTATTAGCTAACTGATGTGAATGAATATCGTCACCTTGACTGGATAAATTTCGGCCTTCTACTTAAACGTACCATTAGAATTTTAAGTAGAAGAGGGAAAAAACGCATTATAGCCAATATTTTACTTACGTGTATCAATTTTAGCTGCAAGATTCGATCTAATTGTTGATGTCGATGAAGATACTACACTTAAATTAACTTTTGCTTGATTAAGCTCATCCGAAAGAGCTGACAAACTCCTATGTACTATTTGTTCAAAATGTTGGCTATGTATTGATGAATATCCATGTTGATTTGACGATGTTGTTGTTGTTGTTGTTGTTGATGATACAGCATCACCATCATATTTTTGTAGTTTTCCATTTTTTTCACTATTATCTGTATGAAAATTTCGTTCAACTTCTTGATCATCATCAAGAAAATTCGTAGTGAACTCTCTTGAATTATTTTTGAATGATGATTGCCGAAGGGATTGAAGAAATTCTCGAGCAAATATACCCGGTGATGAATCAACCGGGTTTAGATCTTTTTTCTCTGATTTAATTTCATCGTGATGTGTGAGACGAGTTTCAAGTAATGAACGTAATGCATTTAATTGATCCGATACTCGTACACCGAATTCTTTTGATGGTGAACCTAAAATTAAACGAAAGATAAAAAAACAATGCATATTTTATATATTTATTACATTTCATGAATGATTAAAAATGATAAACTATTTTAGAATCAACGACATAAAAACTTGACATTTCGCGAAGAAAAATATTGCTTCAAATTCAAATGGAATGACCTACCATATGATGCTGATGTTTGCCATGGTGTATTAATATTGGTTGATGTTACCGGTGAAATTGGTTGTTCTAATGATCGATGAAAAACAAATTTAGCTTGATCTAGCGGTGCTTGAGATGAACTACTTGGTAAGTATGTTGGCGACAAATATGGTATTGGGAACGGTGATGAATTTGGTACTGATAATAATGGTGACGATGAAGTTATCTGATTGAAATTATTTTGTTCATGAAAAATATATTTATCTGTTTGTTCTTGTTCTTTTTTCATAATTTGAGTATTATTTACTGTTTGACAAGGTTCAGTACGTGTTGAATGTGATGTATTTTTTGATGAATATGCTTTTCGACGATGAATACTATCACGTATTTTTTCGTGTTCTTCAGAATCTGAACTATGATGAATACGTAATGGTACTGTTCGTTGTTGTTGTTGTTGTTGCTGTTGATGATGACGATTTGTGGATGATCGAGTAGTTGGATGAAATTTCGGACAATTAGTCGATGATGTCACTTTTGATTTTTGATTTTCAATAGAAGATTTTTTTTCTTGATTCGCCTTTACTAAACTACTTGTTGACGATGCAGATTTTATTGGGCGAGGTTTCTGACGAGTTTTAGTTGTTAATGAAAATGAACTTTTAGATTTATTTGAATATGGTGAATTTAGTGATTCCTTCTGAGAATTTCGTCTCTTTGTTTGTGGAGTTGTTACTGGTGTTGTTCGTCGGTTACCAGTTGTTAATCGACTTGATACAATAGATAATAATTCATCACGATTACTAAGAAATTCTATTTGATCTTTTTGTGTTGTTGATCGATCAGAATGAAGTGTCCTTTCAATATTCGTAATAATTGCGTTTGAATCATATTTTTTATTTAGATCTAAACTTTCAACTAATCCATTGTTTCTAGTCGATTTTTGATATCGGGGACTATGAGTCACTGCTGTTGTTATTTTAGTTCCAAGACTTTCGGTACCTATTGAATTATTGTATGGATGATTATCATCAGACAATTCAATGGGAGCAACAGGAACAATTCTCATTGTATTTGAAGATTGAGCAGCTGAATTCGACAGGCGACTCATTGTTGGCGCTGGAACAGTTTTCCATTGTCTTTCATTACCATCATCATACATAAGACGTGCACTATCATAGGATTGAATTATATCATGTGTTTTAATTGACGAAGATGTTTTAATATTAGATTGTGGCTGTGGAAAATAACTTGATGGACTTTCATCAATATCGTTGAATTTTTTATGTTGCAATCGATTAAAATTATGTTTATTGTTTTGTGTATGATTATTCGTATTGGAATTTATAATAAATTCACGTGTTGATGATGTTAACAATTTTACAGGAATATTATCATCACTTCCACTTAATGTGATATCATCATCGACAACTTGCCAATCAATACCAATTGATTTTGTTGTGCGACTCTCAATATCTAATATAAACAAAAGAAAAAATTCGTTATGAAATCATATATATTTAATAGAAGAGCGAAAAAAAAAGACTTTACCATCATTTTAATTTACCGATATTGGTTCATATGCAAAGACTAAGTGACATAAAATGCCATGTAGAATAGTATTAGTTTTGTTTGTAGAGAAACAAAGCATAGAAGAAAGTCTGATTTTTATGCTGGTAACTTAGAGTATGCTGCCAAATGAAGTTATAAAATTTTGATAGAGAATATCATTTAAATATTTTTCTATGACTGTACAGATATTAGAAAAAAGCAAATCTTATAAGATAAATAGTTCATTTAATTAATCGAAACAGTTTTCAATTTATCGTTACTATTTAAAAGCAACTATTTTCTCTTTTATTTAAGAATAAATACACATTTTCAAACCTGTATGAATTGTTGACTTATAAATATTTTGATCCACTGATGAAACAAGTCGATGAACTGGTGTTGATGCTGTTGCTGGTTTAAATGTTCGTTGCGGTTTTTCATGAATAACTTCATGTTGTTTCGAAGTATCATCAGAATAACTCATGTGCATGCTTGCATTTGGCATGGATCGATGTCGATGACGACTACTAATATCAAGAATACGTGAAGCATATTGAAGAGTATTTAATGAACATTGACAGCAATCATCAGGTGGAGATACATTAGCCATAAGACATGTTCGTGTTTTTGAACCAGTTAATGAATCACGTAGTATATGTGTTAATTTACTTTGTCGAAATGGTGCATGAGAATGTGTCATATCCATCGAACGAATACATTCTTTCAATGCTAATAAGGACCAATTTATTTGTGCACCTTCACGACGAGTTTGCCTTAGATTATTTTGAGCATCTGTTGCACGTTCACTGCCTGCCAAATCGATGAATATAATTCTAAGAAAAATTAAAAATGAACCGATAGAAATGTATTCTTTAATGTCTAACTTTTGAAAATGTTAGTCGTAGTCTGTTCTCACGATAGCATTTTCTATTTACTGAATTTATATGATACCATAAGGAAACATTGTCAACATTAAAGATTTTAAGAAAAAAATTCAATTAAAAGGATATCTGTTTCAAAGAGAATTATATCTGTTCAATGAATTTTTGGACTTTCTTATCTTTTATATACGTAAGTATCTCTTCTTCTGTAAAACTTTCATCTTGTATGAAGTTATTCGATGTTTGCTAATAAACTTTTTTACATAAATGAATGACTTTTTCAGTTTTATGAAACAATCTTTCTTACATAGATCTAGAGATTTTCAATTTCAAGGTCTATAAAACTATGATTTTTCTTCGAAAAAACATCACTTTTAATATTGCTATTTAAACTTGTATTTATTGCATGAAATATCATATATCATTCATTCAAGCAAAACATATTGAACAAAAGAAATTTCATTAGTAACCCGACTGAATTTTTCATTATGCAAATAAAGAGCATATGATACGATGCATTTCATATTTGTTTAACTAAATCAAATCACTTAGACAAAATTTAATATAGTCTTTCCACAAGGGACAATCAAAATATTTTAGAGTATAATGGCTTTCATCAACCTTCACACTTTGTAATAAGTTTTAAAAAAATATCTTAAATTATAGAGAGAGCAGTTCGACCTTGATTCTCATATTTCTTTGGCAGACATCGTGGGATTCCTTCAGACATCATCCAACAGAATAAATATTAACCTCCCTGGAGACAAAAAAATGAGAAGGTCATCAATATTTTCCTTCTTAGTTGGTTTTTTTCTCTAAATAAATCTTTCAATTAAACATTTACCGAAAATTTTCCGATGAGTCATAATTATTTTTTAATATTATTTGAAAAACTGCATGAGACCGTGATGAATTGGAATTAAATGCGCTTTTTCCATGGTGTCTTCTAGTCAGACTATCATCAATAACACAACGTAGATCATCTAAATTTTTTAATGCAACTTCAGTTACACCGATAACATTAACATGATGATCACCATCTTCACGTACAAATAGTCTAAATGATTAACATTGAAAAAATTGTTCAGATTTCATTAAAAAGAAACAACAAAGCCAAACCTTTTGCCAGCGTTAACTAAATCGTAGACTTGATTATTGTATATTTCATAAAATGAACAGACAAGTTGATTGTCAAGATTTGTCTCTTGTAAAAGTAATTGTGTACAATGAATTAATAAACCATCAGTATTTCTACTACCAAATATCGTATGACTTTTACCTAAAACAATTGTTCTATGGACATTGACCAATAAAACAAAATCTGACACAATTACAAACCAGAGCCTGTTTGTCCAAAGCAAATATATGTTAAATTATGACGATGAGTTGTTGATATCAATGGTAATACAGTCGCTTCAAATATATGTTTATTTGATGCATCGGATCCAAATACTTGATCAAATTCAAATTCCGTCTATCAAACATATAAAAAGAAATGAATTTTTGCATTTTGAAAACTATTAAAAATACCTTCTTAAGTAATGGTGTACAATCAAGATTTGCTTTATTTTCCGCTATAATAATTCGTTTATTATCTGGTACAGTAATTGCATCTTGAAAATTAGATTCAGTAGATAATAATGGTCGTTTTCGAGCGTAAACATAGATTTCAGCAGGTTTTGCATAGGAAATAGTGTCACTTGCATGATGTGAAGATGAAGCAAATATTGAGCCATGATGACTATTCGATGTAAATTGATGAGTAGCACGATATGGACTATTTCGTGCCCGTCTATTGCTTGGAATACCATAATTATATGATTTAACCTAGCGAATTAATGAGTTTCATATAATATTTTGTAAAAGTTATTAAAAAATATCAAAATTGGATTTCCGATTCAATTAAGATGTCATGCCACTTTTTTAAAACAATTTCGCTAAAAACTGATGACTTATATAAGTATAAATAGATTAAATGCAAATGTTCAAAAAATGCATCAAATAAATTATGACTGATTATTTATTCGTTCATTATGAAATACTTCGAGTAATCAATACTCTTCATATTCTTCTGTCTAGAATTATAATTGGATGATTTTCTTTGTACTTATGTCATGCCATCATTGTTGATGTATAAGAGAAAGTCCACAGAAAAAAAAATTAAAATGGGTTATCTCATAGCTTATGTTTGTCTCATTATTATAGTTTTACTGAATTTGAAATATTTGGTAATATATTAAACAAGAAAGTCAAATAACAATATTTCGCACTACGCATATACTATGTTGTTTAAAAAGCACTTGCAAAACATCAGAGATCATGATCATATATTATTTTTTTCGAAATATTGAATATTGCATAAGATTAGTTAGTATCAGACCTGCTCTGAAAAATGACGTTATTAATTCGTAGTACAAATACTGTCATTTGATTTATTTATCAATACTTAGCCAGAAGTATTAAATTAAATTAAATGATAATAGCTTGACAAAGACAATTCAATGAAATAAAACATTTTAGGCTTAGACAAGTCTCATTTGAGTTCGTTTATAGAAAAATAATGGCAGTTCGATAAATGATTTAAATTTCGAAAATATTCCTACTTGATTGATGATTGAGTATTGCATTAAATATAATTTGGATTATTAGCGATTGAATGGACAAAAAAAAACGAGAATTATTTTCGCCATTAGAGGAGATAGTAACTCAACGAGAACTACTTTCTATCTTATCACAATCTACAGTGGAAATCAATGAATAACATAAAACTATTTATATGCAATATGAATTTAGTTTGTTATGAATATGATTGGCCTATGTATGAATTCAAATGAAATTCATATTATTGAAAATGTCTTACCTTTACATGTTGAATTGCTGGTCGATTTAAAAATGATTTTGATCCTGAGTACCGTTGATTATTACTTTTTGTTAATAAACTATGATTTTGTCGGCTAAGAACTGTTGATGGTCTTTGTAAAATAACTTCATCGGAATATTTTTTAATAGGTTTTGTTGGTGCCATTGATGTGGACAACGAACGTCCACTAACTCCAACTGAACTTATTGATCTCTTTTGCTTTGGATTAACATTTGACTGTTTTTTTATTGTTGATTGAAAATTTCTTTGTTGAACAGTTTCATCACCCCAACTAGCTTGAATTGGTATTGATTTTATTGGTGCTTGTTGTTTCTTAATTAATTTATTTGAATTAAAATAATGTGGGCAAATTTTTCCTTCACGTGTTGCGTCTTTTAGAACATCGAGTAAAGCAATAAGTCGAAGTAATTCTTGTTCGTTACAATTCAATTTTTCAAAGTGTTCAGCACGAAAATTTGCTAATGCACCAGCTGAATCATAGCCAAGTGAACGAAATGATCCAACATGTTGATCGAGGTCAACGGCTTTTAAAGCCTTGAAAAGACATTTTGTCATTTTTTTTTAGAAAATATTCAATTCAATAGATGTAGGAGAATAGAGAATTTATCCCAGCATTGTCAAAAAGAGTTCATAGAAAGAAAAGCAAACGTAGCAACTACGAAATTGAATTAGTTCATCATTATGAAGTATTGAAAAAGACACGAATGATTCGTTTTCAATTTCTTTTAAATCAATTTACCAAATAATTCCATAGTTGTTTCCATTAATAGTGTCAATAGAACAAATGTAACTAAGTGATACAAGGGTCTCTATATCAAAATTTAAAAAAATTAAATTAGCTTATAGAAAATTCAAAAAAAAAACAATAAAAGTAGTTTAAAGTAACGATTTTAAAAAATTACAAAACTATTTGAAAAACTAAAGAAGAATCAGGTTCTCTAGCGACATCTAGGATTAATAGAAGCCTGTATACAACAAGAAAAATTTTACTTATCTTGCCGTATATCAAGTGTTTTACTTTCTTTGAAGTCAAACAAATTTCATTTATATTGGCAGTCTTGAGTGAGAAATCTGTTTGAGTATTAATAAAACATGTCGTTTTTTTCGTTATAAAAAAATGAATAAATATTTTGAAAACTATATATGTATATTAATATGCTAATGGCAGTATTTTATTATTAATACTCAATTTCTGATCTCGTTATGCTTTCAAAGCTTTTATCACAAACACTTCGAATATTGACACTGTACCGTACTAGTTTATGTCACTGATCATCACATATTAAGTTTTCATCATTGAATATTTTTTTTAAATATGGCGGAAATCTCTTAATTGAAACATATATATTAATGTTATTAAATGAACTAGAAAATAAATTTCATTCACTTTTTGACACTTAATGTTGGTAAATTGGTTTCTGAAAGATTTTCTTTTACAGCTAATCTATTCAGATGATCAATGTTAATCAATCGTTGTTGAATATTTTATCTGCACGATTGCGTCCAATTCTTTTTTCACGCATCATGCCTCAGAAATATCATCGAAATTCAACATATATAAAACTTATGTTAAAAAGAACGAGATGGTATAACGATGATATTTGTTTCTTGCTAACTGAATCTCCAACTGTGTCTGAAATAAGTAAGATCAATGGCCTATCATTTAGAAATGCAGAATATGTTGACAAGTACTTTCATGCTTTTCTATAACCCATACCCTCGGAAATAACGGTTCAAGGTCAAACTTGAAACTAATGGAAATTTTTATTTTCTAATTCGAAGGAAATCGATTGATTTAATCACGATAATCAAGTGGCATGAAAAAAAGTAGATTCCAATACAAAATTTGCAGCTCTTACAATATCTAATAGTATCCAACGATATCACAACTTTCAACACTTCATGAATCTGTTGATGTTAAGAACAAATGTCGAAGTCTACACATACTCTTCATGTAATGAACCATAATAAATAATATCGATCAACGCCTTAGTTTTGTTTTACTATCATTGATTATAAGTCGACAGGTACGTCTTTAAGATTATTGTTTCAAGCTAGTCAAGTAAATTACAAATAATAAATGGATAATACTTTATTTAGAAAAAGTTAAAATTAATCACAAAATATATATTTACAGAACCCTGATGTTTGAGCTTGCGAAAAGTTTTACAGTAGAAAAGAATCATTTTCAATGTTGAGAATTTCTAACAATAGGTAAAACCTACTGAAAAAAGCGTGTCATTTCTATGCGGAAAATGTTTAGTTTAGATACAATTCAACTCCTAATATTTGGGTAAGCTTGTTTAATCATAATTATCAATACATTGACAGTGAGGGTACTGCATTGACGAATAGAACTTTTTCAGTAAAATACTTTGAAAGTTAATTCTACCGCTTCGTTAAAATCATGAAAATTGTAAAACAAAAGTAGCAAAATAGACTAGCTTTTAGTACGACGAAATATGATTTAAAATCAACTGATTTGATTTCAACTTTCTTCAAAAATAATCTCGTTTCTTCTTATTTACTGATATTTATGACTTCATTCATAGTTTGAAAATGTGATCATTATCAGATTTCATATTCTACTTGTCAATAGCAATGTACAATTAACTAGAACTTCAATCTTTATTAGATTTGTCAATTTTATGCATATGTGACAGGAATTTTCAAATCTATCTTCTATATAAAGTAAAAAGCAATTGCGTATCTGATTCAATAAAAGATGAGTATGTCTTTCTAATAATTGCTGATCTAGTATTCACTATGAAATCAGTGGCATTATCTTAGTAAACTCATGCTCATAGATCAGTAGAACAATTAGAAATAATAATTCACACTATTTTAACGTTTAATAGTAAATTTCATAATAAAACATGGTAATTCATCGAGTTTCAAAAGATTCATGAACGAATATGCTTCAGTAGCTTGAGGCCATGTCTTGTGAATTTTATCCATTCTGCATTTATATTGAACAGAATTGCTTTAATCTAGAAGTTTGACGATACATTTACTAGAATTATACAAATTCACTTGATTTCTGACTGTATTCTATATCGATAAAAGCTACTATTTTATAACAAGGGCAGATTTTCTAACTTTTTTATGATTAATAAGTCCTAAATCGTTGATAAATTCTGGATATTTTATTTTTACGGTAACTAGTCATTATGAAGGAACCTCATTCGGTGCATGAATAAATCACTTTTCTGTTCTATTTTTAATATAACATATAAAATAGGGTATCTGTGTTCCATTTAAAAATTGCTTTCAGTCTCTTATAGAAATACAATAACTACATAAATCAAACGGGTTGCAGCAGTTTTGTTTGTCTGATCACATTACCGACTGGCAAAACTGATATAATCGTTAATTTCATATTTTAGTTTCTGAAAATTGATCAACGAAGTATGTGATCAATTTTATTGGCAAGAAATTATAAACTAAGTCTTGATAATACAATTACATTTACTATATCTCTGCACATTAAAACAAGTACATTCAATCACTTAGTCAATCAATCAATCAATCATCGGGATATTTCATTGAGAATAAACAGTCAACTCATGTATTATTATAAAAACAAAAATCACGAACAAAACATCACACATAAAAATATCGTGAATGTTGTTGTTTCTTTATGAATATAATATATATGGACAATCGAAGAAAATATTCGTTGTTTTAAAATTGAGAAAACTCAATTCATAAGATCCATGTCATTTTTGTCGTCAGCCATTTGATAAATTCTATGTGTTATTTGATAGGGTGTTGTCGATGGTGGTAAACTTTGATAATGCATCGTTGGTGTAATTCTTTTTGCTCCACGAAATGCTTTAAAATAAACATTATGAACTAATTTTTTTGTAACAGCATGTGTGATTTCTCGATAATCTGAATAATCAGGTTCATTCAATGTTGTTTCCCATTCGTTATATTCGGGTCCATGATCTTTATCATTTAATGAATACAACTGACGTTTTTCTAAAGCTAATTGACTTGCTGCCTGTGCCTTTTGTCTTGCTTGATATTGTCGTTCATTATCTTCCATTTGACGTTGATAAAAATATGTAAAATTGGATACAATTATAGGTACAGGTAATGCTATTGTTAATACACCTGTTATAGCACAAGCTGCACCAATAACTTTGCCTAACGTTGTACGTGGAACATAATCACCATAGCCAACAGTAGTCATTGTTATTATAGCAAACCAAAATGAGTCAGGAATAGAGGCAAACTGACTATTCGCTTGTGTTGCGGCAAAATTTTGATCATGTGTTGAATGACAATTTATAGATGGAGGACACGATATTGATGTTGATGAAATATGATTTGGTGTTCTTGTTTGAGGTGTACTTGAATAATCGGCTTCAACAAAATACATAAATGAAGAAAAAACAATAACAATAATAAAGAGAAAAAACATTAAGAGAAGCAATTCTTTCCACGACGCTAAAAATGTCAATGCAAGCACTTGTAGACCCTAGAAAGAAAAAGAAATACATGAAAAAAAATAGTCTAATTGATCATGGAAAAGATCGTATTACAAAGATCAACTAAACATAGGAGCTGCATTATTAATTAATTGCTTGTTTTTTTTTGTAGTGAAATAAATTAAATTCGATTTTGTACTCATCATGTCCCGTTTTCTATTCTCAAAAAATTGATGTTTATTTTTAACCTTTTATTTCTTATCATTTTCTGTTTCAATTAATAATGAATTAAAGCCTACCTTAAAATGTCTTGATAATTTAAATATTCGAAATACTCTTACAAGTCTAACAATCCTTAATACAGTTAGAGTCGATGAAAATCCTGGCATAGTATTGTCTTTTTTCTGATAAATTAGACCAATTAATTGTATAAAATATGGTATTATTGAAACAACGTCAATAATATTGGGACCATTTTTAATGAAGGCGAATTTGGACGGTGCTACCACAAGTCGACATACGAATTCAAAAGAAAACCATGTCACACATATTGTTTCAATAATGAAAAATATCCAGAAAAGTCTTCCTTCATTGCCTGGTGGTAATGAACTAAAGTGGTGTGTATTATTTACATTATTCTCTAGTGACATTGATGGATCATTACGGATGGACGGGAGTGTTTCTATAATAAATGAGGCTATTGATACAATAATCATAACAATTGATATAATAGCAACCACTCTGGCTATATTTGATGATTCCGGGCATTCAAATACTTCCCAAACAGCACGTTGAAGTTCATTTATTGGTCGTTCAACAGGAATTTCTTCTACATAACCTTCCTGTTTACGATAACGTTTAAGTACTTCTTCACCTAAAATGCATTGACAAAATGTTTTTTTCTTTAGTTGAATGTCTTGATTTCAACAGAAAAAAACATACCAAGATCAAAAAATTTAATTTCTTCTAAAAAAATTTCTGCAGAAATATTTTCTGGCCGTGCCAATCGTCCACCACTTTGATAAAAATAAAGAACAGCTTCAAATGATGAGCGATGTCGTTCAAAAAAATATTCATTGTTCATAGGATCAAAATAATGCGAACGTCGTTGCCTATCGCCAAGTAATGTATGTGGATAACGTTGTAATGTTGATGCACGCGATTCAAAACGTAAACCGCTTACATTTATCACGATTTTATCGAATGGTTCATTTTCCGATTGTTGCTTATTTTTATTTTGATCTTTATCAGTAGCAGTTTGATCTGTTGCTGATTTACATTGTTTTGAATTAGGATGATGACGATGGTGCTTAACACCATTATTTGAATTGAGTACAAGTGACGACATTAAATGTAATTCATCAGCCGTAGACGAATAGCAACCACTATCTTGAGCAGACGATGTTGGATAGTCGTCAATAGGATTATTTATTAAATATCCAATGGTTGCAGATGATGTTGGTACAACATCAGTGAGAATTGTTGGCTTATAAACAGCGCCGTTGCCTATTCGATTGAAATCCATGCTTCATGTTAGGTTATTTCGCATATTATCAGATTCCATAGTTATTTAATAACTAAAAAAAACAAACCATTAAACGATAGAAGAAAACATTAAGAAAAGACACTATTTTTTCCTATTCTCATATATATAGATAGATAGATAGATAGATAGATAGATAGATAGATGTCTTTTCTGTAGTGATGACCAAATATTTTTCTTTCATTAATCGAATATAATGTATTTATTCAAGCGTATAGGATTTTTTACTAATAGTAAAAAAAGAAGAACTTTCTTTTTGCTAATGAGAATGTTCGTGCTTTCAATAAAAAAAAACTGCAACCGAGTGATCCTATGGTTTTGAATAAAAAGAAAGCATTAATGTCCTTGACTATTTTATCATGGTTAGTTCTCTCAACTAAAACAACGAGATATATATCGAAGACTCATTATGTCGTTTTGCTGTGCATGCATATTAACATATTACTTGAATATAACAATTTGATTCTAGATAGTTACACGTTTATCTCGATGCAGAAAGCAGCTTGCATATGCCTATTATAGATTTTTCTGCAATAATATGATGATTATCAAAAATATTCAAACTCAATATCAATTTGAAAGCTAGAGAGTCAAAGAGAAATCATATAGTAAGTCGACAAAAATGTGCCATGCAAAATCAAATAATACTAATGTGTCATGTTCGAACAAACTCTAATAACTAATTAGAATAGATCCAAAAAGACATGTAGAAAAACTGCTTCTATACATTCTTTCTGTCTAACATATTTTTCTTTTCACATTCTATGTCAAATAGACATTTCATATTGTCTCTATTGATTAATTGTTGTCCAACAATAAACATCTCTAATGATATCCTACCCTATTTTTGTTTTGTTTACTTTGACTCCGTTAAATATCTTCTAATCCATTTATTTATCTATATCTACGTATCTATCTGTTCACCGTACAAATAAACTTGCTTTTATTCATTCGTTGTTTCATAGATACACATACATTGTCTAACTTACTTGTCATTTCAGATTTATTTAATTAGTCTCGAAATTAAATTACAACTATATTAAGCGAACTTCAAAAACAAACTCAACTCGGCGTAACACTGTTTGTCAATGCGATATATCAGATTAAATCTTCGAAAGGTTTTATAGATACGATCGTATGTACGATTTGAGACTATAGAATCAATAGATTGGAACAACTAATTATTTAAATCTCTGAGTATAGTTCATTATATATGTATATATATATAAATATATTGCTTTTCTTAGATAAGAGGATTCAACAAATGAAAAGAGAATAAATGTCAGCTTTGTTTGTATTTCGAAGAAAAGAGAAGCTATCTACTTGACTGACTCGTTATCAGCAGTCAATTTTCGGCAAATGGTTAAGAAGTTTGATTCATAGACTAGATTGAGTTAGGCTTCCTTTTGAATGAATTCTTATTTAAATGATGTTGAAAGCGTAGAAAGTCCAGGTCCTCAAATGCATGAGATTGTCTCTTTTTGTTTACTCAAAAAGTGAGTACCCTCTAGATTCAGTTGGTGTGTCCGTTCGTCCGTCCGTTAACACGACAACTTTTGAAAGACTCATCCAGTTGTCATGAAATTTTGTAGACAGAACGATCTCATCAATATCTCAGTCGAGTTCGAAAACGAAAGCAATCCGTTAAGAAATGACTCAGTTATCGAAAAAATTGTCATTATTTACCAGACCATCGCTGAGAGGGGATACAGGGTTTTTTCAAAAAAAATATTTCTCTCAGAATTATTCACAACATATATAAATCGACTCAGTTTTTAACGCTGATTCCGAATCTGATGTTAATTTTGCACTAAATCGTAGCTTTCTAACAAAACATCGTCTGAAAAAGGTCTCAAAATGCACAAAAACTGCATCCAGAAACAAAATTGCCTAGATACGTCTCAGATGAGCAGTAGTTTTGGGGTTTTCCAAATGCCTGGTTTTGTAGCTAGTCAAAAGGACTATCGAAAGGTAAAAACCCGAACTCGATAGCTATCAATATTGGTGAATTATTAGGAAAATATTGATGCCTATATCTATTATATATCTCTTCTAGATCCATGAGGTTACTTACGATCGTAATCCTGCTAGATACAAACGCAAATCCATTGAAAAATAACTCTTCTTACCCAGTTTTCCAAGCTAAACACGAATCTGAACTCAATTTCTGTGATTTCTAATGATATTATATCACTCCGAGACTAGAGTTAGTGGTCACGGGATAGGGCCGCATACAGTGTGGCCCATGCGAATTTAGCACGCCTGTATTTTCTCCTTGGAATTTAGTGACAAGGGATGTATTTTGATGGGATATATGTCTTATAGAATAAATGCGAAAACCTCAGATTTAAATTCGATTGTTATGTGTACTTCAAACAGTGAAAAGGTATATTCACTTTGTTCTTTATTTTCTTAGATAGTTTGATCAAGATCAATCTGTCATCAATTAGTTTTACTTTTGAAGTACACATAACACTCGGATTTAAATCCGCTGTTACCACATGTATTTTTTTTAAATTTTATGATGATTCAACACTGACAAGGAAAATGGTAAATGCTTGGTATATTCTAGAGAAAAAAAAATAAAGACAGACTGCTTGATGACTAATTTAACTATATAGTAAAAGAAATATTTAGAAAAACAACAGAATTTCTAAGCATATCAGAGCAATTGAATTAGAGAAAAACACGTGATGATGATCTTTTCTATTCCACAGAAAATAACGTCAGCAAACACGCATAGATAATTCTGGAAAAAACGTTAAGGGGAAGAAAAAACAGGGAGAGCTCAAGTGCCATGCGGCTGAGTTAGGAAAAAAACCTTGTCCTTGTTTCCTTCAGTACAAGAGAAAACGAGAAAGAGAGACACACAAAAATTGGAAATACAAATGTTTATTGTGCCATAGAAATATTTTCTTTACTGTCTTTCTTCTGCACTAACCGGCATCTACAAACCTATTGTCTGTTCGTCGTCAAAAATGTCTTGTGGAATGCTTTGCGCATGTTGTCTCTCCCTCCCTCCCTCGTTCCCTCTCTGTCGTCTGAATACCTCACTTAGACCGATGAAATGCAAAAAACCAACTGCGTGTTTCATGATAGTAGTAATAGTAAATAAGGCTTGGGAGGGAAAAGAAACGTGCAGAAAACGATAAAAGAAGAGAAAAAAGAAATAGCCTGCTGTATGTGATGCTTATAAATTATTGCCAATTCTGCGCAATGAATTCAAGGTGTTAATCTAGTTTACATAATGATGACAACTTGTCTCATGTTATGAGTATCTATGCCAGTTCATTGAAAAACAAAATGATACAATATTCATCCATAAATATATAAGTAGTTATGTGCTATGTTGAAAATATTGAAATATGAAGGATTAAAACATATATTTAGATGAAAGGCAAGGCAGATGAACGAATAGAAAATATTTATAATAGAAAATATATTTTCTTATAAGAATTAATAATATTTATGAAAAATTATTTATACCATACTTTATTAATGTTTTTATTATTAATTGAATATCATAACAAATATTGAATATTAATGAATTTCTTTAGCGTAAAAGTTGCCTGAGTATGTTCTGCGTATTAGTTGCTGCTAGTGATACGTCGTCAATTTTATATTTGATATATTCTGAAAGAGATTGGTGAATAGGAAATGAATAAAAAGTTCAAATGACTAACATAGACAACAGAATTCATTGGGGATTTTATTTATATGCTCGATATATGTTTAGATAGAATTCATGCCAAATGTGATTAATTTTTCTTATACTAATTCTAATGAAAATGATTGATTAAGTTGGGTTTATAAATGTGTTGGTTTATTGATCGTATGTCGATAAACCATTTTGTTTCGTCCAATGATAAGTCAATCAATCAATCAGATTCTCGTTTTCAAGAAAATCATGATCCATCTAAATTATTTACTATCTTTATTGATAATCAAATAGATACTGTTAAATATACTAAATTGATACGTTTCAGTGTAATTATTTATTTTTAAATGTGAGATATTCGAAAAACAAGGTTTCTTCAATTATATATGTGCAGTCCAATTCGGTCGATTTTACTTACGAATTAAATTCTATAGGCAATTTTTCAATTGATTATAGAATTTGTTTTATTTATTTATTTATTTATTTATTATATCTCAACTAACCAAATAAAATAATTGTCGATGACCAATACTTAAAATTTATCGAATTGTTAATTATCCCTGTAAGTCAATAGGACATCACATACACGATCTGTTGAATGAAAAATCGCCAGTCTTCCTATCACTTCAGAAATGCGTTTTTTTTGCTTGTCAAACGTGATCAATTTAATCATTTGAATGTTCCACCAAATAGAATTCAAGTTAATTTACTAAGACACTATCATGATTGATAAAAATTTTCGATTTTACTAAACATTATGATCAGTGGCGGCGGAGCCACTGAGACAGGTGAGGCTTGAGCCTCACCTAGTTTTCAGCAGATGAGGCTCAACCTCGCCTAGATTTCGCGATATGAGACTAAGCCTCACTTGCTTTTGTACTGAATATTGCTATTTTTTTGTTCTTGCATCAGAGTAGGAGCAAAGAAAAGTAGTTTTCGGTATTTTCCAATCTCTCTTTTTTATACTGACCATTTTTATTTTTACTGAAGTTCAATAAAAAGAAGACTTATTTACTACTTGATGTTTCATAAAATTCCACGGTAGCAAAAAGAATATGATGAGCCTCATCTAGCTTAATGACGCTCCGCCGCCCTTGATTATGATTGCCGATAAAAATATTTTTCTGAAAAATTTCACTCGTGAATATACACATCAACTAACGCTCAATTCTCAAAAGTTGACAATAAGAGTATAATAAATTTTTCTGATTTTGCTCGAGAAATGTCGGATTAAATTAATAATAAAAATAAGAACTTTGGTCGATGTAAGAAGACAGAAATTAATTGAAATTTCGTTTTTATTCTAAACAAGGTTTTCTCACTTATGCAACTCCCAAGCTCCTGTCATGTTGATTTCTCCATGAAAGAATTGTGTCATTTCCTGTGTGCTAATTATTTGTGCAAAGAATTGCAAAAATTTCGTGTTCGATACTTGAAAATACAGTAGACATTGATCGTACTGCAATGATTGTCACGGTAAATGTCGCCATATGTCATGAGAAAAAAATTTCTCTGGCACATATGTCACGAGATGTGACAAATTCCAACAGTCATTAGTTAGCTTACATTATAGAAAATAATATGCTTTATGTTCTAATGAATTTGTCTTAGAAATATCTCTTCAGTCTATAAGAATTTATCATAATGAACTGAAATATGATATATAATAATAGCAATAATCCTGTCAATAGGATTAGAGAGCGCAAAAATCAGGCTTCATAACAGAAGTATTTTTCAGCATTTAACCGATCGGAGCAATAAAAAAGGAAAAGAAAATCTATTTTCTTTGTCATCAAAAAGGAAACATATTTTTATTTCGTGAAAGAATCAAATCAATATTATGAAATTTATTTCTTATTCATTACATATTCTTTTTGTTTTTTCTTTGTCTTATTTTCGAAGGAGTCAGATCAAGTATAGAAAGAACACATCGCCAAAAGAAGAATTAATCAAACACAAATCCTCTTGAATATCATTATTGATATATATGAATATACGTATTATCTGGCATCCATATTGTCCCCTCTATATTATTCAAGCATCAATTCACTCGTATTTATTCTGGATATATCCAACGTAACGTACAAATGTTGATATCTTCTTATGATTTCTTTTTCCTTTCTTTTCTTTGTCTATTACTTCTTGTATCGAAAAGAATATGGAAACAAAAAGAAAAATCCATACAATCAGTCTACATAATCTCTCTGTCCTTTTGTCGATCTATTGAATTAACAGAAAGACGCTAGCTCGCTTGGTTTGTTTGCTATATATCTGTGCCAAACCTCGTTGTTGCATATTACGTATATGTGTATACTAGGACAAAAAAGACCAACTGTTTTCAATATCAACAATTGCTGATATATTTATTTCTAACATGAATTCCCCAATAGCAATACGTCTTGAACGTGATGGGACTGATCAACAGTGGGGTTTTCGCCTTCAAGGTTTGCTTTGGAATATGATCTCATTTTTTCTTCTCCTTTTGAATATCTATTGTATTTAGGTGGAACTGATTTCTCTGTTCCATTATCAATTGAATTTGTATGTATACGAATGAGAAACAAAGCAATATGACCTTTTTTCTTCCCATTTTTCCAAGGTCGCTCCATATACTTTAGCTGAAACAATGGGTTTAAATGTGGGTGATCAAGTTATATCAATCAATGGTCGAAATGTGACTAATCTTACTCATCAAAATGCTAAAATGGAAATAACACGTTCTGGCAATGAACTTGAATTAACTGTGATAAAGTACGCCCATCAATCATTATGATGAATTTATTCTCATATATATTCATTATAGAGGAGCAGTTAATCAACGATCAATATCAACACTTCGATCTTCTTCACAAACAAAAAAAACTTCTGTACACTATAAGCCAACGGCACCAGCGGTAAATCCTAACTTTACGTCAACCAATCAGGTATAAAAATATTTTATATATTAAAATAATTAAGATTAACATTGTTTTTTCAAGTCTCAAACTCATGTTGGTAGTACCCATAATCGACAACCAGCGCAGCACGATGGACACATAGGTAATGAAATAACTAACCGAACAGGAATATCAATGAATTCACAATTTTTATTAACATATATTTTGATACATTCTATTTATTTCAGGTAATTATTCACAAGAAGTTCCTGAGGATTTAAATGCAAAATTTTTTCAGTTTTCTTTTTGTTTCATTGTTAACATTTTGTATTTTTTTTCTCCTTTATGCTTAATAATTTAAAGCAAATTTTGAATCATCACCTGCATATAATCGAGACCCACTTCGTACGTTAAATGTTTTAGTTCGATTTTAATAAAATTTTTACATTCTTAGAGCGTGAAGTATGGACACCAGTTGCATATTGTGACAATCCACAAGCTTCAACTCGTCATTACGGTACAGCTGTGTATCATGCTCAATATAATTCTCCGATAGGACTTTATAGTGATGACAAAGTATTAGAAGCATTTAAATCACAAACAGGAAATTTGATTAATGAAATTAAAGGGTATGATTTTAAATTAGATATATTTAAAATTTAATTTAAACGAAAATCACCTTGATTTTTCATTTTTAGAAACGATCTTCGTCAATCAGCTGATAATTATAATGATAGCATGAATACAAAGTCATCACCAACATATCAAGCTGTAATGAACATTCAACCAAAAAACAACATTACTTATTCATCTGAAGCAAAACTTTCTCGCTCATTTCGCGCTCTTGAACAAGACCTAATGTCTGTAGAAGGTACGCCACAAGCACCTAAATCAATTTATGATCAACGTCGTCAACATGAATAACAAGTCAATTTTCTGAACATCAATCCATCTAACGTAATATTATTGGAACAACAAGAATAATAAATTTTTTCTACTGCAATATGAAAATAAATAAATACACAAAACAAAATTATGAATGAAATAAAAATATGTGTGTATGCAATGATGACGTTATGAGCTTTTTCAGTTAATAATTCCGTCATGACCTTTTTTTCTCTTTCAAATTTCATGAATGCAAATTCTTTTTATCCATATTTTACCTTTTCACGATTTGTGTGAAGTAATGCTGTGTTTGATATTTGTATCATATTCAATTTTTTTGTTATTACCCACCATCAAATGTGTGTGCGTGTGTGAGCTGAATAAAAATAATAGATAAATATTTGTTGATCTATACAAATCATAATAGTATGTGTACACCAAATACTGACAATATTTACAAAACTGATTGGATGTCTCGGAAATCAACGTTGACATATATATTACACAAATCATTTCTTCATTTCTAATGATTGAAAAGTAACAGGTTGTCGTTTATTTGTTTACTAACAAATAGATATGATATCAGTAAGGTTGAGCTATCGCTACATTGTATCATTGAAGCTCACGTCAACACATACAGAAGAAGATCGACGAGAGATGTTAGTTGTTTTAAACATTATCATTCTCTCCTTCTCTCTCTCTCTCTCTCTCTCTCTCTCTCTCTCTCTTTCAATAAATTCAGCTGAAAAATAATTAAAATTTGATCTCATGAGTATTACAGAAGTTTATCAGAGTTCTTTCATATCATGTATTGATTTCATTGATTATAACGATAGAGATCGAGTGACTATATCTATACGAATGAATAGTGTTATTGGTGGCGAATAACATATTTTGATTGTGCATCTAAGAATAATTCTAGTGATAAATAACTAGCACGAAAAAAACTTGGATTCATGACGAAGAATGATAGCCAGATATTCGTGAATGTTCTAATGTAATAATATGGGCACACGTATGTTTTCTTTTTTATTTGCATGTATGGTATTGTTTTGATTTCCGAATTTTGCTTGGTATAAAAATTCGTACAGAATTTCGTTTCAAAACAATTGAATTGAATATAAAATACAATGTAATCATTTTCTTGTTTTTAAAAGAATTCTACTGACAAAGATTGCTGCGCTATTATGTGTTTTCAGTATTGTCTGTTACTACAGATTAGTGATGAACTCAAGTATCAAGATCAATAAATATATAGATGAGGAAAAAGGAACGGAGATACACCGGAGCGCAAAAAAAACGAACAAGAAAAGATTCATTATCTTTTTCTCTCTAGTCACAGTCATTGTCTTCGAATATTTTTCGAATACATTGTTGTCCTTTATTAGTCTTTTTTAATGTATAACCAACATTACATGTACATCGTCCAAACGATGTACAATGAGAATTTCTATCCATAATATTACATTGCCGATTCAGTAAACAACGATAAGAAAACATATTTTTCCAATTAATTAATGATTGACGTGTTGTTGTGGAAGGTGACCATGGCCACCAAAGAAAACTAGTTGCTGATATTGCCGTTGTTGCCGTTGTTGCTGCTGCTGCTGCTGTTGTTGTTGTTGTTGTTGTTGTTTTTGTTGTTGTTGTTGTTGTTGTTGTCGTTTTTGTCGTTTTTATTGTTGTCTCGATGGTTGTGATCGTTCGGCTTGTTTCTTCATTAGATGCATCTAACCATAGATTCAATCAGATTAGAATAATACTTTAATATCATACCTGGATCTTCTAAACAATTCCAACTATCAATAGGAAAAGAGCCACGTGGGCAATGACAAATATTATTTAAACATATTGCATTTGATGTCTGACAATGTCGATTAGTTGTACATTTTCCGCCTAACAAACTTTTATAACTAGCTACGCTTGTTTTTGAATCTATATTTGTACCTTATTTTAAATAAATATATATTTTATTTCTGGAATATATATGATAAAATAATAAAATACTTTCAGTACAAGTATAAGCATCTAGTGACATATAACCATCCATACATGAACAAATTCCATTATAACAATGTGATCGTGTTACTGATCGTCGACAATAATAATCATTTGTACATGTGTTACCTATTTTGCCTAGAAATTTAGCCATTTCATCATCTGGTGAATGTAATGATAATGTTGTTGTAGAAAGAGTAGAAGTTGAACTTGAACTTTCTATAAATGGTGCATCTTAATATGAAATTGAAGTTAGAAACTTTATTATATTATTTTACACATTTTATACCTTGTCCATGAATATTATAACATAGATATTTTCCCAATGGAACATACCCTTCTAAACAAACACAAGTATGATGAAAACATTCGAGAAGAACTGTAGTATGTTGACAATCTTGATTTTTCAAACACATTGAACCATAACCAGGAAGTTCTTCAATTGGAGATGATTGTGTTATTTGTGCATTTTCTGATACTGGTGCTGTACGTTAAATAGTAATATTCTTTTACAGAAAAACTCCAAAATAGCAAGAAAAAAAGCGAACCAAAATCTCGAATACATCGATATGAATCGATGGGTACGTGGCCAGATGAACATTCGCATCGCTTTTGTGTACATACTTTTGTTCCATCAACTGGTGTTCGACGGCATTCATCATTTGATTCGCATGGTTCCCCTAGCATTTGAATTTGAATTCCTAAATTTTCAATTGAAATCAAAAGAAAACAAACACATTTTTATTTCATTTACCAAAATTAGCTTGTCGACGTGCACGGGCTTTATAAACACATCGAAAATCTCCATTCGATTGATATCCCAATTGGCATACACATATATGATTAAAGCATATTGAATTCGGCACAAAATCACTACAATGTTCATTTGTTTTACATTCATAACCAAGTATCGTTTCATAATGAATAGCTTTTGCAAAAATCAAATCAAATATCAATAATACAATAAACCACATATTTTCAATCTATAATAAACGATAGAATTAAATGAGATTGCTATCTTGAAAACCAAGAATTAAGTTAATAATCAAATCAATTAATTTATCTAAATTGTTATGAACAGATTAGATAATGTTTCACACATGTGTAAAGTTATAGCAGGATTTCTCTTATCGAGGACACACATCAAAATAGACTGATGGCAGCATGTGCTCATAATGATAGGTGTGAACAGAGAAGAAAAGAACAAAAATAAATATTCTGAAATTGTATGACGCAAGAATTGAACTCTAAAATAAGGCAATGATTTGAACGTGATCAAAAACAAAAGCTTATTTTTTTATACCATTATTTTCTTTTATACCGAAGTCACGTTCAGCTGTCAAAATAATACGAACTTTCTTTACACATTCGCTCGAACAGATGCAACAGATAGACAAAACAATTAGAGAATGAAAAGAATATTTAATGTGGTCGTTTTATTTCATAATAATTGATCGAATAGTTTTCAATTTTATTTTTCTATCATAGAAAGAACGGCGATATTGAACAGATAGGATAAGCAGAATATGAAATTTTTTAAATCGTTTACTAATACAAAAAATAAAATCTTTCGATGAAATTAATTCAAACAAAAATTGCTGTCATGATGTAACTATCTTCTTATGAACAATTTATTTCCAACACTTGAAACAAATTCAAATAATAGAGAAAAGTAGTTTTGTGGCAAAAAATCTCTCGACAATGATTTTTTTTCTTCCTAATTATACAATAATAATTGAGAATATATTTTACCAACAAAATGGTAAACAATAAGGAATGTAACTTAAATAAAGCCATATTTTTTATCTTAGTTGTTTTTTTTTTTTGAATTCCCCAATTAATAAAGTTAATCCAGCCAATGTCAAATCTAATTGATCACACCAATCTTATACATCAAGTGCTATGCAGGAATTGTTTTATTCTGTGGCATTATTGCGATATTATTTCCTGTATTTAGAAGAATTGAAACCAAGTCAACGTGGATCAATGATAGATCATCAGAGAATATAAATCAAATATATTTGTATTCTTTATTGAAGCATGTCTCTTGAAGAATTATTTAAATTTATTGTCTCCTATGAATATTTATTAAAGAATAAAACATCTTAATCTTATTCCTGAACGAATATTTGTGTTACATGATGAAACTAGTAATATTTAGCGCAAAACCAAGACACAATCTATATAGTTTGACTTTGATATATATTCATGTTAGAAGAAAATAAAACAGAAAATTTCATTATTTGGTAGTTCAATCATTTATTATACTGATTATCAATGCTGATATAACAATGTGTCAGTTTCTACATAGATGTTGAAATCGAAGTGAAGAATTATTGTCAATTCTAGCGATATCTTTATTCACATACGATGACAAAAGTAGACATAGAGAGAAAACCACTTGAAATTCAGTTGCTGTCATAGTCAAGTTCTCTTTCAAGTGTTTTCACTCTCGTGTCTATCGTTAATTTGTGTCGAAGTAGAATAATAACTAGGATTCGTTCTGAAAGACTAGAAAATTCTATTCAATATAGGATTCAGATAGATTCAATAATATTACTGGTATCGAAATCTTGAATGATGAACGTATTCGTTTCTTGAATAAGTTACATTGACAGTTTAACTTGAGCTACAATTGAAAAATTTGATCAAGAAATTCGTTACTTCGACTAGCAAAAGTCTTGGAATGCACAAGAAAGAATTTTATCGTTTATATAATGAATTATATTGAAATGTCCACACTAGTTCAACTGTTCCAATAGTTATTTCCGATCGACTTGTTAAAACTTTTAATCGCCAATAGAAAAGCTATTATTTTCATTTGTTTCTTATTTCATCGGTCTTATTGTAATCATTTGGTTCTTTAAATAAGTTGACATTCGAAAGTAGCTGTAGTTTTAATGATTCAAAATAATTTTTAACTTCTATTCAATAGACTTTGCTAATGCTTATTTATTGTTAAATCATATTGACTCAAATACAAATGTAACAGCTGGCGATCGATTTAACTATATTACAGATCAGACTATATTTCACGAGAGTACGCTAAACAAATATTTAACCATCTTGATCAATATTGTACATGATTATTATTTTTTTTATAGAAAAGTAAAATAGAAATTTTCCTTATGATTACATTCAACCCATTGAAAACAATATTGAACTAAACTCAATGATGACAGTGGCCGATTTATTTTAGTTTAGTTTTTCACAAAAAGAATTTGTTAAATACATTACAACTTCGAATAACTAGAAAAATAATCTCGATTGTACTTGAATTTAACTCCTAATGTACAAGAAAAAAACAAATGAACGTGTTGACGCATTACTTTTCTTTTCGTTCTCCGTTCTCTAGTAATATTTCTTTTTTCTCTTATTTGAATTCTATTACATCAAAGTTATACCGAAGACTTTCGTATAGAGTGTTATATCACTTTTGTCCACTTTGAAAAAAATGAAAGTCAAATCTTAATTATGATCACGATAATTACATGAATTGAACTAGACACTAACTGTCCTATTGCATTATGAGCACACCAATAAAGCAAATGAATAAGTGTTCTTTAGTAATAAATCAAAAGAGCCAGATGTATTTCTCGTTCTAATATACGATTCAAAGGATTGACGCTGTCTTAGAAATATCATATATGTTCATTTCTACGCATGGAAGCAAAAAAGAAAATTTTCAGTGTTTCACGCTATGTAAAATAGTACTCTTGCTCATGATGAGTGAACCTCAGGTGAACAGGAAAAAGAGTGAATGGACACGTGTCACAAGTTTAAAATAACACAACTATTTGTGCTTTACCATCTTTGATAATGAATTCCAGTTGTTCATATGTTAAATCAATACAAGCTTGGTGTAAAAGTAATTATATGCATCTTGATTACTATAGTTCTTCAACAGTCAAATATTGGAAGAAAAAAAAACAAAGCAATAGAAACATGGAGGTTACAATTGCTGCATATGAAATATAAGATGAAGGATGATTTTCGTTCGTTTGAATAGACTCATATGACTCGTTCTATCTCGACATTGATAAGTATTTTTGTAGCGTTTACTGTTTTTTTCTTCTTCTTATATTTATCATTACCTCTGTATAGATTTTATTTCAAAAATATAATCAACAAAAGTCTGTGAAACCTAACTTTTATCTAGATCTTTTATCCAACTGGAAAACAAAATGATATATTGAAAATATACTTGAACAATTCTGAATTATTTTTAGTCTCTTTTGATTTAGTTTGTTCGTTAAAAGAGTCCAATATAATATTACTGACAAGAAAAATAGTTTAGAAACATATGCATATGATTGTAGTTTCTGGTTATGTACACCATGTTTCTCATAAAATACTATACTGAAGAAAGAATTCATGCTTTTATAACAAAAAAAAGTGTTTGTTGGTGAATTGCATTATTCATTCAATCGCGACATTCATCTTGCGTCATAATGTATATAAAGATGTAGTGTAAATGAACCGTATGAAACAGTAACTTGAACTTATTTTTTTCATTTTTATCTTTCGATTGTTACATAACTCAATTTAAACAGTTTCTTATGAGAAAAGAATGAACTTTCTTTCTCTCATTATTTTCTTTTGCATGTTAGAATCAATGTTAAAAAGATTGATCCACCCTTGAAAAGTAATTGTCTATTTGAATGATGTCGCCATGTATATGATTAAACGATTTTATATGCATCATTTGACCATTCGAATGGCCATTGATAAAATGAGGTTAGAATGATTCCTTTTTACTCTCTCTCTCTCTCTCGCTCGCTCGCTCCATTTGTTACATACATATTTATTTGTCTCATCTATAATAATCAAGAGGATAAAATCTGTTCTTCGTTATCTATTCTCTACTAATAGAACAATGTTGTATCATTATAACCTTTTCATTGATCAAAATAATATGATAGGCCTTTATGGATTACTTCATTATGTCAATTATCTTTTTTGGAATCTTGAAATGAATAAAAGAAATGCCGAATTACTGAATATCCTGTCAGATTTCTCAGTTTATTTCTCGATATAATATGTTTGCATCTTTATTCTTTTCTCCTTCGGTAAACACCACGGTTAATTGTTGTTCAGTCACATTTGTCATAAGCAGCTGCTGTTCTGTATTCTTTCTTGCTCTTCCAACTTTGATTACCTTCGATGAGAGTAACGGAAAGCTAGATATGCTTATTCTTTGGTCTGTACTTTTTTGATGGAATACAGACACAGTGGGACAATAAGTATGTATGTATATGCTTTGATTATGTAATCTTCAATATTGAATCTTCGGCGACGAAGTTTATTTTGAAACAAGGTCATAATAACATAATAAAAGCTAGTATTCTTTCTAATAGGATACAAAGAAACCATGCAGATGTGTATATATATAAATGTAGATGAGGTGACCTATAGCTAACAAAAGCAGAAGCAATCACACATTTCAGACACTCAGCGATCAATGAGCTCTTTTTTCTTTCTGATAAGATATGTTCGAGATCGTTAACTTGGCATCTGTCTCCCCACCTTTTTTTCTTCTTCTCTGTCCTTTCTTTCTTTTAACTATACCACTACAACCATCATCATCATACAATCGTCTCATTTTTTCTTTCTTTCTTTCTCTCCTTCGTGTATGATTGACCGATGAACAACATGTTGAGCTACATCGTTGAACTGCATTTACTAGACTCATTGATCGCGTCATTGTTTCGTCGTTTTTTCTTTAGATTATTATTTTTATTATCAGTACGCTTGTGGGTGTGTGGCTCTATCAAACAAGATTCATTAGTGCATGGCACATAATTTATGGCGACGTCTCGATTTATGCGATTGTTCAGTCGACGCCAAGCAAAAACTCAAGCAAAAATATTAAACGATGATAATAATAATTATCCTTCCAATGTTAAATTTGCTTTTAATACAAAAGCTCATTTAGTTGAAAAGCCTCAACCGTATCCACCAATTAAAAATGGTCTAGTTTGTACTGTTGTTTTCCTCGATGGTGAAAACGTGAATTTTGAAGTCGATGTAAGTTATTGACAAGAATCTCTATATCAATAATTTGATCTACATGCATTCAATATAATGAACGCAACGACATCGAGTTTGACCAATAAGTTTAGCGCATTGCAATTTGATCTGTCCAGACATATTGCTATATGCATGTATAAGCATGTATCAGCTGTTTTATTTTATCTAGCGTTGATCTAACTCTATTTATTTAGTCTAAGCATATACTCTCGTTCATGGCATCACACTAGTGGAGTAGCCTTGTGTGCTCTATTGTCATGTTGAGTAAAGAAATGAAAGAATCAGATAATCAAATAAACTTCTATACGTGCACAGGATCGAATCGATTTCGTGACAAAAGTATGTTCTAATAAAAAAGCGTGAATGAAACAAATGATAAAATTATATACGTATGATATTCAGCTAAAAAGAAGTAAAATATAACGTGATTCTTTATTTTATTTTTTTATCAACGAAGTAAATATTATGAAAGATCATCTGATTCGTTTTTGTGTTGTATTATCCTGTTTTATTCTTCTAACATATGATAAATAAGATTTCATATTTATGTTTTTACTTTTAATATTTAGCGTAAAGCTCTTGGTAGAGATCTTTATGATAAAGTAATCATTCATACAAAACTTATTGAATCCGATTACTTTGGTCTTCAATTTACTGATACACATAATGTTGAAGTAGGTTATACAAGATTTTCATTTTATATTTTTATTACTTATATTTTTATTAGCAATGGCTTGATGCAACTAAATCTATTAAAAAACAACGTAAAAGTAAATAAAAACAAGATTAAGAAAAAAAACAGAAACATGAAATCTTTTTTTTCTAGCTGGACCACCGTACACATTTCGATTTCGTGTTAAATTTTATACGTCGGATCCACGAAATCTTCATGAGGAATTAACCAGGTGAGAAAAAGAATCATTGATTGTTAGCTATGATTTATTATAATTATTTTTTTCTGTCATTTCATGAAGATATTTATTTGTACTTCAACTTAAAGATGATATTCGCACGGGTAAATTAGATTGTCCGTCTGGTTCAGATGTTGAGCTGACTGCATTGTCTATGCAAGGTAAATAGAATTTTTCATTTGTTTAAATGATTTTTTTGTTCTTCACAATGATAAAAAATTCAATAAGTGTTTTTCTACAACAGAAGACGAACTTTGTTTACCTTGAAGTTTTGCATACGATTCTAAATAAATATTTCGATTTGGGATCATCTGTATAGCTTTAATCAAGGACAAAACATAAGTCAAATCAATTTCGCTTATGTTTGATGAAGTAGAGAAGTATTTACTATGCAAATCTAGAGCTTTAACAAAACGAATTGATTAATGGTCATGACATAATGATGAAAAAAAAAAGTGTTATAATCCATTTTCATCGTATTGCCGAGTGAATTATGTGACATTCATATCAAAGATATTGTATTCGAACACAAATGGTAGCGAAGTATCTCAAATAGTGATCAATCAATTTTCGCATGTCTTTGGCTATTCGACAGGCACCTATTGAGATAAAAAAAAATCGATTTTCATGATTCTTCTTCTTGAGTTATGATTGTTTTTGTGAGTTTTATTGTGAAAATAATTTGAATTTCTCTCAGATCATCAGGAGCACCGATTTTTGAAGTTAAATATTAGATGAATACAACTCTGAATACGAGAATTTACAACCAATGAGAAGAATAACAAAGTATTTTCTTGAAAAACTCACTTACGTGTGATAGAGCAAGTAAAATAATATAAGCTCGTCAAGCTTACCTAATGATGAAGATTTCATTTCAAACTATAATTTCACATTGGTGATAAAAGCGAAAAAAGTAGTAATGATTGATTGAGTCAAAAAAGAAACAAGGCGTACTGTTCTAATAATTTTCAAAAGCAAACGATTGATGTATCTACCTACATACACTTTCTCCTGACTTGATGATAGATACGTATAAAACTAAGTGTCAGCGAATCAACTAATTTCTCTTTTTTTTTCTTTTCTTCTAGCTGAATTAGGAGATTATACTAGTGATGAACATTCAACTAATAATGTATTTGAATATCGTTTTCTACCAGATTATAAACATACAGAACAATTCGAACAAGATGTTATACAAAAATGGACAACATACAAGTAAAAGCTTTTCTTTTTCTTGAACTTCAAAGCATAGGTTTTTTTCTCTATTTTAAATAGAGGTTTAACACCAGCTGATTGTGAAGTTCAGTTTTTAAATAAAGCGCGATGGTTAGAAATGTATGGCGTTGATTTACATACAGTTACGGGCAAAGATTGCTTGGAGTATAAACTTGGTTTAACTCCAACTGGTATTCTTGTATTTGAAAACGAAGTCAAAATTGGTTTATTCATTTGGTAAGAAAAAAGAACAAGTTTTGTCATCATATTCTCTCTGAGCGTAGAAAACGAAACTCATATGTATTATATTGTATAGCCTCATTATAGCTACTAATGTGATATACATCTAGTAACATATTTGTAGAGAACTAAAGCTGTTTTAATAAGAATAATCAATCCTCAAGGAAAGCAGTTGTGTTATTTATTTATGCATATTCTACACATTTCTTACTTGTACTCTATTTTTCTTGATTACTTGATTACCATTCATCAGCCACTGTCGATTATCATCATATTACATTTGTCGTAATTTACTATTGCTTTTCTTTTTGAACAGTAATTTCACCTACTGTAATTCATATCCAGTATATCTATAACAGGTCTCATCGGACTCTCACGTTTTAATAAGCTCACAACTAAATATATCAGTTTTTACCGAAAAGAAAAAGAAATAAACTGCAACACGTAGAAAAGCCATGAGTGTTGTATAACCAATGACATTTTGAATACATTTTTTTAGTATTCTAGCAAATTCCATAGATAGTTTTCGTCAGTCATCAGATCGAGAAAGAGTAAAACCTCGATCTCACAGTCATCCTCTGAATTTTTGAGGAAAATCATTTTGTGCAAATTCTATTCTAGTGTTTCTTTTTTAAGGTCAAAAGTAACACGTATTGATTTCAATCGTAATAAATTAACAATCATTGTTATTGAAGATGATGATAATGATCCACGCTTACAACGTGATTTTGTCTTTTTATTTCGTTGCAATGACGAAAAAGAATGTAAACACTTTTGGAAGTGTGCATTAGAATATCATGTTTTCTTTCGTACAACATCAGCAACTAAACTTAAAAAAAATGCAAAATCAAGTTTCACGCGTACCGGATCAAGATTTCGATTTAGGTAAATGAATAGTAAGAAAAAAACGAAAATATTTGAAATTTTTCTTTTTCCTCTACAAACAGTGGCCGAACCGAATGCCAAACTGCAGCATTAGCAACTTTACCAAATCGTAATACGAATTTTGAACGTAAAGCATCGCATCGTTTTTCACGACGAGCATCGTACGCAATAAGAAAAAAGCTGCAAGAGCAAGAAACTTTACGCGAACAAGAAGATGAACGTTTAAAAAAATTAAAATGTGAACAAGAAGCAAAGTTCGATGAAAACAAAAAAATAGCAGAGTAAATTTTCATTATATTTTGTTTATGGTCATTTTTACTATTTATTTTTGAATAATAGATTCAAATCTGTGACAAATTCATTTCTATCAAATCATGATTTAACATTAACTTCTAAACGTTCATCTTCCTTATCATCATCACAAAAGAATTTAAGTTTATCAGCTACTCAGCGTCTTGATAATCTCATTCAAGGATCTTCGAATGATTTATTATTTGAGGGTAAGCATGAGAAAATCTTCTACTCATTTAATTAAAAATCGATACAAAAATTTTAAAAGTAAACCAATGTCTAATATTGTTTCTGCGTGTGAGAAACAGAATGTTGTATTTTTATGTATCGGTCAATCTAGATGCTGAAATCTACCATAAAAATGCAACGTTTTCCCACACGTTCATAAAGAAGATATCTTAATCATTTTAACAAAAATCTTGAAATGCTTCGAATTTAACCTACAGTCTTTTACAGTACCTGGATACAAACTAATCTACTTTTTGGCAGATCTAACATTTTTTTTTTATAAGATAGTCGTAGAATTCAACTTAGCAGATGCGTTTTGCTTTACTCATCAAATCCTGAAATCAGAATACGAACTTCTTGAGTTTTTATATTGGAGGACATTCGTAAAAGGTATTTAACCATAATAGTTAAGAGACAGTTAGGAATCTTACCCCGATTTGAGAAAATTTTCGGAAGTAACAAGTTTTCATTCATCGATAATAGATAGTACATTGCAAAATTCTCATATGGAAATTTTTTTAAAGATTGAATTTTCTCGTCTATAAACTAAAGATTATGATCATCTTAGCATTGAATAAATAGGTTTTTCATGCTTGTATGCGTGAAGATTAATTACTCGTTATTTTGGTTTTGCAAAACCAAAAAAGTAAAGATAGGGTAACATAGAAAATAGAAATATGAAATTGATACATCTATCAATATCTATGTAAATATCAATCGCCGCGAGTCTTATTATCAAAAGTGATGTGTACTATCCTAATAGGTTACAGAGACTAATATGTGGGTGGAAAGTATTGGTAAACGCATTCGCATTGATTATTGAGTCTACTACAGAAACCGACATTTTACGAAATCAGACTAATATCATGTAGTTTTATGACTTCAGCTGAATGTATTCTCTTTAGTTTTTCGCCTGTTCTAATCACAGTAAATATAACAATGACATCTGATACCTTCAAAATCTCGATGGGGATCAAAAATGATTCCTTGCTTAACGATTCTATTTGCAAAATGACCCTATCCGATTGGTGTGAAATCTATCATCAGAAGCAGAAATTTTTCAAAAAATGAATTCTCAATTTTTAAGTGAAAGCCAGAGATTTGACTAATCTTGTAGTAGAATTTCATTTTGAGATCTAGTTTGATAGAGTTTTAGCAATTTTTCATTCGACACAAGGAGCCTAAACATGGAAATATTTGATTGTTTATCTTATATTTTGCGATTTTTGCAGTACGTGCTAGTACCTGTGTGTTTCAAGACAAATTTTCGCCATTTCATAAGTGAAAATCTCAGTATAGTCTTAACTTATTTTGTTCACACCAGTATTAAACAGTATTTGCTATGGTCGCAATGTTCCGATAATGACAATAGTTAAGAAAAAATGCTTTTTCCAACTGTTGGAAAAAACGATATCTCTGCGTTTTTTCTCTTGATTACTAAAGAAGAAAGAAGTATTAAAAAGACTGGTGGCCTTCAAAACCCGTGGAAAAAGATTCATTAAATCGGTGTTCTCTTTCATTTGAACTTTCATTAAATATCAAGCGCCTTACTTACAAGAGAACAGCACCTTTCATGATTAGACTGAATAATAAGTTGACTTTGTTTATTTAAAATTTCAGAATACAACCAATTGAGTTACTTCTTGAACTATGAATATGAAGTTACTCTATTCAAAGTACATGTCAAAATTAAAATTACATCTAAATAGAACATCGTTTTCATGTAATTTATAGAAAGGAGGACGGCAGATAAGGCCATTTTGCTCCCCGCCCCCTCAGATCTGAATTATTTCTATCAGCTATTAATCAGGGATCGTTCTCGATCACTTTTTTCAACTTTGTTTCCCGAAGATCGACATTGACGATTTTTTGCCTGGGGTGCCCCACAGGTATCATCAAAAACAAAATTTGTTTTTCCGCGAGTCAAAGCCAGATATAATTGTAGATTTAAGGGTACTGATTACGAATATCGTAATTAGAAATCTCAAACTATTTTGCTTCCGAAGTAGCCGAGACCACTCGATGGACACCATTTTTCATTTTTGGGACTGTTATACATTAGCATTTGTTTATAAATTGAGTAGAAAATATATTTGCTGACCAAAAATGTTGAGTTTTTCATGAATCTGAACCTTTGACATCGAAAAACGAACCATTCAGGAAAAAGAGAGAACGATTCGGTAGTAAAAATTGACCGTTTTTTTAATATATCATTTTCCCCCTTAATAGTTTGTTATGAATCGAGCCTTGCCGCAACGTCAAATTTTGATCATAAGCGTAGTTTTTCAACCTCTATCGACCGGAAATCTTAAAAATATTAGAAAAGTTGTGCAACAGGATGAAAAGTTTAGAATATTAATAATTTCTAAAAAATTGCTGTAGGGACCACAACTACGATTATATATGAGATCTTGAAATCAGCTGATATGTAGCCCATCTTGTAAAGCTTAATCAACTGTACGTACAATGAAAAAAATTATGGATCTCCCCTCTTTGTTTCGATTTAAAAATTTAGGTGAAATTTTGTCTCCTTGCAACGACTCGTACATTTTGTGAAGCGAAATTGTGAGTCGAAAGAAAGAGCGGAGATCCATATTTTTTTTTCTGTGTGTACAGTTCATTAAGCTGTACAACATGGGCTATATATCTGTTGATTTCATGATCTTGTATATTTTAGTGGCGGTGGTCCTCTACAGCAATTTTATAGAAATTATTATTATTCTTAACTTTTCACCCTGTTACACAACTTTTCTAATATTTTTAAGATTTCCGGTCGATAGAGGTTGAAAAACTACGCTTATGATCCAAACTTGATGTTGCGGCAAACCTTTTTTCATTATCTAGGTAGTCAAATATGATGAGCAGTGTTCAAATTTTGCTCCGGCATTCCTGTATTTTTTCCATGCGTAAGATTTTTTCGATCTAAAAAGTTCAGATTCGAAGAGAACTCAAAATTACGAGTTAGAGGAAATTATTTTGCACCCAATTTCATCCTGTGGTTATTCGATGAGGGCCCAAATAACGAAGAATAGGATCAAACGAGTGGTGACGACTACTTCGGAAGTAAAGTAGTTTTGAGACTACTAATTACGATATTCGTAATCAGTACCCTTAAATCTACAATTATATCTGGCGTTGACTCGCGGAAAAANATGGGTAATGGCAGAATGACAACAATGAAAATTAAATAGTATTGAATATTGGATGAAGATCCAATTGTTTATTCAATGAACAGAAATAGTTGAGAATAAGAAGAACTCCACAAGCAAATAGCTCACACGAGTTCGAACGATTGTAAGGGGCAATCGAGTTAGATTGATTGTAAAGAACAATCAAGTTGAAAAGAAAAAGGTATTATGTAATTGATCATAGAAGAAAAATAGTAGTCAGAGAAGAAAAAAGAATTAGTATATCTTAGTGAAGAGAGATATATCAAGAAGCTTCTAAGAAACCTGAGGAGAAAAAGAGAGAGTGATTATATATCTCATTTCTCTGAGTCTGAGCGCGAAAAAACAAAAAAAAAGGTGCCAATGTTGAAAATAACAAGCGCGCCAACAAGCAACAAGAGAGAACAGCACAGAGGAGAAACAAACATACATGATATATCAAACATCAAGACATGATCAGTGACGTTGCTGTCGCCACAGGGGGCGCAAAATGGCCTTATCCCCCCTTCTCCTTTTAGCGAAGATGACAGGTTTTGAAATAACCGTATCATATATCATTCTGGACAAAAAAATAGCCAACATTCTGATCTTTTGATTGCTGAAAATTCTAGATCGGTACTTTTTGACATTTTCGAACTGTTGAGTTTATATCCATTCCTATTTATTTCTGATTCACACACTGATTAAATTCTATTGTTCAACTAATATTTGAGATATGAAAATCTTATCGATGAATGCATTTTTTAATTCAGTAACGTCTTCTAAAATAACCGTATATTCTAGTTAGTATTCATTATCGTCTTTTGTTAGCCGACATATCTCATACATAAAAAGAACTCGTCTTGGAATTAAAATAATCTTTATTTATAGAAACTGAAGCAAATGCAAAGTCAGCAAACCTTCCCCCTACACCACCAGTTCCTCCTCGACAAATAAAATCTGATGATAAAACAACTCCACCATTAGTTCTTACCAAACAATCCAATCCAGTAAATGCTTGCTCGGTCAACAATAACAATGTCAATACAACAAACGGTTTGGGTGAAAATATATTCTAAGTTACTCAATGAATAGATTGAACTAAAGTTTTCTTTTTTTCTTCTCAGACTTATCACAGGACTTAATCTCTAATAATCATCATATTGGTAACGATCAGACAATATTCATTCAAAAGTCACCACAAAAAACACCAAAATCTCTAACGAACGGGTAAACAATTAATCGAAATGTTTTCTTGATTAAACTCATTATAGATTTCATCAAAGAAATGTATCGCGTACCGATAAAATGAACAGTACGTCCAATCGATATACATTAGCAAGCAGTCATCCAGCACCTTATGTTGTTAAAGTAAATAATATTTTCTATTTTATTCTTAATAACAACTTTTTTAATTCTCTACTTTTTCCCCTTTATTTAACAAAAAAAAAGGAAGAAACATCTACTGATGATTTGGAAACAAATAAAACTAATAGTAGCAGCTCTAATAAAATATCTTTATTTAATAAGTTTCCTCTATTTGGTGTCCCTATAACGCAATCATCACATGATGATAATAATCGTGCAATGTACGATAACATTTTACATTATTGTCTTAATCCATTGAATGATTCAAATTCAATTTATGCGAAATTTGATTTTCGTCATCGAAGTTTAACTTTAAGGAATCAAGAGGAACAATTTGAAAAACGTTGTGCTAATTATGATAATTTATCATATCTTGTTATTGATGGAATATCATCGAAAAAAAATTCAAACAGAGGAAATGGAAAAATAGCTTCTTGTAAAGATTACTTTGCTGCTACTAATAGATTTATTTTTTAATAATAATGAACAACGTGAGTAAGATTTAGCATGCGAATGATTAAAGCAAGAGATAAAAATGCATGGTTTGAATTGCTAAGATAAAGGGGAGAAAACAACATATCTGAAGAGATTCTTATTTTATCATTTAGGAGACCTTCTTTCACAGCGAAGCAATGTCAAATAATAATCAGAATATACATAATCAAAGTAAGCAATGAGAATATGAAAAAGATGATCATTTAAATTATTTTTTTGATAGAGTTTTATGATAAGAAATTTCATTTTTCCGTTTAATGTATACTTTCTGTTCGATTCAGGTCTATCAATTCAATCATTAGGTTCTACAGCTCCCGTTATCGTAACACGCACATCAAGTCAATCAAATTTTCGTAATGCATCATCGACATTAGTTCAAGCAACAAATCCGACACTATCTTCTTCACACTTTAATCCTCGTCATTTATCATCATCATCAGTAGCAGGGTTCCCATCGAATCATTCTCAATCTTATCATCCAATAACAACAGAATTATGAATTATCTTAACCTCTATGAGGTTCAATTTTAAAATTTTTGTATATAAATATTTGGTGCCGTGCTTTTTAACTATTATTATCCGCTGTTGTTTTTTTGTTTTTGAAATAATTTTACTTTTGTCTCAATAGAATTTTTGGATGAATCACAAATAAAATGCATAAAAAAGAAAAAAATGGTCGTTATTATTATAATCACATATCACCGATGATCTATTAAGCGTTAAGCGTTGATTCTCTAAATATGTGTGGCACATTTTTCGTATATTAGCTTCTCATTATCTCCCACCTCTTCTATTGAATAAACTTTTCTGTCGACCAAAAACATCAGATGTTACAATAAAATCAATCGAATGGAATGTGTTTTTACACCGAGAAAAAATCGCTAAATTATCGTCCACGACCTCATGAAACAATAAAAACATCTCTTGACACCAGCTGTGCCACCACCTCAATAAATTACTATGGTCTCCTCCTCCTCCTCTTTCTTCTTCTTCTTCTTCTTCTTCTCTCCTCCTCCTAATATGCTGTTTTTGTGTTTCTTGTCTGTTTCGCTTACAATAACTCATTTCTTTTCCCAACAGATAGTATATATAGATAGACGACATAGTATCTATATGTTTGTTTTTTTTTATTTCGAAAAAGTAACATATTAATGATTTTTAAATGATAATTAATAATTAATTTATTAATTATTTATCTTGAATTGTAGATGCCATCATTGATTTTCTAGCGATTTCGGTTGGAAAATATTTCCGAACCTCTATTACATCGTTATATGCAGCAAAGTTAATTCTGGGAAAATGCATTAATATCTTGAAAATCATCAAATCTAAACCGCATCCAATCATATTTTACAGAAACAAAGTCGAACGGAAAACACGCACTACACAAGTAGCGACGTCATCGTTGTTAACAATCGTTATTTAACTGAATTATTAGATTGATGATCCTTGAATTTTTTATATTTTATTTTTCAGATGACACAAACTAGTGCTGCTGGATCAGCTAAAGATGCAGCCGATCAGAATTTTGATTATATGTTTAAATTATTAATTATTGGAAATTCATCAGTAGGAAAAACATCATTTGTAAGCTGTTTCTACTACTTTTGAAATCTATGTGAGATCAATATATGTTTCTTTTTAGCTTTTTCGATATGCCGATGATTCATTTACATCGGCCTTTGTTAGTACAGTTGGAATCGATTTTAAGGTTAAAACTGTATTTCGCCACGATAAACGTGTTAAATTACAAATATGGGATACAGCTGGCCAGGAACGTTATCGAACGATAACAAGTAAAGAATAATTATTAAAGTTTATAAAGACGAAAAAATCATGTTTATCTATTTATTTATTTTCTCCTCTTAGCTGCATATTATCGTGGTGCAATGGGTTTCATCTTAATGTATGACATAACTAATGAAGAATCATTTAATGCTGTACAAGACTGGTAAGTTAAATAGATAAAAAAAAGAGACGATTATTTAGATAAAAATTTAACATGTACATGTCAAATGTCAACAATGAAAAAAAAATCATACTGAAATTATTTTCAGGTGTACGCAAATAAAAATGTATTCGTGGGATAATGCACAAGTTGTTCTAGTTGGAAATAAATGCGATCTAGAACAGGATAGAGCTGTAACAGAAGAACGAGGCAAACGTCTTGCAGACCAATTGGGTAATTTATCACATAATATTGTATCATGAACGTACATGCTATATATGTATATAGATATATAATATTGTTCTTGTTCTTGTTCTTGTTATCTTTAATTTATTTTGGCTTCTTCTTGCTTGATATATGTTGTGATGTGTGTTATGTTTTTGAAGGGTTCTACAGATAAAGACACATTCATGGGAAAGCAGCCCGGCTATGTTGCTTGGGAATAAATGTGACATGGTAAATGAGAGAGTTATTCCACTGGAAGAAGGAAAAAGACTTGCCGATACACTCGGTGAGTTTTTTTTCTTTCATATATTTGTTTGCAAATGAAAACATTTCAATAATATTTTGATTATTTTATTTTGTTTTGTTTGTTTAGGATTGGAATTTTTTGAAACCTCAGCAAAAGAAAATATCAATGTTAAATCTGTATTTGAAAGGTGAGCAAAAAAAGTCAAACAAAAATAGTTAATGTAATTCTCTTGTATTTTCTTTTTAGATTGGTTGATATTATTTTAGAAAAAATGTCTGATGCAAGTGACGAATCAACTGCTACTGGTCAAGCAAATAATGTCTATGGTAATCAACCAGGTGCATATAACAAAGGAACTGCAAGACTTACAGTTAATGATCAACAAGCAAAAAACAATCAATGTCAATGTTAGAAGAAACAATAGACATATCTTAAACTAGAATATTGCAATTTTATTATTCCAGTCGATGTTTTCCTTAATATTTATTTTTTGTTGTTGTTTGTCTTGTAAGAAAAAGAAAACAAAAGTCAATGAGAAAAAAGTTTCTAGAATTTTTTATTTCTTTAATGAATATCATTCCAATTAAAGTTTAAGTGTATATAAATGTGATGTGACCATATTCTTTTCCTGCTCCTTGCATTTGTGTATTTTTTAGTCATTTATTTTTTGTCATGTGACCATTGACTTCGTTCTTTTTACTGATTATACCTCATTAGTATTTTTATGTGGAGTATTTTGATGTATCATTTTCTTATTTATGTCAGAGAAATGATGTCTCATCATTTAATCTGGTCTTCGTGTTTGGCTCTTTAACCCTATTGTTTTTCTTATTCTTTTTTGTTCTGACTAACGTATAAACCATTCATACATGAATTTCGACAGACTTAATCCATGATTGTCCATTAGAATAGAGACTTGCGAAGTAATTGCTTGAATAATTCTATTCGAGATTGTTATTACGCTTGATGTATATCAAATGAGCAGGTGGGAATCCTTAAGATATAAAAAGACTGTCGGCTAGTTGCACCATCTTTTATATTCTGTACTTTCTCGTTTCTTTTTCTTATTTGGATCTCAATGCTATCGTTTGATCGATGGGGCTCAATGAAACAATTAATAGACAAGAATAGGTCGAGTAAAGAAGAAAAACACGCTCTTTACCATGTAGAAAAGATATCTATTTCTATTGTTAGTTACCGGATCATTTCAAAGTTAGCTATAGTTCTCGAGAGTTAAGTAAAATAAAACGAAGCAAAAACAAGATCATTCAATTCATTCAAGATATAAAATATTGAAAGGTAGTAAAAAGAAAAAGAAAGTTACAATTTCACCAAGCTGATTAACTAACATCTACATAGATTGTTGAAGTATTAATAAACATATCTATGTAATGTGTTAATATCATATCATTTCGAATGAAAGTCATGTTACTCAAAAATGTCTTAAAATGAAGATTCTTTTATCAATAATTCATACATATATATATATATAGGTTTATAAATCTTCATTTAATTAAAATAAAATCAACTTTCATTTTTCATATGACATAGCTATCGGAATTTTTATCATACACAATAATAATTAAAGATTCATATGTTTTCTTTTTCTCTTTTTTTCTAGACAATGGATACTTCAGAATTTGAAAAAAATTCTCTTTCGAATATTATACTTCGTTCAGCATATGTTCCTTCAGAGAATGGCGTTGATAAAACATTTTTTCTTGGTATTGATGAAGCCGGTCGAGGTCCTGTTCTCGGTCAGTTGAATACATAGTTTTTGTGATCTATTTATTTATTTATCAAATTGTTTTATTAGGTCCAATGGTTTATTCGGCCTTTTTTTGTGATGAAAAACAACTTTCAATCTTGAATGATCTCGGTTGCGCAGGTAATTGCCATTGATATATTACACAAGTTTTATCAATAGAATGAATTGAGTGTTTTTCGATGAGCACTTTTAAACAAAATTCAAATCAACTGAAACGCTTGATATTTGACCTTGATTGCTCTTTCATTGACTTATTTTTATCAAACATATTCTATTGTAAGAAACTCTGTGTTCATGAGAATGAACGTTCCCCACAAAATGTTCTAATGATCTAGTTGTTGAGTATTGTCGGCTGCCATCAGTGAAGCATTAAATTAAACGCCATTTTCCCAAAAACTGGCATCAACTTCGAGAGATAGTTTTATCGTGCTTCTTATTGTTTTTTTCTCTTTTCCATTTAAAAATTTTCTCAGAGCTGACGATAAGAAAATCTTTAAAATTTTTCACAAAAAACATCTGCCTACTATTATCGATAAAAACGCAAAACTACAGCAAGTTCTACAACCACTACTAATCAATATATTCGGTTTATGTATCACGTCATTTATTCATAAATGGAAAGTAATAGGCTCCATCAAAAAAACTTATTTTGTCTTAAATTTCTCGTATACATAGGCATAGGCGGCAGAACGATTGCGATCTAGGGTAGGCTCAACGTTTTGGACAAATCAAGTCTTGCCATTGAAAAAAAATAGAATTGAAGTCAGACTGAAATCGACTAAAACAAGCACTTTAAGTGCCAACTATAAGCATACGATTTTGATCGTCTTTTAATCATTTTTGTTTAGCTCGCACTTCTGCACGGCAGAGGTAATGTTATTCGAGTGTCTAAGATTTACAAGTAATTTTAAACAGAAGTTGCAGAAACAATTCAGCTATCTTAAATTAAGAATTACGAATTAGATGTCAATTTTAATGCCAAAAACGTTCAACTAATACTTCATTTCGAACGAGTTACTAGTAGAGAAAATATGAAATGATCTTGTAATAATACGTTATTTGTTAGAAAATCCCCAAAACTGAACAAGAATAAAACCATTTTGCATATAACAACCTATCCAAACATTTATCTGTTCCAGTTTCAGTCTATCAAGGTCTACCGACTACCAGCTTCGGGTAGGCTTGAGCCTCGCGAGCCTAATGGCTCCGCCACCTATGTACATGGTATATAGAAGTGTGTTGATTTCAAGCTCAATTTTTCCTTTTTATTCGAATAGATTCTAAACAATTAACAGAAGAACGACGTTCGTCAATATTTGCTGAATATGAAAAGCATAACAATCATCTTGGTTTCATTCTCAAAGTACTTTCACCTCATATGATCTCAACATCCATGTTACGACGGTATGTATTCATTTAGTATTTCAATTCAATTTTTCTTTCTGCTTTTATTTCAGAGATAAGTACAATCTAAATGATATATCTCACGGTAAATCTGTGGAATATTTTTATGTATTAAACATCGTTATTTTTTAGATGCAGCCCTTGAGTTAATACAGTTGGCTCTTGATCAAGGTGTCAACGTGAAACAAGTATAAATACCACGGGCAAAAAGAAATAATTGCGTTTCTAATAAGAAATCTTTTCTTTTTCAGGTTTTTGTCGATACTGTTGGTGATCCAGACAAGTATGCGAATAAAATTCGTGCTCGTTATCCTAAAATTAAAGTGACAGTATCGAAAAAGGCTGATTCACTTTATCCGATCGTATCTGCGTCAAGTATTTGTGCGAAAGTAGTTCGTGATCAAATTGTTCAAAATTGGAAAATAGATGAATTCGATGAAGAAAAACAATCGATTAAATATGGCTCTGGTTATCCTGGTGGTAAGAAAAAAGACACTAAACAAAAGTTAAATTTCAACGTTTTCTTGCTCATCATTGCGTTTTAATAGATCCTCAAACAAAACGCTTTTTAATTGAATCTATCGATCAAATATTTGGCTTTCCAAAATTTGTTCGTTTCAGTTGGTCAACAGCATCAACAATCATTGAAAATAAATGTATTAAAGTAACCTGGTAATAAAAAAACATAGTATTTCGTTATTTTCTTTACAGTGAATAATATTTTCTTGAGGGATGATGACGAAGATGAAAATGCAACAAGTAAAAATGCAACAAAGAAACGTAAATCTGAAGTAATTGAAACGACAACGACAACAACAACAACAAAAACACTTTTTAACTATTTTTCTCAAAAACCTAGTACTAAAAATGATGCTGTTAATCGACGTGTACCGGGTAGCTATTTTTTTCGAGCAGCACACGTAGAACCAGTCGTTTTTTCGACATGATGAATACTGTATTATAACCAATAGAAACTACTTCTTACTAGAAACATTACACGACATAAAATATATATATATTAAATAAATTTATGTGCATGGCTAAATTGTTATTTTATTGAAAATAACGACCAATTTTGTCAATATATTTATCTAACTACAAGCAACAGAATCTATATTCTTATTCTTATTGATCATTCATCGACGAGAGATAAACAATTAACAAATGTCTAATTCATTTAATTTGGCTTAGACGGATAAAATCTGACGCACATTTTTCCAAGAAGAAAAAATAGATGATTTTAATATTTCTTGGTACGAATAGAAAAGAATCATTTATGTAAAATTTTTCCGTTAAAGAAAAATAAAATATCGTGAATTTTCATATTGCATGATCAATGAAGACTTAATTTCGTTGTTGATTTGAAGAATATGACATTGATTATCTTGTAAAAACTATCTGTACAGCATCCAGACAATACAAAATTTTCTTCTCATACATTAGAAACAGACAACAGATGATTAATCATCCGTACTAGGTCAATTAATCTGTAAAATTACTTATCAACCGAATGAAAAATATAGCATCATGATTTGTACTTAGAAGAACATTAGAATATAAATGTTTTGATTCTAACTGTTATTTCCTAATAATAATTCGCAGTTATTTTCATAGAAATGATTGGCTTAGAGAGCTCGAGGATAGATACTTTCAACAAAATATACTCCAACATATCTTCTGTGAGCTAATAATCATAACTACTTGATGAAATTTCTTTCTTCCAATAGAGTATAAATGTTGACGTAGTAAGATAATAAATTCCCATGCATACTAATCATATCTGTTTTTATCATCTTAAATTACCATACAATCCATATTCAGTAAATTTTAGGAAACTTTCTTCTTGTAATATTATATATATTATCTGAGTGTTCAGTTTTACTAGTGAAATATGCATCATCGTGTATCGGCGACATAAGAAGTGTAACAACAGCTGGATGCACATGATGCAACACTCGATCTATTGTCCAATTATAACGACAAATTTTTCTTGTCAGCGTAATCACACGTACTGTCATATGTGACAAACGATAAACAATTGCCTCATGTAAACTTCTGTATGCAACAGGAAACAAATAGATTGAAACATATTATAATAGCAGAACGTTTTTTCATTAAATTATAGCGAACTGAGTAATAAAACATCATATTCAGCAAAACAAAACTGCTTTTTTCCTTGCATTCAAATCAGTTATGAAAATTCATTCGAATGAAATTAGTTGAAAATAATAGAATAATTTATTTAGATATAATATCTTAATTATAAAAAAATCTAAAGGTGCAAATGAAAAAAAGAGAACCTTTATTTCAAAATAAAAATCGAAGATTGATTAAAGTTAAAATCATTAAGATATAAGATGTATCTTGACGTACTGTTGATGATTTTAATTTAATTTGATAATCTTCTTTTGTCTGATTTTCTTTTTTCATTTCATATTTCTCTGTTACTTGATAACCTTCTTTTGTTTGATTTTCCTTTTTTATTTCATATCCCTCTGTTACTTGATAATCTTCTTTTGTTTGATTTTCCTTTTTTATTTCATATTTCTCTGTTACTTGATAATCTTCTTTTGTTTGATCTGGATATTCTTCGTCTATTGGATTTTCGTTAATATTATTCCAATTTGTATAATTACGAAGAATATCTTTAATTGTATTAATCATCTTATTGCTATTACATAAATGTCTGTTACATTTATATTCAATTGATTCTATTTCATTTGTCGTCAACCTGGGTATATAATACTCGAATTCACTAAAGAATGTCGGACTATGATCGTAGGCACAATATGTTTTTTCGTTTGCATTATTAGCATAACATAAACCATCGCGACATCGTATTGTTGATCGATCACCTGTTGTATTACTATTCTTACAACGGCGACTTGCGTTTCTTTTTACCGATAGTGTTTGTCGATATAATGTTGATTTAATTTGATCTAATTGTAGCTCACCATATCTAATTAAATGTTCAATTGTATTGTAATAAAATTGACGCGCACAATCGTTACGTGTGCTACACGCATACGTACGATGCGTAATATTTGGTTGACCTGATGCTTCATTAAAACCTAACCATATAGTTTGAGTAAGATATTCTAATTGATTATATTCTTGAAATTTGTAGACATCATTACTAGTTTTAAAATTAATATAAATATGCTTAGCATCATAATCGATACGATAGTCAATTACACAGACCAAACCATGTTCGTAAATATCTGTAGTATTATTGTGTTGACATTCTTCGGGTATATTTAATGGTTGAAGAAACGACACTGTGATTTGAGGACATTTCGACGTACAAAGAAGATAAGTAGTCGAGGAACTTTGAACAAATAAGTAAAGGAATAGAATTACACGAACGATGCATCGTATGATCATCGTTTTTGGTTAATAAAATGATAGATGCGTATAGTTTATTTTGTTACTTGATGGAAATTTATCTGAATTGGATCAGCGAAAAAAAGCGAGTGACAGAGAAAGAAGAAAAATAGCACATCAACATATGAATACGCACACACGTAGTAAATCCTCGCTCTTAGCGACCTTTGAGGTGTAGCTATTTATTCCAATAAACATATATAGCTTGTAAATAATGCAAAGGCAATCACCGATCGGCAGAGACATAGAAGCATGAGAAAAATAAGAGCAAAAGAATCTGTTATATACATATGAATACAGAAAAGCGTTTTCTTATTCCATCATAATATTTTCAGATGATGAGCAATTTTATCAGAGGGAAAAGCAAATATATTAGCTAGGAATTATTGATCAGTGAATCAGCTTGTCTTCATGTATTTAATGGGTAAGACAAAAACAAGAACATTGACAGACATCGCTCGCTGTTGACAATAATGTAGATATACTGATGACAGTTGAAGCTGGAATAAGTATTTTCCTTAGAGAATGCGCCTGAAAGCTTGTGTAGGTCATCAGAGTAAAGTATAAAGAAAAATAATTGGTTTTACAGCATTCACTCAGAGAAAGAAATATCAATGAAATATTCCCTTGACTACTATTATGCTTATTCAATGCTGACTGATCGTTATTCTACATAATAGAAGAATTTTAATTCTAACTCGGCAATTGCCTGACGTATAAATATACATTTTTGTTCTTTATTAGATACTATCCAAAAAACGACAACATTTATTTGTTGTTTAGTTCGCAGTCTAGTATGTGACAGAAAAAAATATCGAAAGATGATACTATCTTAACTAATTGGAATGTGAGGGCAAACAAAAACATGTCCTGGAATTTGTAATATAACCCTCATAATGTCCATATTGCCCTAGAAATTTTCTATTAAACTAACTATGGGTTAGCTATTTGAATTCATATTTCTATATTTTATCGATGATTTTAACTTATATTTGGAATAGGTCCATCAGAAAACAACATCTTGATAAGTACATATTGATGACCTACCCAGTTTTATTACTTATATGTGCGTTCTACTAGCAGAAATATCATTCTAATCAGTTTCCATCGTACCTACTAATCAATTGTTGACAGATTTATCTAAAATTTGATTTGTTTAAATCAAAACATAAAATAGCAGGTCATTGCAAAAAAACAATGTTAAACATTACAAATGATTCTCGTGATTATCTAATGAGATTATTGAATACTGCATAATTTTATGTGCGTCATTTCGAAGTGTTCGGGCTAATGTTTTTCTGTATCATTGCTGTTTCATTATATCTTCTGTCGAAATGTGGCATTTTATAATGAAGTAGTGTCTAGCGATGTTGTCTATGGCAACACGATCCTATGCAAATATTTTTTCATGTTAATCATGAAAAGAAAACTCTATGTGACTAGAAACTGACTTAAGATTTCACTGTTAATGTCGAATAGAACTGACTGACAGTTCTTACCAAAAAGAAAAGATAAGTAGAATTGTGCTGAATTTTCAAAAATAAGGAAACAACCAATTATGTTTTATGGTCTACCTTATGGGACATGTTTTCAAATAGCACTTCTAAAAGATTGCTTATTAATATATAACTTATTAAAATTTTTAAGTACTTGAGTTGAACACTAGAAATTCTAAGTGAGATGAATAATACCATGAGAAATTCTCATCAAGTGAATCAATATGCGTAGAATTCAGTGATTTTCAATTTTTCACATTTATTCCATTATTGAACATCGGAAATATACGAAGATTTAAAATATAATGAGTGTTCTACATAGCACACCATTTATCTAGTCGACTGGAAATCCTTTCTTTTTTCTTTTATCACCATATAGATCAAGAGTAGTCATTTTCTGCCGCACCGATCTTGAAAATAGAAAGATAGAAAAAGGTTTATTTAAGCAGCAAAACAAAATTTCATGGTCTACTCGATTCTATTCGTTTTCTAACCTTAATGAAGTAAATTCTACGTTTTTTTTCTAAGAAACAGTCAAGATGTACAGATTCTCTTAGAATCTCTGTTTTTCAAGCTGCAAGCTAATTAAAGAGGAAAAAGCAAGATAGATAGGTCAGCCGTCACTTACATTGCATCTATCTTAGACAGCTATGAATACAGATGATGATAGATGATGAATCAACAAAAGGATCAACTGGTAACTTCTATTAGGAACATATTGATATCGATAAATAAACTGGTTTTCATAATGACTTGTATAATGGACGCTTGTCATTGTCAATGAGTCAATTGATCAAAGCATCTTTCTTACAATTTCGAACGGAAAAAGTCTGATTCTACTAAAGATTCTAGATTTTATTTAACACAATAGCTTTGTGATCAATGATGAAAGAAGCGAATGATTAATTTTTTATTAATGAGATATCGATTTCCGAAAATTTCTCGTGCACGCTTCAATCTCCAATGTCATCTAGCCTACCTACCATTTCTAAGCATCATGATATCTAATTCTTTGGACGTGTCATATTGATTTTAAGTGTTGTCATTTGATATAATGACATCACTGTCGTCATAACTCTTCTCTAATTGCACAGGTGTGATATGATGATATAACAAGAGGATTTACGAAAGTAATTTACTCCTTTTCAATTTTATTTTCAATACTGCTCTTTGTTGTCATCAAGTCTGCAATAATCGGGAAGTATAAAGACTTTAATTAAGTATAGTATTACAGAGAATGACTTATGACGAAGTGCTTCTCCTTAAGACTTATACTGTGTAGATTGTTCTGAATCCCTGACAATTTATACTGACCTTCAATTTTTCAATATTTTATACAATTTACTGTGAAAAATAATATATAAGATAACACGCCTTGAAATGGACCTTGACCTTTTTTTCTGCATGTCTCGAGAAATACTTGATATGCATGCTTATGAAGATATATCTATATATAACTATCGAGTCGGAAACGGTCGAATTTTTTCACTCGAAGGCCCAAAAATATACAAGTAAATTTTGAATAATACTTGAATTCTCAACTATAGTAGATTTGATCGAATTGAAACTTTTTTCTATTAAAAATAAAAGGTATCTAGGAAGTATATCTTATTTCTTTCAAAAAATAACGCATATCTGGTTGATTCTACAACTGAAATAGACACCCGATTAAAAGAAGACAAAAAAAACAGGCACTTTTAAGTGTATTTTTGTTTTTGGCTTTAGAGGAAACAGATAAAAGAAAAGTAAAGAAGCTCGACTAGTCAAATATTTCCTACTATCTGGAAAAATATGTTTAGTCTTATCAGATTTACTGTCGCTGAGAAAATGGACAGATATTGCGACTGCTCTTTCTCTTTCTCAAACCAATTATCTGTTACGAGCATGCATTGAAAGCTTTTAAATCCACCAATACGCTTGCCATATTGATCGAGATCTATTGGTTCTGAGATTTTTCAGCTTTGACTAGAAGTTGCTTTTAAATAGTTCTTGAAACGAAATAGATTACCGCACTGAAGGGTAATCCAATTGATGCAGTAAAATAAACGTGAATGCGATTGACGAAAGGAAAATCAGTAATAAATATATTTCACGAAAAGGAAGCTCTAGGGTATAATTGTATTATAGTTGATATGCTATTGTTTATGCAATGTTGATCTAGACATGAAAAATCGAAGTGTTTAAATGAGTAAGTAACATAGTTTTCTTTATATGGCAGTAATGCTATGGAGCAGAAGGGAAAACAATAACATATTATAAATAATCATCTGACAAAAATAATAAGAATATTTTTTTCATGTCAAACATATATTTGATTTGACTATTAGTTATAATCGATAGATACAGCTATATACTAGTACAACTTCGTTTCAAATCAGCATTAGGCATGGCTTTTATTTTCAACACTATTCTCACCATAATGGTTTGTTGAAAGAAAAGAACGCATTACGTTATCACATATTTATGTCATAACTAATATAAATATAGTCGTTTGGAGAAAAATATGCTTTTAATTACGGCTTCTATTATCGTCGTTTTTTTCACACTAACATATTATTACTTGACATCTGGTTATTTCACATTGCATGGTCCGATACCAGGTATTCGACTACAAGTTCTCTTTTGTAATTGACTTCAAACTGGAATACTTGCACAAAAATCTATATCTTTATCAGAAATTATTTTGCAATTACAAGCAAATTTCGGTGATGTCTAGCAATTTTGATTTGGCTCAATACGTTTCATAATAATAAATTCACTTGAGTATGCACAATATATAATTTTTCATCCAGATATTGATGCTCAGTGAGATGTTTTCACTGAAAAGTTCAAAGTGATTAATTCAAATGCGGTTATTTGTCTGATCGGTTGAGATCAATTCTTAAAAGAAATTTATTAACATAAACAGCGTTGCCAAATCCAAATTTGAAAAACCAGAAGATTCTCGCAAAAAAAAACAGGAGTTTCCCAGGAGATTTTTCTCGAAAACCATTAGAAAAACGATGAGACTTTTTTCATGATCAGGTAATTGTCTCGCAGTCTTTTTTTTATAGAAAACTAAGATTTTCTTGCACGAAAAAGCTTATTTACTCTCTGTTGTCAAGAGAGTGATAGCAAAATCTTTGTCGAAATGATATGTAAGGAAAAAAACTATTATTACACGTACTTTATATTACTATTTATTTGGCAGTCAATAATTAAATTATACAAACAAAATAGAAAAAACTCTACCTCAAAATACATCCGATCGTGGGAAAAGATTAATCGCTGATGAGTTTGACCCTGCACTAATTTCATATGCTTTGTGACGAAAACATTCAATAAATGTACGATGATTCTTTCTTTTTAGCTAAAAGTACATCAGTTCCTACTACCGACTTTGTTTATGAAATCTTAGTTTTAAAAAAGTCAAGTAGAACCAACGTTTTATCTGATTGGTTATTGAATTCATCACATATTATGATCATTCTGTATCTTTTTTTCTTTTTTTCCGTTTATCGCTATGATTCCAAATGTTACGAAAACTCAAGTTTAAAAAAAGTCTTAAAAACCAGGCGAAACCAGGAGAAAATATCAAAAAGCAGCTCCTGGTACCAGGAGATTTTTTTACCAGGAGAAACGTCTAAAAACCAGGAGACTTCTGGCTAAATCAGGAGATTTGGCAACGCTGAACATGAAACATTTGAGCAGCTGCTTTTAAACCACACGCTAGGGTTACTAGTTTATTATTTCGCCATGGAAATATTCCTATGCATTCAGATACAATTATAGATTCTACTGATAAATTGTTAGATCAATGACGTATTCCTTATAATAATCCAACAAAAGTTCATGTGAGTATGGTTGAACAATCACATAGATTATTACTTGCTGTGTTTTGTTTTATTGCTTGTAATTGTGATTTAAAAACACTTGTTGATAGTCCAGGCAGTAGTAAAAATGAATTGGCTCAAGCACTTTATTCACTAATGAATGTAATGCAAACTATATTACAATTGCCAATATTATTAAGTCGAATATTTAGGTTTTTAGGTTTTAAAGCATGACGAACACGACTCACTATCAATCGATATTTAGAAAAAAAAAATAATTGACACTGAATTAAATATGACATCAGAAATGCGAGCAGAACGTAAACGAATAAGTTTTATTGGTTCATTAGTTACTTCATTGCAAAAAGATGAAAAACTCGAAGCAAGCAAACTGAAAGAAGAGAAGAAAGGTAGACCATTTAATAGTATTTAGTAAACAACAGTAAATCTTTTCGCTTACAATTATTTTTATACTTTTAGGAGTGTCTCGTATTGAAGTAATGCATGAAATGCTTTCATCTCTTGCAGCTAGCTATGGAACAGCATCAACATCTCTTTCTTAGTTTATTTACTTTATGAGTAACAATCTAGAAGTACAAAAGAAAATAAAACAAGAACTTTCTAAATACAATGGTCAACGTCTTTCAATTGAACATATGGATTCATTGATTTATTTAGAGTGTGTTCTTGGTAAAGTACTTCGTTTAGTAGCACGAGTATTAGGTACTACTCGAACATTAACAACCGATGATTAATTAATTACCTAAAAGTGGATTTCAATTTAAAAAAAAGAGTGATTCAGTTTGTATTTCATTTTATAATTTAGCAAGAGACAAACTTTATTGGGCAGATTTATATGATCTAAATGAATTTTATCCTGAAATATATTTAAATGGCCCTGAAAATAAAAAGAATTTAGCAGCACTAATGCCACTTGGCGGTGAACATAGAATGTGTATGGATCAAGATTTAGCTCGCTTAGAGTTGAAATTATTTGTGCTAGGCTTATGTAATTTGCGACATTTGATGATGGTTGACATGAACTAAATGATGGATGATATGAAATGGCAGATACGAATAAACCAAAACGTCTGAGCGTAACTATAACATTCGATTAAATATTTTCAATGGAGAACAATTATCCGAGCTATAAATTAAAATTCGGCTTGTCTTTAAGCTATGTATATATTTTTTTTAAATAAATCTAAGCTTTTTATTCAGATGGACTCAATATAACCAAGTTGCTTTTGTAAGAGAAAATATAAAATACTTCGAATAATCTTATGGGTGCAAAAACGCAGTCTATATTATCGTACAACAGAACTCTATTTATTTAATTAGAATGCAATACACTACATCAATTATATTATTGTATAAACTAAAGGACAACACTAAATACAGATATTGTAGTGCAAAAAGCAAAACAATATCATCTACAGATAAAATATTTTCTACTGCACGAATTCCAGACACGTAACAAGAAGACGATTCTTATTTTTGACTCAGAATTTACACAGTATTGATTTTGCGCATTGCTAATTATAAGTCAATCAATTTTTCGTCTAGTAAAAAGTTTCTTCGTGATTTTTCATTATTATCAATTGTAGTCAGAAAAAGACATGCCATAATAGTGATTAGTGTGTCAACAGAAAAATTTTATAGACCAGTTTGATTGAACCTTGAAGAGAAAGAATGCGATCATCCATTTAATGCAGTAAAAATATTACTTTTTCATGCACATAACAAAATTCCAAATCAAGTGGTAAGAAGAAAATTCTTTTGTTTTATAATCATTTGTCTACGTGAACTGTACGGTGAATCCGGTATTCTTATGTTTGTTCTCCTATCTTTCTTATGTTTGTTCTCCTATCTTTCTTATGCCTACTTCACGAGTTTCAATGTTGTTTTTTGTTCATTTCATATTTTCTTGAAAATCTATCATAAAAGTTAATTCACATGATCGTTTTAAATCAATTTGTGTTGATAGTACTTCGATGATATTTGACATTAACACATATTTTCAAATAAATTCTGATTCTTTTCAAAAGTAGCTATAATGAAAGCATGGTTGTATGGGTAGTATATCTAAAAGTTGTTTTGCCTTGCAAAATAAGACGAATAAACAATAGTAAACTGCAGAATGATGAGCAACACGAAAAAATAACTATTCTGCTATGTTCTCAGATAAAATCTTCCACTGATCATCTAACACAGGAGAAATCTAGAAAATCAGACAAACAAGTCAATACAAAAAAATAATATAGCCTTGAACTTCTAATGCTTCATTTAAAGTTATGACGTTTGATTGCTTTTATAGTGGTAAACAATTCTTTAGTAAACATAGAACCGAACTGCTCCTATACTACTCACTGTTAGTAGGATGTACAGGACGTCAAATAGTCAATGAAATCGTTTCTATCTGATTAAAAAAATGCAAGATATTTCTTCTGGTTTTTCAGTATGACAAAAAAAATCTTCATCACTCATTTGAAAGAAAAACGTACTTATGTTGATTCGATATTTTCAAAGTAAACCATTATTTCTTTCAAATAAATGAACAAAAAAATCATGAAACAGAACAGCCTTGTTTTTGATAATGACAAACTTTGAATGAAATATTTCGTTTGTCTTCGCTGTTACTTGAGTCTTTCAAGATCAACAAACACAATCATTAAATTGTATTTCTTTGATCATCTACAATTAATTATTTTCTCTTGGATCATGTGTGAATCAGAAAAGAAGCATTCTGTAAACAAAGCAGCAATTGTCGTGGGAGAAAAACCTGTTGGATTTTTACTCTTTTTTTTTTTAATTTCTATACGAAATCTGTCATTTCACCATCAGTCGTACGTGAGAGTGCATAAGTGTTTAAAATCAATGAAATAAATTAAACGTCAATGGGTACACAATCATCGAAGAGATCTTCGCGAGTACCGTTTGCAAAACGTGACTACAGTAATTTTGCTGCTATTACAGTTGTATTTAATCCGATTCGATATAGATCACGTTATGAATTATATCGTAAATTTTCGAAACATATGTTACGTTCAGGTATTAATCTATTTACTATTGAATGTATATTCGAATCAGCTGAAAAATTTGGTTTACCAAAACAAAGATTTGAAATAACACATTTAAATGACCCTCGCCATTTACAAATTAAAGTTCCATCAGTTATATGGTTAAAGGAAAACTTAATTAATATTGCTGTTAAACGTTTACCTCCATCGATTGAATATGTTGCGTGGCTAGATGCTGATATAGAATTTCAAGTTCGTTTCTATTTTTATTTTTTTTTTCTTAAGAATATTTTCTATTTATTTATAATAGCGCTTTGATTGGCCTCAATTAACTATGGACCAATTGCAATGTTATCCAATTGTACAATTATTTCAGTTATCTTTCTTCTTAGGACCATCAGGAAAGAAAGAAATCTTACGTCATGATTATTCATTTGCGTATGCAATTAGAAATGGATTACCTACTAGTTCACGTCGCTCATCTGAAAGTTATTTTCATCCTGGATATGCATGGGCGATGCGTCGTGAAACATTCGATAAGATTGGTGGCCTTCTCGATTTTTCTATTCTTGGTTCAGGTGATCTACATTTTGCTTATGCTTTGATAAATCGCATTGATGAAACAATTCCAGCTGAAATACATAGCGATTATCGACGTTTAGCTAATATTTGGGGAGAACGTGTTGCTCGTGTAGCTTGCAATGGTACTTGTGTTGGATATATTTCAAACAGTATATACCATCATTGGCATGGTAGCCGTCGTGATCGACGATATGATGAACGATGGTATGACAAAATAACATGAAACTTTCTTTCTGTTATTTTGATGCTCAAATATAAGAATTAAGATATCTATTCATACGATTACCTTGTCAATATTGTTTTTAATCGATATCTAGCTGTCAAACGCTAGCTAAATGAATCTCTTGAATTCATATGTTTTGAAGGCATTAAAAAGGCATATTGAGCAGAGATTTGTTTTTGTAAATTTTACATTAAAACATTTTTTAGAATTAATTTTATTCTAGGTCGCTTCTTGAACGATTTCAATTTTCTCCATTGAACGATCTAGAGAAGAATAGTCACACAGAATTACTTCGTCTCGCTGGTTATGATGATCCCGATCAATCAAAATCAGCTGAGCGTTTACAATTACTTGAAACAAATATTGTAAATTATTTTCGATTACGCGATGAAGATAATATGGAAAGTCCTATTCCAACATTGAATACAATAACACTTGCAAATGCACCGACATCACCATCAACGGAAACTTTTCGTCCAATTGATGATGCATCGATTCATAATGAAATATCAGCAATCGAAGACAATAATTATGCGTCCGATGATTTATCATTACGAAATCATTTATCTGAATATCAATCTAATGATAATTTTAGTCGTGAAGCTGTTTTATAAATCAAAAAAAATATTATTCGAAATTTTATGATTTTATTATTACATGAAACACAACAGAAAATTAATTATTCGAAAATTCGTTCGATATTGATATTGACATAATGTTAGAGAAACGCAAAGTTTCACAGAGTCAATTCAAACTATAATAAAAAATATCTTCACAACATGATTAATTCTTTTTTTTTATCAAATTTTTCAGTAATTAAAATTAATAAAATGAGATACCAGATCATGCATCTAACACCAATATCAATTATAGTTCAATAATATTCGGCTGTGAAAAGCCTAAAAATTGAGTTAAACTATAGTAACGAAAAAAAACAACTAGATAATTCATAAGAAAATATCATTCTTTAACATGATTAAGATATTAAAGCAAAACTGTTTATATGACCTTGCAAGCTTCAAGCTTTTTAAAATATTTTTGTTGTTGATTGAATGCATCATGTACCATTGAAGTGTACGATAAATAGTTTTTCGAGAATATCCTCATTGTAAACCAATGTGAAATAAGATTAATAAAAAAGTTAAAAGATGCTTACAATTTATTTTTATCGGGAAAATAGCAGATAAAAACTATGATCATAGTTGACATAGTAATTAAAGTCATCAACTTTGTCAAGTTATGAAGAGCATCGTTTATCAACACAGTCTCTCTATTGACTTCAAGCTTCGTAAAAATTGAGTATTATACGATTTATTGATTTACCATATCAACATTTTTCGTTCGTATCATTTATTGTAAATTTCTGTTCTTACTTTTCTTTTTTACCTCTGATCCATTTGTTTCTTTTTCTACGTTCGTTTTGTTATCATACAACGTGATGGTACGTAATTATTTCTATCATCTTTCATGATACCTATCAGTTGGAAGTGTTTTGTACCAACCACATAGAGCTGAGTTCTGAATATTTTCTATAGATTTCGTCTGAAACTTATTATTACAGGCATATTATGAAACTAGAAACCATCGATAATCTTCTTCCTTAGCCAAATATCAGCCAGTGATATTCGCATGATGCCAATGATCGATACAAAGTATCTCATATCATTAGAGACCCATGAAGATTCAGAATAAAATATTATTTTCTGAAAATTAAGAGTACACTGGGGGTCTATGCCTCATAGACTTTGTACTTAGCTGTTCCTATCTATATTTTCTTCCTTAGCTCACTGATAGTTGGCTTTTTCATGAAACTTTCATCATTTCTTTCTAAACCAACCACAACACATGGTCGTACAGATACTAAATTCGTTCAATATTGTAAAAAAGCGTTAAAAGAAGTTTTATACTATGGTATGTATGAATGATGAATTAAAAATTTGTTTCATTTGGCACAATCTTTTTTGTTTATAGAAAATAAAATTTCTTCATATCAAACATTATTGCGGAATGCTCTCGCGTCAGTAAACTATGGACCAATAAAACATTCATGCATAGAGGCACAAATAATTCTTGCATGGTAACCATAGGATATATATAAGAATGATCGACACGATCAGCTGCGAGACAGCAGACGGTGTAATCGGAAAAAGGAACAACCTATGTACTGTGAATATTTCTAAAAATCGATCCAAAATTAGTGTCAGATAAAGAATAATGTTTCAAACAACAAATGTAACTACTTCTGCGGTCCCGACTGCTGCTGTCGTTCGTCCTAGTTATCAAATAATGACTACAACCAATAATCATCATACAATTGTTCCAGCTTCTTCAACAAATCCTTCGTGGCGCTTAACAACACCGACACCATCAGTTGTTTCAATGTTAAATGGAAATTCTTCAACATTTTATATAGCAACACAACCTTCAGCAACAACAAATAATATTATTCGTCAATCTACACAAACAGTACATCAGATCTCACCATCATTTACAATAATTAATAATAGTAATGCAACAATAAATGGACAAATTCCAATAATATCATCTTTAAATAATAATTTTTCATCGGATACTTGTGTTGATGGATCTATTCTTGGACGTTTGCCAACATCAACAATTCAACGACAACAAATGCCTAGAGAAAATTTAGAAGAACAGGTGGAAAAAATCGAGAAATTTTCTGATAATTAGTTTTATACGGAAAAAAAATCATTATTATGAACTTTTGTTTTTGTTTAGACTTCTTCGTCAGGTAATGATATCGATATAGAACATAATCAACAAGATTCCGAAATCGAATTATTTGTAAGTAATGTCGTATGTTCATTTGCACTTGGTTGTAAATTGAATCTACGTAAAATTGCTATGGAAGCTGCAAATGTTATTTATAAACGAGATCATGCGGTCAGTTTTTTTGTCTTGATTAAAAAAGAATTCAACAGCGAGATATTATTTTTCTTATATAGATGGTATTAATGAAGATTCGAAATCCATATTGTTCAGCCAACGTCTGGTCGTCGGGAAAAGTAACAGTAACCGGAACAACTAGGTGTGTGTCTAAGAATATTTGAAAGTAATTGTATCACATAATGATCGTATTACAGTGAGGATGATGCGGAACGTGCAGCACGACGTATTGCTCGATGTCTGCAACGGCTTGGATATAAAACAAAATTTCGAAATTATCGTGTTGTCAACTGTCTTGCAACATGTTCAATGCCGTGGCCAATTGATATTGTTAAATTAAGTCGAACGTATCCAGGAGATGTCAGGTAAGAAAATTTTGCTGAATAAATAAAAACTTTGTTTTTTCATGTCATGGATTATATTAAATTTATTTAGTTATGAACCCGAAATTCATCCGGGTGCTACAGTCAGATTAAAAAATAAAGTTGTTCTCAAAGTTTTTACGACTGGTAGTGTTACATTGACAGGTAATTAAAGCAAAAATACGAAAGAATATGCTTCTTTTGTTTTTGATTAAAACATATTCTAGTTGTGTTATCTTTTATGTGAGATATTTAAAGAACTAATTTAGACTTTAGTCATAATATTCTCGAATAAAGAATAACATTTCTCTAGAAAAATGTCGGATCTATTCTTTTGAATAGATTCTTGTTCTATATCGATGTCAAACTGTGACATCTTATATCTATGATGATAGGAAAAGAAAAAGTTAGATGATTATGTAAGTACTTATCAAAGAATATAAACAATGGTTTGTTCCATGAGTTCACTATCTAAGAAATATGTTTTTGTTCATAATAAGCGATATAATCTATCAATACATGATCATATTTTTCGTTGTTGAATAATCAACAAACAAAAGATGTTTTTACAGAGTTAGTTATCTTTAATAAAATCTAGTTTCTTGTGAGATTCAAATCAAAATAATACGATATACAGTTTTATTTAAATAACTGAAATATTGTCAATGTATTGAAAAACAAAAGCTTGGCTCCATCGAAAATGATTTTCTATTGTTTAACATTATTTATTTTCTGAATCGTTGGTCGAAATATCGGAAAATTATATTGAAAGATAATAAATTTGATGCAGACTTCATCAATTTTATGTTGACAAAAAAGAAATCTACTCGAAAGATAAAGTCAATAGTTTTATGTAGAAATCAAATAATGGTCAAGTGAGATGAAAAATTAAACTTCGAAGCGACTGTTCTATACCTAAAAAGTGCAAAAATAATGTGGACTCTGAATTATGCGTCATGCACTACATATCAGATTGCAGCTTATGCCTACTCCTTAACATTCTATATCGTATCAAAACGATACGGATCAGTAGATGTCAGGTAATTAGCCGTGTAGATTTTACAATTGTATAGCTTCGATCTTGAACTACTTTGATATTCTTATTAAACTTAATTGTGAGATGTCAGCAATCGAAATAGAATTACGATGTAAAATATTACTGATCGAATAAATTTATTAAGAAAGTTTTTGTTCCTATTCAGACAAAGTACTCGTGAATGAGAAATATCTTCAAGAAGATTTGGTTTGATTAGAATTGTTTTTGAATAATCTTAAATAGAAAATTAACAAAACATCTGAAATATTTTTTAAAACTCCTCAAAACAAATTTTTAGGATATGTTCAGTTTTGTAATCGTTTTCATGCTCTCGAAATTCAGCAGATTGTTAAGAATTGACCTGTACATATACTCTGAATTCAACTACATTTTCATAATACATTCTACAATAAATCCAAGAATGACAAAAAATTTTCCAGAATTTTTTTTGTACCACGAGTGTTGGATAATTCTTTTGGATTGCAAAAATAATCTTTCTTATATTGATGTATCATAGGACAATTTTTTTTCATAACACAGTAGAAATGGAATACAAACTGACCGTCGATCGGTATTTTGTCTAAAAACAAAAATGACTAGTTCTGTAAAAAAAAACAGTATGAATTAATTAAAATATTATATTCGATCTATATCTGAATACACTTGACGAAGTGCAGTGTTATATTTTAGGATGAAACGTACAAATGCTTGCTCTTTTTGTCATTTATGAATTTTATCTTTCCTTTTGGATGTGTTAGTCTTAACGAATAATCCCCGGTTTATGCTTGCGATGTCCGGATGCAAGCAGATCTAATCAGAATCGATCGGAAACATAAAAGAAAATACACTATCCTATCGACATTCGCCGGAAATTGATATATCGTAGTAGCAGTTTTCCGATCGAAAAATTCTAAGAATTTTTTTGAAAGAATTCTGTTCATTGCATACAGGAAATTGACTGGAAGCTACTGGAATTATCCATGAACCTTTCGACTAACAATGCTACTTCAGAGTTCTTTCGATTCTTTGCTATTGCCTTTTCAAAGCGAGCTCGTATGCGAATTTTTTTATTGGGTGTTGATTACGGTTCATTTTTAAGATCCCTCGATACGAACAGGTCTCTATTTGACTGAATCTATGCAAGAGTAAGTGCTAAACATAACTTGATTTCTACGAAGTAAAGAGCTAGCTTAATTCAGAAAAGTATTGAGTGACCAATATTCTTAACTGTACCTAATTGTAAACGAGTATTTGGTATGTTCATAAGAAATATTCAATTTAAATCGCCTCGTTTTATACAGAGGCTTACAAATATGCTTCATGGTCGGAAAATTTGTAAATCCGATTCTACATTAAACTGTTTTTTCGAATTTATTCATTGTGAAAAAAAATGAATTATTGATATAAATTTTGAGATATTTTTTTCATTTCTTTACTTCATATACTAATGTCATTCATTTTAGCACCGTCCGTCGAATTAATCAATACGGCAGTAAGTGAATTTTATCCAAAATTATTTGAATGTCGTAGATTAACCCGTGCCAATGAACAACGCGTTCAAAGAAAATGATTCGACATAGCTGTTTTGGTTTTTTGGAGATAATCAAACTCGTCTTTTTCTTCTTCTTCTTCTTCTTCTCGGACTGTTTACATGAATATCATTTAAGAACTTTCTTTTTCTACTCTACTGGTTTTTTGCTCATCTATCAAAATAAAGTCACATAAGTTTTTTTTCTCGATTGTTATTCAATTTTGTGTGTTATATGTATATCACTATATCTCTCTACAGATTGTATTTATATTTATATTTATATTTATGTATAGGTAAAGAGAACGAATATTGATGATGAATAGAGCCAAAACGAAAAAATTTCCTCATTTATATAGATATATATATATATATATATGTATGTATATCTTATAGCTCCAACTATAATATATTGTTTCTATGTGAATTTTCTTGTTTTATGTGTTTGTCACATTGTAATATCCACTCTATGCAGGTTGACGCAATGCATATTAACAAAAAACATGTATAGTTTGATATTTTTCTCCTTTTTTTTCTTGTTAGGGCACGTCTATCGGTTTTTTTCCTGTTTTAAATCTATATCTATATCTATTTGTTTTGGTTCTTTGTTCGCGTTCTGTGAACTTGTTGGTATAAAAATGTAAAAAAGAAAAAGCAAAGTTGAAACATCAGACGATGACAAAAATGACTTGAAGTTGTATTTACGCTTGTGTAACGGCCTTCATTTTGTTTTTCGTTCTTTAGATAACAATGTTTTTCAGAAATTTTTTGGGAACTTCTTTGATAGGCAAACAATTCGGAACATATTTATATCGACGATTAAGTATGACACCATTATCAAGTATGAATAATAAGATTTTTAAATGAAATATTCTTTTTGTCTCTTTTCTTTTAGCCAGTATATATCCTCCAATTGGTTATCAACCTTCTAATTTTCGCACTCCTTTACCACGCCAATTACCATCTTCACAATCGATTCCGATGCCTGCTACACTTCCAGCTTCTACAACAACGCCAAATACGATATCAATATTAGATAAATGCTCTTTATACAATGCTCTTCTATATTATGATTGCCCATCGATGACTAATGAAAAAATTCAATGTGCATGGGCATCAACCAACTATCGTTATAAACGTCAACGACGTGTACGTAATCATCCTAGTCGTTTAACAAATACTGTTGCATATCGTTCACGTCGTATGCGTCTTCATCATAAAAAGAAATGGTTAAAGAAGTTCAAATATGATTTACTTAAAAAATTACGTGAAAAAATTAAACGTCGTGGTAAACTATATGAAATGGAAAATTCAATTATACTGGGCAAAGCTGAGCAATTTAATGCTGAACATTATGTTAAACGTGAATTAGAAAAAGCAAGATTTTATGGCTATCGAGTATCGCCTGTTTATGATCAGATACGAGATCAAATAAGTCGGCTTAAATTAGAATAGTGGAACTTTTCTGTTTTTTTCTTCTTGGATTGTTATGAAAGGTTTTCGTGCGTTCTGTTTTTTTTGTTATTTCGTTGATATAAAGATTAGCAAAAAAAAACAAAAAAAAGCTTAAAAATTTATGTCTACGAGCAAAAGATAAATATCTTATTTTTATTGCACAGCTCAATTCATTAATGAATATAATGACAAGATTGTAAGATAATATAGAAAAAGAAAAAGCTTGTCTGTACTTTTCAATAATGTCTTACTTTCAACCATATAGGTGATTCGTCACGCACTAATGCTCAACAAAATCTATTCTTCTTTTTCTTTTCTTTTTCTGTTTCTTTTTCTTCTTCTTTTGTCTTCATCGTATTCAGCTAACACTAACAACTTTAGTCCATATAAATACTAAAAATAAAAATAATGACAACAAAAACCAATCCAAAGTCATTCTATTCATCAATGTATGCTAATGATGATCAACTATTTGCCAACGAACAAATACAACGCTATGACGCAGATACAATCAAAAATCGGTATGGTGATAATTGGAGAAACTACGCATCAAATGTACGTGAAATAAAACAAGCAGATGGATCAATTGTAAGAGGTGAATATATCTATATATTTGCTTATTTGTTTATGTTTTGTATTTATTTATTCATCATTCAAAAAAATAATTACCTATTTTCATTTTTTCTGTGCTAGAATATATTATTGAAGATCCAAGTTTACTGAAAGAAATTAAACCTTCATTAGATTCAGCATCATCATCATCATCATCATCAACCTCAGCAGGTTCAGACGACGAACAACAATCATCAAAACATAAATTTGCACAAATCAAAGCTAAATTTGAAAAAAAATCTTTAACGAATGTTATGGCATCACCTTCATCAAGTTCAACTTTAACCAGTAGCAATCCAACAACACGTCGAAATTCTGATAAACAAATCAATGATTTATATCCAAAAAAGAGACAAGGATCAACTGATTCATCGTCGACCAATCGAACGGTAAACGATATTGCTGGTGGACCTCGAATACCATCAAATTTGAGTCAGAATACATCAAATAGTCAACATTCTCAATCGACATCAAATTCTTCATTTCGACGTTTGAATTCTGCTGAGGAAGCCGATGAAGAAGTTCAACGTATACATCGACAAGTTCAAGACTTTCGTCAACATCAAGATACATTGACTCCGATATCTTCTATTGATGAAAATAAACAACAATCCAATGTTCAATATGAAGTGCTCGATGAGAACGGAAATCCAATATCTATTGACGGTGTAACTGATCTAATTAAAATGTCAGGTGTTACAGCTCGAGAAGTTCAACAACAGGACGGTTCTTTTATACGTGAATATGTTATTGATGATCCTGATATATTATCAAAATTTCATAAACAACAATCACCGATGGTTTCTCAACAGCAATCTTTCAATAATAACATTCCACCACCTCCACCCCGTATTCCATTAAAACAATCAATGTTATTTCATCAAGGACCATCCAGTAATGATCAACATCCTCCAATAAATATTGAAAATATTCACGTACTTGAACCTCAACGTCGTTATGAGTATACAACAACATCTGGTAAACGTATTGAATTTATGATTACACATTCTGAATCTGGTAATCAGATGATTAATGATTCTGATATTCGTGAATTATCATCTGCTATCAACAATCATCATATACCATCATCATCGTCATCATCAATTTCAAATCCTACACAACAACAACAACAACAGCAAACATATAATCTACCTAAACAATGGCATCCAGCAGTTGATTTAACTATTCGTAATGGACGAACACGACAAAGAACTGGCTCAGATAATCAAGCAATGCCAAATAATTATAATGTGAATTTTCAACAAATGCAACAAATGCCAAGTGATTTGACTCGTTCAGCGTCCTATGGTGCACTTAATCAAGGAGCTTATCAACAATCATTTGCACCTGTATTTACTGAACCAATTATTGATTGGACTGCACTTCGACAACAAGATCCACAAGGCCAAATTGATCCACAAGTTATACAACAATTTATTGCGCAAAAGCATCAGAATGGAAGTTTTCAAACATCGGCTCAATTTTTGCCTGAACAAAAACAACAACCAATGACAAGATCAATTCATTCGCCGTCGCGATATAATGCGTCTGCTGCACCTACATTTTATCAACACCAGCAGCAACAAATGTCATACCCTTATCAAGGACAACAACAGCATGGTGTTAGAATTACTAATGATGCTAATGATATGCATTTCAATCAACAACAACTACCAACTATGATGGGATATCACAATACAAGAATTTAATTTTCAAATAGCACAGAAGTTTCTATTGTGGAATGAATGTTTTTTTCTTCTTGTGTTCAATCGTACATCAATACTTGTTTGTCTTTTCGGTTACAAATAGAAACGTCTCTTGTTATAGTCTTGTTGTTGTTTGTCTATTTCGAATATTTTATTTCTGTTCGTTTCCTTCTTTCTCATATACTGCCGGAGCAATGTCAATTATCGTCTTTCATTTGTATTCCATCCAACTGTGTAATATCTGTGGTTCATGAATAAATAAATGGAAACTATAAGCATGTAATTCATTATATATTTCAACAAAATGATAAAGTGTGAAGCTTATATGATATTGCATGTCACAGAAATATACGAAACGGAAAAAAACAAACAGACTAACAAAGAATTGACTCGTGATAGGATAAAATAATAGAAAAAAAATCAACATCAAATTGGTCGACTTTAATTATAGTTCTTTTTTAAACTAAAATTTTCGAAAGCTATGAAATTCTCGAAATATCATTGATTATTATACAAGGAAAATTGGTACGTAAATTTTATATTATTTGATTAATTCAAATGAAATAACATTGATCATAAACATGTTCTGTTTGTTCAAATGAGTATAATTAGTAACTTTGATACATTTCCCATGTATATACTATAGAGGAGTGAATGATATTAGTATATTTCGAAAATTTCAACTGTCTCTTGAGAAAAAACAAATCGGTCTGATTTTACATATGTGTGTATACAAAAAAAGTGAAAAAAATTCTACAGAAACATTGATAAAAAAAATAGCTCTTATATCTTATTTATGAATTCTACTGGCTTTTTTGAGCAACTTACTGCAACGCTGGGCATTTTTAATGCGATACGAAGAATAGCATTCATGTAATCCGTCGCGAGTTTTCTTTTTAATGCGATACGAAGCAGAAGCATTTATGTTGTCCGTCGCGAGTTTTTAATGCGATGTGAAGCAGAAGCATTTCTGTATTTCGTCCCGAGTTTTTTTTCTTTTTCTCTTACTTTCTCGACATACGCATCTTTTTCGTTATTTTGTTGTGCTATGATCTCGGGATTGAAAAATCATAGAAAATTCGTTGAAACATCAGATTGAAGTATCAAGATCGAACCTTTTACACCTGTTTTCGAATCTTCAATATAAACTTCCGTTCACTCACAAATGTGGTTCCAAAATGACGAAAATGAAAGAAATTTATTAAGAGATAATTAAAGTGACGTCATGAACATATGTTATCGACTATAGTCTATTCATTTACAGCTGATCTAAGATAATGAATCATGGAGATAATTAATCGATCAATTGAAATCGATCCTTAAGAATGTGTTGCTAAGTAAGAATAGAGTTTTCTCAGTGATGAATTTCATCATGTCGACATAAAAAGTATTTCAAGATTTCTCTGAATTCTAGATTTTTCGTGGATCCAGATTCCTGCTTCGCATTGCATTTCGCATTCGAGTGAAACTTTAAAACAAAAGAGAAAAGGAAATTGAATTGTTTAATTTGTTTCTAATTCTTACTGTAAATGATCCATCAATATAGCATTAACAATATATCCAATATTTTAATTATTATTTCGTGAATCAATTGTTGTTGTATTCCGATTCGTTTCTTTTTATTGAACGTATTGAAACTTTTTCAACTTTTCCATTTGTATTTAATAGCTGTAAATATTCTTTTTCAATACGTACAACAACACCAACTTTATTTGATCTGTTAAAAAGAACAAAAAAATCATTTTCTTGTTTGAGGAAAAAACATACGATACATTAACTAAATCTCTCTGGTGAAATTGTCCAGATGAATCAACACATGTAGCTGTTTCTTTACAAATTTGAAGATCTGGTGTTCGAATAGACATCTAATTAAATAAATAAACAATAATTATTGTCTTTTTTTTGTTCTCATGTAATCAAAATCGTGTAACTTTTTCCGATTAATGGACGTTTTGGTTCAATATCGTGATTAATCGGCAAAAGTTACACGATTTTGATGCCATGAATTTTCATTTATCTCCTTACTGCATCTTTTGTTCCGTCAATTGCCACAACCGCTCCAGTTTCTCCTTTAAATCTTCCATTTAAAATTTTAACATAATTTCCAATTGAAAAATATTTTCGTAATTCATTTGCCTTAAATCGAATTTCATCATTTAATGCTTCATGTTGTTGGAACAATTTACTTTAAATCGCCATTAATTCCAACACTTGTACCTTGTAAATTAATTAATTCACCTTCACAGACTTGAACAGGAGCACTAGGTGCAAGCGAGAGTATATCATTTTTTAATGATTTAATTTAAATGCTTCAATATAGATAAAATCACGATCACTTTCTTTTGCAATCATCGATTTTATTTTTAGTGCCTTAAAGTGAAATAAATTTATTTTAATTAAAAAAACTATTTTTCGTTGTTACTTCTTCATTATTTTCTAAAGCAACAAATTTTATCATAAATAATAAATCTGTTTGTTTCTCTTCTCCAATTTTACATTTAACTAATCAAAGATTAAGTGATTTAACACCAGGTAAACAACTGTGTTGAGTTATTTCATCGGGTGTTCGATTTTCATCATCAGAATCACCAGCTAGTGTTTGATTTTTTTATTCATAACATTCATTTAAACATTTTCCCATTTCAATTGGATCGAGTTTAGTTTACAAAAACAAAACAAACTCTTCGACTATTGAAAATTTTGCTCGACCAACTCGATAATTATTCGTTGCTGTTGTATAATCTGTTTGTTCAACAAAACCTTCTTCACGTACATCTTCGTTCACATCTATAAAATTGAAAAACTAGATTCATTTGCTTTTCTATCTTAATATCGAACCAGGTTGACTGATGATAAATTGTTTTTCACAAATATTCTTTTTTTTTCGATTGTCTTGGTGGCACCTTTTTTTGTACCGTCCAAAATAATCACTTGAAAATTTTTATTTATAAGAGACAAAAAAATGAATCTTTTTGATTCAACGTCAGCTAAGCTTTTCAATGTGATTCATTTTTATTAATGAATAATATATCTCAAATAAGAGAGAAGGGAGATTGGCTTTAATAGACAAGTATTATTCAACTTTTCCCTCGTGTGTTGTTGAAGAAATAAAATTACAAGTTAAGTTTGACTGAAAGGAAAAATGTATGTCGCTTATCTCAACCAATAAGCGCGCATCGATGGCGCTCGACTTGATTTGAGAATATTGTTCTCCAATTGTGGCTGCTATGGGTGACTCATGAACATAAGTTTGTTTGCTGTATCATTTATTAAATTTTTGACGATGATGAGCACGCTTCACTATTGTGAAAACATTCAATCGGAAATAGCATTAAATGGTATATCGACAAAAAAGTATGCATTAATTGAATTAAAATTATTTGTAATTTGGTTTTGTTTATAGAAAGATTTATTTCGACCTTAATTTACAAGACGAAAATGTAAGTCTATCTCATATATATAGATTTTTATATTTATGATCGTTACAATTTTAGAATCTTGTAATTAAAATAACAGATGCCGATGATCCGTTTTATTATTTTTTTACGAGTATCAACGATATCGAATTGCAACAGTAAGTCATAGCCTACGATAAACATAACTTGACTTTTTGTTTTAGTTTGAAAATAAATAAAAAAAACACCAATAAATCTACACCAATATTTTATCGACATCGTTGATCTCATGAAGCTATGTTTGAATGATGATTCCAATGCAGCGTATGTACACATTTACATACTATACTAAAATAATAAATCATTTTCAATATTTAGAGAAACATGTACAGTGCTTCAAATAATACCAAGTGATGATGAAAATAATGTTATGTTAAGAATTGTTCAACTGAAGTCATCAAATGTCGTCACATCAATCTTATTGAGAAAACCGACGGACATCGAAATAAAACGACATGTTTTAGAACGGTATCAACAATTGAAAATAAAAGCGCATGAAGTAGGTGTAATTTTATCTCATTAATTAATTGTAAATATTTGTTGTTGTTGATATAGTTACACCAATCTCCTGATGAACAAGCAGAGGTGAGTAACTCGGTTAGAAGATAGAATCCTATAGCGTACAAGTCTTTCGTACCATATACCCTACCCTACGATAATGTTTGCACTTGCTCGTTTAGAGTCAAGGTATTGAAACAGAAAATGTACAAATAAGTCAAACAACAGCACCACCAACAACAACAACTATTTATGACCGTAACGATCACGACATAGATAGAAGTAAGAGTCCTGTAAAATAAATACACCTACACAGATACAGGCCTCGCAGAGGTCCTTTTTTCCTTCTTTTCAA